CATTATTCAATCAATCCCATGGCGGTTGTGTCTCCTCGGCTCCCCCCAGCCTCCAGCCCAGCCTCCAGCCCAGCCTCCAGCGAGACGGCCGGCACCGCCTCGCCCCGCGCTCCCAGCAGCGCCCCGTCGCCCCCGCGTACGTCTCCATTTTGGTGATACTCCCAAAAGCGGTCGTTCCGTTTTACGGCTTCGGCGGACGAACGAATGGCGTGTGCGGCTGCGACGACTCGCCCGTCCCCGTCTTATTAAAAACGCGTGCCGCCGCGTCGTGGTGACGCCGCACAGTGGGCCAGAAGACGTCCGCTGGAGGCGGACGAAATTCTGGACGCGTTTTGAGCTTCAGAGTCGCTTAATGGGACTCGAACCGAACGTGTGACCCCACCAATGGATCCCTCGTTTAGGAGCGCAATCCATTGGTGGGGTCACACGTTCGGTTCGAGTCCCATTCAGCGACTCTGGAGCTCAAAACGCGTCCGGGATTTTGACCGCCTACACCGGTCTTCTGGCCCACTGTGCGGCGCGGCGAACGCCATGGCATCGCCAAGGCATCGCCAAGGCATCGCCGGACGGAACAACGCCCCGGCCGCCGGAAGGCAGTCCTGCCAATACCCATTCTTACCGACCAATTTCGCCTTTATGATGGCGAGGTGGCAGGGCGTGGCGGGGCGTGGCGTGGCGGGGCGGGGCGGGGCGGGGCGGGGCGGGGCGGGGCGGGGCGGGGCCGAGCGCCCTTTCTTTTTATCGATCACGCTCTCACCGGCCGGACTGCATGCCATCCGCCCGGCCGCGCCGCGCCGCGCTGCGTTTCACGGCATTAAGCTATCAGCAGTTGGCACGACTGACTACTAATAACGCCGGCATCGCCCCGCCCTGCCCCGCTTTGCCACGCCGCCCCAAAGTTCCCTAATGCAGCCTTCACGTCCACCGCCCGCTTTTTCGCTTCATAAGTCGCATCCGGCACGTGAGCGGGCAAGCATCCCGCCGCCGTTGCGATACTCCGGCGATTTACACGGGAAAGTTTTTAATTCGTTTAGTATCGTCAACATTCTTTTTCATCCGGACTTCCCTGGCCGCCATCGGCTTGCCTGTCTGCTGCGTTTCTTTTCCGCGACTTGGCAACGCCGCGTTCGGTTCCCAGGCTTCGCAGGCTTCGCAGACCGGCCGGCCCTCGCGGGACTGCCCCGGGGCACGTCATTGTTACGGCCCTTAAGTATTCATGCCCTGTGGTGGCGGCACGGCCAGGCGGGCGGTGGCGGCCCCGCGCGCTGGCCGGGCCCCGACCCGACCGCGCCACCCGGCCACCGCCCAGTGCCCGGCCCCGCCGCGCTGGAGGCTTAGCGCCCAACTTGCGCGGCCCCCGGCGCCCCCGGCCGACTCGTCGGGGGAGTCCCGGGTGGTAGTCCGCGTCCCCGCCGCACAGTGGGCCAGAAGACCGGTGGAGGCGGCCAAAACTCCAGACGCGTTTTGAGCTCCAGAGTCGCTTAACAGTCCTCGAACCGAACGTGTGACCCCCACCAATGGATTCCTCGTTCGGAGAGCAATCCATTGGTGGGGTCACACGTTCTGTTCGAGTCCCATTTAGCGTCTCTGAAGCTCAAAACGCGTCTGGAGTTTTGGCCGCCTCCACCGGTGTTCTGGCCCACTGTGCGGCGGCCCCCGCTGCGCGCCCCGCGTCCCACCCGAACGCTGCGCCGTTGCTGTAACGCCGCACAGGTGGCGCCGTCGCCCCGTCGCGGACGCCATCTGCTTCGCTCTTCATTCCACGCACGGACTGTGGCGCCAGGGTGTGCGCGTGCGTGCGTGCGAGTGAGAGAGTGGGCGAGTGAGTGAGTGAGTGCGAGAGAGGAGGGGGCTTCGCTATTAAATTTCAAGGGAGCGTGCAGCCACTGCACGCCGGAGAACTACTACTGAGCGCGCCACCGCCAAGGCGTCACCCACCACCGTCCGCGTGCACCGGCCGGGCCGCGCGGAGAGGCCGGCTGAATGCCCAATCTCAGGACCTCTCAGTACTTGTCACCGACACTGTAGGGCTGCCGGCAATTTCTTTCCCGGGGAAAGCCTGTTTGTGAAGAGTGCGCGGATGCCTCGACCTCTGACCCTCCTCAGCGCGGTTAGTCTCGCGGGGTGCCCACGGGCCGAGCGGCCGAGCGGCCGAGCCCTGGGCGCGGTGTGACCCACATAACGAACGTAACGAATGACGTGGCGGGGCGTGGCGGGGCGTGGCGGGGCGTGGCGTGCTGCGCCGCGATAAATTAGCGGCCGGCCGTTACCTCGAGATGTTGTGTTGTGCCCCCAGGCCGCGGCGCTTCCCCCTCCCCTCCCTTCCCCGCACCTCCACATGGACCCCGCCACGGACAACCCCTCCCTGTGCCCCGGGCCGCCCCCCTGCCCCCTGCGATTCAAATCCTGCACTCGGCCTCCCTGGCCTGCACCGTGCCGCCAACAACACAATATCGGTACAACAGTCGAGGTTGTGGGGCAGGGGGCCGCCGGGGGCCACTGGGGGCCGTGTCGAGTCGCGTGGTCGTCGATAGCTCTGCGTCGTGTTATGTCGTTATTGGTGAACACATACAGTTCGTGTTGACCATTCCATCTGACTGTCTGACTGTCTGCCGGTCTACCTGTCTGCCTGTCTGTTTGTCTGCCGGTCTGTCTGTGTGTCTGCCTGTCCGCTCGCCCCTCCAGACGCCCAAGCGGAACCCGCCGCGCCAGGCGCCCCGTTTTTTTGGATGAATCATTTATTCAAATATGGCTTCCAGGCGTGCCTTGTCGACCGTGCATTCTTCCCCCGCTCCGCCCTCTCCCTCCCTTCTTACCTGCCGGGCCGAGCTCTGCGGCGGTGGGTCCACCGGAACCAAATTATTCCACGTACAAAATGGGGTCACCGTGTGAAGCACGCTCTTGTTGCTGCTGGAGCCGGGGCTGGAGCTGGCCATCAACGCCAACAAGGCAGGACAACGCGCGCTGATGAAGAAGTGAGAGAGAGAGAGAGAGAGAGAGAGAGAGAGAGAGAGAGAGAGAGAGAGAGAGAGAGAGAGAGAGAGAGAGAGAGAGAGAGAGAGAGAGAGAGAGAGAGAGAGAGAGAGAGAGAGAGCGGCCCGGAGCGGCCTTCATTGAACCGCACCTGAAGAGGGCGAAGAAGGCCTTGCTAATGATGGGGGAGGGGGCTCCGTTCTCGTCGTCGGGCTGGGCGTTCCGCACGCGTTCGACTCCAGCCAGCCTCTGGCTTTGCCTCTGGCTTTGCCTCTGGCTTTGCCTCTGGCTTTGCCGTGCTGCCTGCGTGCCGTTATTGCCCGCCGCGCCCCTGACGTGCCCCGCCGCCGTAGCGCCAGGCTGCTAGCAGGCACTGGCAGGCTGCAGGCAGCGCGTAGCGTGGCGGCTGAATTAAAACGAGGCGCGGTCAAGGGGGGGGGGGAGCGTTAACGAGCAACGCGCGCGGGGAAATTCAAATTAGTATTTATCATGGTAGGTCCGGACCTTCCTTCCTGGGGAGGGCCGGCGGGAACCTGCGCGGAGAACAAGGCCGAGGGGCAAGGCCGGCGAAAGCATGGTGGGAGGGAGAGAGAGAGAGAGAGAGAGAGAGAGAGAGAGAACGTGGCGCGGGTTGTGACGCTGTCAAGCCGCGCCGCCGCCAGGCCCGGCCAGGCCGCCCCGACCGCGAGCAGGGTGGCGGGGCGGCAGGGAGCGGGCGAACGAGAGGGCGGCGAAAGAGCAGGCCGCACCGCACCGCACGCCGCCGGCAAAAGGCAAAGGAAAGGCCGAGCCGACAGGCCGACAAGGAACCCCGTCGCCGTCGTGCCGTCGCCGTTCCTCAAACTTGATTAGAAAGCGATTAGCCTTGCGGGGCGGGAGGCGGCGCGGATCACCTCGCCGCCGTGCCGCGCTACGCCGTGCCGCGCTACGGAGCGCTCTTAACTTTCCTCGTCGAGTCGGCAGGGCGGCAGCGCGGCAGCGCGGCAGCGACTCTGCTGGTGTGCGCCCCTTGTTACGGGCGACCCCTCCCCTCCCCCTCCCCCTCCCCTCCCCTCCCCCTCCCCTCCCCTCCCCTCCCCTCCCCCCCCCCCCTCCCCTCCCCCTCCCCTCCCCCTCCCCCTATCCCCCTCCGCGCCCTTACACTGGCGTCGGATTGCAGCATCAGGTGGAGGCAAGCCGAGGCAAGCCGAGGGGCGCGGCGTGGCCTCCGACAAAAGCCTCAGCGCGCACCGCACGGAGCGGGCCGGGCACGGGCAGGGCCTCCCCCCGGCCGAGCCGAGGCTGAGGCCCAGTAAAGCACGCGGAAGGCGTCGCGGCCGTTTTGCTCCGTCATGGTGCGAACGCAGGCGTGGCCGGGCGTGGCCGGGCGTGGCCGAGGCCGTGGCGCCATCCGGGTCGTCCCGCCCCTCGTCCTCGTCGTGCTGGTGGCCCGGCATGGCCCCGGCCTCGGCCCCGGGGTACGATTCGCCCCTGACATTTCCGGGGCTTTCTCGGGCCGGGCCTCAGCTCGGCCCCTCCAGACTCCAGAGCCGCAGCCGGAGCGAGAGCCAGAGCCCCGCCAGCCCCCGGCCGGCACGTATGCAAGACCAGGCCGCCGCCGCGCCTGCACCCTCTTCACGCCACTGTCTCGCTAAGCCCGGCCTCGGCCGAGTGGCGGCGTGGCGGCGTGGCGGCACGGCGGCCCGCAAACAAGGGCGAGAGGGAGACGACGGCGACGGCGCGAGGATAACCCGGAAGATGGAACGGCGGACGTGGAAAGTGAAGGGGAAACGGCGACAAAGGGACGCCCAAAAGGAAGGGCGAAGAACACAAGCCCCGCACAACCCCGCGCTGCACACGCGTTAAAATAATTGATGTGCTACGCCCGTCTCCGCCGTCGCTCGTCGTGTGTGTGTGTGTGTGTGTGTGTGTGTGTGTGTGTGTGTGTGTTTGTGTGTGTTTGTGAGTGTTTGTGAGTGTGTGTGTTTGTGAGTGTTTGTGAGTGTGTATGTGTGTGGCTGGCTGACGGCCTTCCCGTCTGCTTCCAGCGCGGCTTCCAGCCCCTCGCCGCCATGGCTTCGGACGACCTCGGCCGATGAAATGAAGCGGGCCTGCGCGTGCTGCCGCCCGCCGTCGCCTCCACCAAGCGGCCAGAACGAAGGTACAGTACCACGCCGTCGTCTCTTTGCTTGTCGCTTCCGAGCGGCGCCGCCCCGAGTCTTGTTTTCATCTTCCGTGGAAAAGAAAAAAAGAGATTTTTCTTTCGTCCTCGGAATGTTCTGTGCAGCGGCCGGGAAATCCGGATTCCTCAGTGTGCCACCGCGCCGCGCTGCGCCGCCCGGCCGGCGACATGCCGTCGGCCCGACCACCCCGCTCCGCTGGAGTTGATACGCATTTGTGAGGCGGAGATTTAGGGTGGCGCCGCGCGGGGGGCGGGGGCGGCGGGGATGGGGAGGCCGGAATGGGTCCGGGCCGCTCGGCCTAGTAGTTGTATTTGTAGTCGCGGTCGCGATACGCCCAGCGCAGTGCCATGGCAGTGGCGTGGCAGTGGCGTGGCAGTGCCGCCAGGCTGTTTAATGTGGTGGCCCAGTGGCTGCGTATCGCTGCGTATCGACCGCACCGGCGTGGCGCTGCGTGGCGCTGCGTGGCGCACAGCGGTGGCGGGCGTAAGGGCCAGTCCGCACGCAGTCCGCCGAGAAGGAGGCCGTTAGGTTAGGTAAGTTAGAGGTTAGGTTAAATTGGGTTTTTCCTACTTTTTCCATTTCCATTTCTTTTCGTGACGGAGCGCCTGCTGGAAGCTGGAAGGCAAGCCCGCCACGCTCCGGTGTCGGCGTGTTGCCTACCGCCACGGCGCTCCGGTCGGTCGCCAACACACCCTCTCCCTCCGAGTACTAAAAGTGAGAAGCCCCGCAGACGACGGGCGTTTGATTCGCAGCTTTCCTTTTCAATTTTTTATCATCAGCGCCTCGGAGGAGGAGGCCGCTCGGGCGAGCGCCGCGCCAGGCCTTGCATGGACGTGGACGGAGTGGTTCGGGAAGGCGGTTCGGCGGCTTCGGATGGGAGATGAAAGGCCAGAGGCGGGCTGGGCTGCAGGCTGGAGAGAGGGGAGCGGCTCCGAAATAATGAAAGAGTTTGCCGGCGGAACACATGCAAAAAACACACACACATACACACACACACAAACACACACACACACACACACGTGGACGAGCACACGGAAATGCAGAGAAACGAAGCAAAGCAGAGCCATAAACGGGCGGATAAAGGGCCTGGCACGGCCTCGGCCAGGGCCAGGGAGTCGATGATGGCGGCAAACACAAACAAAGCCGAGGCCGAGGCCTGGGCGGGCCGGGTCGTGCGACACGACGAATTACAGGCCTGGGGCGCGGTGGTGCGCTGCGGCCCGAGGCCAAGCAGGCCGAGGCGCTGCACAGTGGGCAACAGTGGGCCAGAAGACCGGTGGAGGCGACTAACATTCTGGACGCGTTTTTAGCCCCAGAGTCGCTAAACAGGACTCGAATCGAACGTGTGACCCCATCAATGGACTGCTCTCCAAACGAAGAATCCATTGGTGGGGTCACACGCACAGTTCGAGCCCCATCTAGCAAATCTGGAGCTCAAAACGCGTCTAGGGTTTTGGCCGCCTCCACCGGTCTTCTGGCCCACTGTGCACTGGTCGCCACCGGAGCATCTATCGGCAACACCGCTAAATCCGACGCGGAAGATCGAGAAATAGCGCTTCAAGTGTTTTCCGAACCAGTGTCTTATTTCATCGAAACGACACAACGAAAAGCGTTCGCTTGCCTGCGAGGTGGGAGGGCAGGACGGCGGCCAGCTTTCCTGGTCCATTACTCATTGGCGGTGAAAAGGTTGGTAGAAACGGGGAAACGCTCTTTCTTTGGTTGTCCGGAATTCTGGAGGGAGTAATTAAAAGCGGAAGTCGCGGAGCGTCGCGCCGCGCGTGGCACTGGTAAATGAATCATTTCGGAGGGTGGCGGCGGCAACTGCTGTGGGACCGAAAAAAAAAAAGATCCACGTGGCTAAGACGCTCGCCTTGAGACCACCTTGAGATTGTGAGTTCAAATCCTCACGTACTTTCTTTTCACTGAAACGAGCATCGTGCGAATCAACGCAGCCGTCCCTCGCCGCTGCGCCCTGGGCCCTGCGGCCCGCGGGGCTCGGGGTCCCCGCCCTGCCGGTCTGCCCTTGGCGGCCCTTGGCGGCCCTTGGCGGCCCTTGGGCCATGCAATTGAAGGGCGCGAGCGACATTTGCGCCCCCGGAGCCTTTTATAGAAATCCGGGCTCTGCCCCGGAGCTCTTCAAACACATCGTCTGCTCGTCGCGGCGCAAGGTCGGGGTGTCGGGGTCGCGCTGTCGCGGCGGCAGGCCGTGGAGGGGGTCTTTGCGGCGCCTCAAGGACTTAGGGGTGGTTGCCGGAAATGAGCGGGGCTGCGTGGACCATTGGGCCCCGTTTGGGCGGCACTGTCGTCGTGGCGCGGGGAGGGGAGGGGAGGGGAGGGGAAAAGGGAGGAGGGCAATCAATCGCTGACACGGCGGCCCACGCTGTCCGAACAGACGGGGGCAACCGGAGGCAACGAGCCTCACTATTGGTGTCGGCAAGTGTAGGAAATATCGGGAAACATTCCCGAGAGCGGGTGCGTGTCAGAACGTCAATAGAACTTTGAACCGCCGAAATGTCTAAAAACCAGTTGGCTGCCTTTTAAGGCGGCTACTGCGTCCAATCTACCGAGAAGGCATTTCTTCACATTTACATTTCTTTACAGTTTTTTTTCACTGCCTCTGCCAGTGGCGTGTGGGCGTGACGGCGCCGGTCACGTGGTGACGACACCGCGGCCCTCCCCGTCCTCAGCCCGAATCGCAGTCGATCCGCAGTGTCAACCAAAACACTGGGGACCCCGCGCCCCGCCCCGCCCCGCCCCGCCCTCTGTCGCAGAATGCAGAGGACTGCCGGCGGCATCAAAACTGTGGCTATTTACAGCCGCGGGTCGCGTCGTGTCCGTCGTGTCCGTCCCGCCCGCGGCCTCCCCTGGAGGGGCTCACGGCGGGGCGGCGGCGCGTCGTGTCGTCGTGTCCGTCCCGCCGCGGCCTCCCTGGAGGGGCTCACGGCGGGGCGCCGCGGCGCGTCGTGTCCGTCGTGTCCGTCCCGCCCGCGGCCTCCCCCGGAGGGGCTCACGGCGGGGCGCCGCGGCGCGTCGTGTCCGTCGTGTCCGTCCCGCCCGCGGCCTCCCCTGGAGGGGCTCACGGCGGGGCGCCGCGGCGCGTCGTGTCCGTCGTGTCCGTCCCGCCCGCGGCCTCCCCTGGAGGGGCTCACGGCGGGGCGCCGCGGCGCGTCGTGTCCGTCGTGTCCGTCCCGCCCGCGGCCTCCCCTGGAGGGGCTCACGGCGGGGCGCCGCGGCGCGTCGTGTCCGTCGTGTCCGTCCCGCCCGCGGCCTCCCCTGGAGGGGCTCACGGCGGGGCGCCGCGGCGCGTCGTGTCCGTCGTGTCCGTCCCGCCCGCGGCCTCCCCTGGAGGGGCTCACGGCGGGGCGCCGCGGCGCGTCGTGCAAGCCCCTCCAGCGCACCCACACGGACGCAAACCGCCGTCGGGCGTGAATCGACCGGATATTCGGAGCAGTAAAATTGCCACTTTGCTGCCTCGTGCCACGCCGCGCCACGCCGCGCCACGCCCCCACCCACACGGCCGCCGCGCGACGCCGCGTCGCACTTCGCGTCGCGTCAGGCGAGGGAAGAGGGGGAGGGGGGGCCGTCTAGGGCCGCGCGGCAGTGCCGCGAGCAGGGCGAGCAGAGCAGGCCCATCTAGGAGACTTGACCTGGCACGCCGCCAGCACACACACACACATGCACGCTAACACACTGAGACAAGCAAAGCCCCGAGGGGTCGCATGTCCCCGCAGAGGTTTCTGTTTTCGCGCCCGCATGCGTGCGTGTGTGTGAGTGCGTGAGTGTGAGTCCGTGTGCGTCGTCCCTTTCCGCCAAGCCGCCCTGCATGGCGAGGGATCGCCGCCTCGCTTCAAGTCGCTCTGGTCGCAGTCATCGCCCCATCCGTCCCGAAGAACGACCCGACGACGCACAGTGGGCCAGAAGTCCAGTGGAGGCGGTCAAACTCCCGGACGCGTTTTGAGGTCCAGGGTCGCGTAATAGGACTCGAACCGAACGTGTGACCCCACCAATGGATTGCTCTCCGAACGAGGAATCCATTGGTGGGGTCACACGTTCGATTCGAGTCCTGTTTTAGCGACTCTGGAGCTCAAAACGCGTCTAGAGTTTTGGCCGCCGGCGCCGGTCTTCTGGCCCACTGTGGGGCGGGGCGTCGCTCTGCAGCACGGCAGCACGCAGCACGGCGGGGGCGCGTTGCAATATGCAGGGGCCGCCGGTGTCACTGACCATGTCCACATTGGGCCGAACCCGGCCGAGCCTCAAACACACACATCACGAAAACGAGCGTCGAAAAAAAAAAGGGAAAAACGAACGCCGCCGGCACATTTTTGCCGATAAAGTTTCCGCCCGCTTTCACGTTCACGTTGAGGACGGCGCCGCACCGCAAAAACTGCGCGCCACTTTTAGCGCTTTCAGTCCGAGGACGAGCCGAGCGAGCGAGCTGCTTTGTGGCGCCAAGCCGAAAGCCGCGAAGGGAGCGGAGCGGAGCGGAGCAGAGCGTGTGTTTCGTTTGAGGGCGTTTGGCTCGGGGCGGAGCGCAGCGCGGCGCGTCGCGGCGCGAGCGAGTTCGCTCTTCTCTTCGCTCGCAGCGCTTCGCCGCTTCAGTCAACTCCTCTCCCCGGCTTTACGCTTTATTCCGCATCGCGCCGTGTGCTCCGCTGCACCCCCCCCCCCTCCCCTCTCCCTGCCCGACGATAATAATTCTCCGGCCTCCTTTTGTTTGCCCCTCTTTTTCCCGAAGCCGTGCTGCTGCAGCCCTCCATTATAATCGAGCCCAGTTTGCCCCTCCCCCCCCCCCTCCCGGGCAAACCCGCTCGACGGCCCGCGCGCTTCAAATCTTTAAATCCACTACCCCCCCCCCCTTCCTCTCCCCTGCTGATGCTTGTCCGGCTGAATCGCCCCGCCCCCGCCTCTCGTGCCATTGATTGAGTGCAGTCATTGTGCCCTTCGAAATGACTTCCATTCAGGCAGGCGCTCCAAATCCCGGGGCTGTCACCCCCACCCCCTCCCCCCTCCCGCACCTGAAAAGTGTCCCCGACCGTCCGCCGGTCCGCGAGATAAGGGCCCGCAGACTGATTCCAAGAGTCATCTTCGTCGCTCTGTCTCTCTCGCACCCATGAGGACGCCCCACGAGTGCGAGAGAGACAGAGCGACGGGAACGGCTCTCGGAATCAGCCTGCAGGCAGGACGAGGGCCGAGCCGAGGGCCGAGCCGAGGGCCAGGTAAAGGGCGGCGGCTTCGCGACCAAATGTCAGACCGTCTAGTCCGGCGCACCGCGCGCTCCTTGGCGCGCTCCTGCACTGGAACAAATGCTCCGCAGTTCAACTTCCGCCCGGCTGTCGCTTCAAAAGTCTATGCGAAAAATGTGATTTTTTATCTTTTCTTAAAATCATTTTTTGTGAGCGGAAACATTGCGTGGGCGGGCTGCTGCAAGCATGGCGCGTCCTGCCGTCAGCCCAGTGCGGTGGGCTCGCCTTGGGCTGCGCGCCGCTGGCTGACCGCACCGGCCTCCGCATTTTATTCCAAACCTGTTTACCTCGGAGGGAACGTGGGCGTGCCGTGCCGTGCCGTGCCGTTCCCCGCATTGCTGTAATTCGGGAGGGAGGGCCTCTGCCTGCCGTCGTACCTGCGAGTCCTGCCGGTCCTGCCGGTCCCGCCACGCGGTATTGACATTCCAATCTCCTCGGAGGGGGAGGGGGAGAAGAAACTGGGTTGGAGTAAAAAATTCAGAAAAGTTGGGAAATGATGAAGAAAATGGCGGCGGCCCGGCGCGATCGCCTCTGGATGCGAGCCGCCCCCACAAACCCCCGCTTTATCACTTTGTTTACACGACAGTAAAGGCTGGTGGGCTGGTGGCAACTTGAGACATTAGTTGGCAGGCCCGCGCCCTGCCCGGCCTGCTGGCCCTGCTGGCCCTGATGGGGATGCCGTCCCTTGCTTCCCCCGGGATGACTTCCGGCCAGCCTCTACTACACACTGCCCCCCCCCCTTTCCTTCTAGCACTGCGCCCGCCCCTGCAGAGCCCGGCCGGGGACCGCATGGCGCCCAGGGGATGGCCGCGCCGCCCCGCGCCGCCCCGCGCCGCCCGCCCTGCAGGCAGGATGCTTAATGCGTATTAGCGCGTTCTTTTTGCTCGCTGTGCGTTCCTCGCTGTGCTTCCCTCGCTGTGTGTGTCTTGCGGTGGACCACCCCCGTGGCCGCAGGGCAGCGTTAGCGTCCACCCCGCTGACCTGTGCCTTCTCCTTCTGTTCCAGGGCGATGACAGTGACGGACAGCGGTGGGCCTGGTGGGCCTGGTGGGGCTGAAGGGCCTGGTGGGGCTGGTGGGCCTGGTGGGCCAGGCCGGCCCTCGCGGCGGCCCTTGCCCCGTGCGGTGCGGGGGGCAGTCGGCTGAGACGAGCCTCCCCTCGCCCTCCCCTTGCCGCCATAGGCCGCCATAGGCCGCCGGCATGCTGGAGGAGCACGTCGGAGGGTCCGGGGGCGCCGCAGTCCCCGGCGGGGGCCCCGGCGGCGGGGGGCCGGCGGTGCGGTGGGAGGAGGACGACGGCGGGGGGCACCCTGGGCACCCTGGGCACGCCAGCCCCCCGCCGTCGCTGCCCCTCCTCCTGCAACAGCAGCGGCCCCACTCCCGCTCCATGACCTCGCTGCCCCCGGAACCCTTCATGATCATGCGTGCCAAGGCGCTCAACAGGCGCGTCTGCATCAACGTTGGAGGCGTTCGGCACGAGGTGAGTGCGGTCCACGCGGTAGCCGAGTGGCATAGGCTCTGTCTGCGGGGCTGTAGATCGTAAGGTCAAATCCCCAAGGAAGTATTTTTTTTCGAACCGGAGTAAACGGTGTTATCTTTGCAGGTTCTGTGGCGGACGCTAGAGAGGCTGCCCCACACCCGCCTGGGCCGCCTGCGCGACTGCAACACGCACGAGGCCATCACCGAGCTGTGCGATGACTACTCGCTCGTGGACAACGAGTTCTTCTTCGACCGCCACCCGAGATCCTTCTCCTCCATCCTCAACTTCTACCGCACCGGCAAGCTCCATCTCGTGGACGAGATGTGTGTCCTCGCCTTCAGGTGCGCTCGCTAGGCACTAGGTGTTTAGCCTCGTCCAATTGACCCCGACCGCCCCACCTCCAATCCGGTCCATATCCATCTTGGCACGTCGCGCGACGCGCACGCCCTCGGATGCAGCGCGGTACATCACTCCCTCCCGCCGTTTTTTTGCCATCCATCCTCATCCCGGCCGGCGTGCCCGGCGTGCCCGGCGTGCCCGGCGCCACACACCCGACCCGCTGCTCCATGCCAGCCGCACCGCCGCCGCCGCGCTGCCACCAACGACGTGGACCCGGCCGGCGACGTCGCCGTCGACACGTCCCGGATGCCGCCGCGTACTCGCGGGTCCCGACCCGCGCGCACTCCTTCCCGCCGATGATGGACGGCGTGGTGTTCCTCGAGTCCCGGTACCCCGCCTGCCCCGCCGTGCCGGAAGCCGCGTCCCGGGCGCGCCCAAGAAGGCCGCGCCGCAGGTAGCTTTGTCTCGGCGACAGCGCAAGAAACTGCGTCCCGGCGCGTCCCGCCGCGTCCCGCCAACCAGCCGGACGGCCTTCATAACTTTCCCTTTTTTTGGGGCTGATTAGAGTCGAGAGCGCGAGCCAAGTCAAGCCTTTCCCCTTACCCCCACGCCCCGCCCGGCCTTCGGCCTTCGGTCAGCGCTTTCCTGGAGTCTCTGGAGTCCCTGGAGCACTGCCAGGCCTGTCTGCAGCGAGCCCGGACACATTCCCCGCCGTTCCGGCCGGGGCGGCAGAAATGAACCATGGCGCTGTTTTGTCTGCGGAACGCCGAAAGGATTGGGGGAGGGGAGGGGGAGGGGGAGTTAAGCCCCGCGATCAAGAGTGATGGACTCGAGGGAGGAGCCGGGGTAATTGCCGGCCGGATGACGCAGTCCGAGGCAGCCAAGCCCTTCATGAGAAATACCGCGGCCCGTCACACAGTGGGCCAGAAGACCAGCGCAGGCGGACAAAACTCCAGACGCGTTTTGAGCTCCAGAGTCGCTAAATGGGACTCGAACCGAACGTGTGACCCCACCGATGGATTTCTCTCCGAACGAGGAATCCGTTGGTGGGGTCACACGTTCGGTTTGAGTCCACTTCAGTGACTCTGCAGCCCAAAACGCGTGAAGAGTTTTGTCCGCCTGCGCCGGTCTTCTGGCCCACTGTGCATCCTCGTCCCGGTTCGCCATTTAAGAGTGTGCGTGTGTGCCCGCAGTGACGACCTGGAGTACTGGGGCGTGGACGAGCTGTACCTGGAGTCGTGCTGCCAGCACAAGTTCCACCAGCGCAAGGAGCACGTGCACGAGGAGATGCGCAAGGAGGCGGAGAGTCTGCGGCAGCGCGACGAGGAGGAGTGGAGCGAGGGCCAGTGCACGCAGTACCAGCGCTTCCTGTGGGACCTCCTGGAGAAGCCCACCACCTCCATCGCCGCCCGGGTCAGTATCGCTGCGCCGCTACGCCGCTGCGCGCTCCCCGCACCAACCCGTCGCAGACTGTTTATTTTTATTTTTGTATATAAGTAAACGTGCGGGGCGGGGGAATATGAATGGATGCACCGCGGCGCGAACCGGCGACTTCCACACTGAGCAGCACGAGCGCTTCCCACTCGGCTGTGGCGTCGACGTCGACCGCACCCTCGCCTTTTTCTCCACTTTCGACACTGCTGCCCCACTGTGATGATGCGGAGCTTTGTAATGACTGCGATTCGCCTGTTCGCTTGTTGGGAAAACAATTTCACTTACTTTGAAGTGAACGGCCTTTTATGAAAGGCGCTACCTCCCCACCGTGCCCCGGCAGCCCCCGGCCACGCCGCCACGTCACTGCCCCGGCTATTTATGTTTGGCCCCAAGTCGCCACCGTATCGTGTGCAAATGTTTGACCAGCAGTAGGCCGCTTCCGAGCGGGGCATCCCGTCGGGCTGTCCCTCTCCGAGTCCCTCTCCAAGTCCCTCTCCGAGTCCCTCTCCGAGTCCCTCTCCGAGTCCCTCTCCGAGTCCCTCTCCGAGTCCCTCTCCGAGTCCCTCTCCGAGTCCCTCTCCGAGTCCCTCTCCGAGTCCCTCTCCGAGTCCCTCTCCGAGTCCCTCTCCGAGTCCCTCTCCGAGTCCCTCTCCGAGTCCCTCTCCGAGTCCCTCTCCGAGTCCCTCTCCGAGTCCCTCTCCGAGTCCCTCTCCGAGTCCCTCTCCGAGTCCCTCTCCGAGTCCCTCTCCGAGTCCCTCTCCGAGTCCCTCTCCGAGTCCCTCTCCGAGTCCCTCTCGCAGCCACGCGGGATGCCCCGCGAGTGCGAGAGAGAGGGACATCGGTCTGCAGTGCGCGCCTCGCCTTGCGGCGCCTTGCTTCGGCCCCCGGCTTCGACAAACCGTCCCGCTCAAGTGGGAGGCGGGCCGGGCCTTTGTGCATCTGTCCGGAAACAAGGCGCGGTGGGGTGGGGTGGGGGGGGGGGAAGATGCAGAACAAGGAGAGACGAGGTGCTGCGGCTGCGGCCGCCACAGCCCGGCGGACTGGCGGACTACTGGCCTCGCGCTGCGCGCTGCGGGAGCCCCCGTCAGGTCCAGGGTAGGCTGCCCGCTCCGCTGCCGTGCCCCCGAGCTGCCGACGCGCCAGGCGCTCTGCCGCTCTACGCCGTGGACCGTGCGGTGCACCGCCGGGGCGGGCCGCCTGCCCGCCGACTCGCTTGCCGTGTTTCTCTGTTCCCTGCCAAGCTGTTGTGTGCATTTTGGTCCGCTGACTTGGCGGCGAGTGTGTGCGTGTCTGTTTTCCTTTTATTTCCGACGAGCGCAACGCATGGACTGCCGCGGGTTTGCATGTTTTGATTTAACCGCCTGTCCGAACAGTGGAACACGGTCGACGGTTCACGATGTCGCCGTTTCCCGCTGTCCCCGGACCATCTAATCACTGTGAATGGACTGTCGCCTGAAAGCTCTCCTGTCTCTCTCTTGCCGTGTGTTGTTGCGTGTTTCAGCTGGACTCCCCCTCAGCCTTCGGCCTCTTCAGTTAGTCAAAACCTTTCCGAATGGGCACACGCAATGACCAAGCGTTACACGGCGCCACACGGCGCGAGCAAGTCCCCGACCCCGCACTAACGCCCCCGCCGTGACGCCCCCGGTGACGTCATCAGTCGCCAGTGACGTCAGACTGAGGGCGCGCGAGTGCGCGGCCGGGGGCCCCTGATGGTGTTGCTGCGGTATCGATGTTGTTTCGTCCTTTTTACTCCTGTACATACCGTACCGCTTGCGGGCAAACACGCGACACGCTGTACAGCCACGCTTCTCCTATTCTCGACACACACAGACACCACCACACTGTCACACACCAACACTCCCACACTCACACCCTTTTTTCCTGCCTGCTGTGTATGGCGCCCTTCCAGCAGGTCAGACGAACAAACAGCAGTGGCAGCGCGTCGCGGCACGTCGCCCCACCGGAAGCGAATGCCATCCATCATCCGCGGCCGGTCAAGAGTTTTGACACGGCGAGGGCCGAGGAGACGGCCAAGATGAAACAGCACGTGGCGGCCCGGTGTGGCGCTGACCGGGCCCGAAAAAATGTCAAACAACAACAACAGAAAACAAACCAGATGAAGCATGAGTGTGTCATGTGCTGCACGCGGTGTGTCAGAGTGGCTGCTTGAGTCTGCTGCTTTCAACAATGTTTTGGGCTGACCGCTATAACTCTGTCTCTCTGTCTCTCTCGTCCCGCATTGTTGTTGTAACACACCCTTTCGGGTTGTATAAAAAATAACTGTACATTTCCTTCTGCATGCTCTGTGAAATAATGCTACTCGTGAGAAACTCGGGACCGCCTTTAATTCGCGTGTCCCTGGGTACGCGCGGAGGGGAGGGGAGGAGGAAGGGAAAGGGGAGAGGAGGGGTTCCAACTTGAAGAACAGAAGACGCCCTGCGTCCGCCCGTCGCGGCGGTTCGACAGCCACGCCACTGCCACGCCACTGCCACGCCACTGCCACGCCACTGCCACGCCACTGCCACGCCACTGCCACGCGCGGGACGCGGGGCGCGGGGCGCAGGGACGTGAGGTGGCCAAGTTGGAGGGCCCGGTGCCCTCGCGGTGCCCGCTGGCGCCGAACGCCCCCACTCAGCGCCTCGCCGCCCCGCCGCCTCGCCTCGCTCAGCGCGCCTAACGAGTTTAGCTTCCACTTTACTGCGCTGAAAGACCGGAAGATGCACCGACGCAAACTCGGCGAAACAAGTTTCTTTGTTCGCGGAGCCCCGCGGCCCCGCGGCCCGCAGCGCCATCGGTGCGCCCACAGGGGCAGGGCCGCCACATGTGGGCGGCGGGTGGGCGGCGGGCGGCTCGACGGCATGCCTGGCGGTGCGCGACGGAGCCTCGGTCGCTCTCCGCGCCCCGCTCCCGGCCCTGGAGTCCTCCAAGCGGGCCTCCTGGCCGGGCGCGGCGCCGCGAACCGCTGTCCGGGCTCCGTCGCTTACCGTGAGGTGGTGCAGGTGATCGCGGTCGTGTCCATCCTCTTCATCGTGCTGTCCACCATCGCGCTCACGCTCAACACGCTCCCCTCGCTGCAAGTCCACGACGGCACGGCGGGCGGCGTGCAGGACAACCCGCAGCTCGCCATGGTGGAGGCGGTCTGCATCACCTGGTTCACGCTCGAGTACCTGCTGCGCTTCTCCGCCTCCCCGGACAAGTGGAAGTTCTTCAAGGGCGGCCTCAACGTCATCGACCTCCTCGCCATCATGCCTTACTTCGTGTCGCTGTTCCTGCTCGAGACCAACAAGAACGCCACGGACCAGTTCCAAGACGTGCGGCGCGTCGTGCAGATCTTCCGGATCATGAGGATCCTGCGTATCCTGAAGCTGGCGCGCCACTCGACCGGGCTGCAGTCGCTGGGCTTCACGCTGCGCAACTCGTACAAGGAGCTGGGGCTGCTCATGCTGTTCCTCGCCATGGGGGTCCTCATCTTCTCCAGCCTCGCGTACTTCGCCGAGAAGGAGGAGCCGGGCACCAAGTTCCTGTCCATCCCGGAGACCTTCTGGTGGGCGGGCATCACAATGACCACCGTCGGGTACGGCGACATCTACCCCACCACCCCATTAGGCAAGATGATAGGCACCGTGTGTTGCATTTGTGGCGTCCTGGTGATTGCGTTGCCCATTCCCATCATAGTCAACAACTTCGCCGAGTTCTACAAGAACCAGATGCGGCGCGAGAAGGCGCTCAAACGGCGCGAGGCCCTGGAGCGGGCCAAGCGCGAGGGCAGCATCGTGTCCTTCCACCACATCAACCTGAGGGACGCCTTCGCCAAGAGCATGGACCTGATCGACGTCATCGTGGACACAGGTGAGCCAGAGGGAATTGCGATGAGTGCGAGTAAGTATTAAAATGAGATTGGTTGCCACACATCATGAAACTGACGCATTTTTGTTTTGGAAAATTTGAGATTTTCACATTATTTTCTTTGGTTACACACTAACCCAATCCCGGTGTTTCCACTTTCAGACAGTAACCGACGCTTTCTTTCAGAGACACGGGGATTCTCCTGTCCCTCCATGTTTCGCTTGATTAATATCCGCTCAATGGGGAAACTTTGCTTTGCCTTCGCTGCACCAGCGCGCCCTTTGGCAATCTGTCCTCGTGGTGGTGCTCGAGTGCAGGGAGATGGAGCCGGTTACAGTGGGCCAGAGGACCGATACGGAGGTGACGGAAACTCTAGACGACGCGTTTTGAGCTCCGGAGTCGCTAAACAGGACTCGAACCGAACGTGTTACCCCACCAATGGATTCCTCGTTCGGAGAGCAATCCATTGGTAAGGTCACACGTTCGGCTTGCGTCCCATTTAGTGACTCTGGAGCTCAAAACGCGTCCGGATTTTGACCGCCTCCACCGGTCTTCGGGCCCACTGTGGGATGGATCCCCTGGTCGGTGGGCCAGCGGGGAGGGCGGGTCAAGGCAGGACGTCGTCTGCAGTGCGACGCCGTCCTGCCCCGCCGCCCGCCCCCCTCGCTGCCTGTTGCTCCCATAGAGCGTGCTCACAAATTGGCGTATCGGGTTTCCGCCTGCTGGTCTGGCCTGCTGTCCGCAAGCATCCCCTTCCCTTCCTTGGCCAGCCTCGGCCAGCCTTGGCCTGCTCCGGCCAGCCCCCGGCTGCCAAAGGCTGCCAACATCCCCACGACCCACCAATGCCCGGCCACCTGCCTCCCTCCAGGCCGACGGTCGACAGCCGTTCGCCCAGCGGCTTTAAAAAACGATACAAAATACACGAAGACAGCGTGGGATTATTGGAAAAGTACGAGGGGTTGCCGCGGCGGCACGGGGACTCCGGACTCCGCCGCGGAGGTCCCCCTCGGGTTGCCGCCAATGCTCACCGACCTCGTGCTTTGCAGACCTGCGCACGGCGGCCGGCCACACCCTGGCGGAGCACAGCCTGGCGGAGCAGAGCAACTCGGAGGGCGAGGGCCAGAGCCAGGGCCACGGCGAGAAGGTGGCCGAGAAGAGCGTGATGGGGGCCTTGGGGACCATGGGGGCGGCCCAGCCCCTGCTCGTCGACCTGCCCCTCTCGTCCACCGCGCAGCTCATGGCGCCCATGGCGGCCGCCCCCGCCGCCGCGCCCTTGGTCGCCACGGCTCACTACGGCCTGCCTGCCGCCGCACAGACCAACGCGGCCCACCATGGGCAGGCCGCCCACCAGGCCGCGCACCAGGCCGCCCACCAGGCCGCCCACCAGGCCGCCCACCAGGCCGCCCACCAGGCCGACTGCCAGAGCAACCACCACTGCAGCCTGACCATGGACCAGGACGACGCGGACGAGAGGGCGCCGCTCACCGCCTCCCAAGCGGGCAGTCTGCCGGTGAGTGTCAGTGTCGCCCTTCTGTTGCGCAGCCGAAAAAGTCGCCCGACGAAATGTTCCCCAAATAACGCTGTGTTCCCCCTCCTTCTTCTTGCGCCTCCGTTGTGCGTTTTTTCCGGCTTGGCGTGGGCGCTCCCTCGCCCTCTTGCGTCTGTCAGCCGCCGGAGGGCGCCTCGCCTCACGTGTGTAGCTCGGGCGTTCCGGCCGGGAAAAAAAGGCGTTCGATGCGGGAGATTGACAGCCGCTAAATGGCCACTCGTTTTCCTTGTGCAGCGGAGCAGCGGACCTGTTGAGCGATATGCTTGTCCAGGCGGGGCCAGGCTGGGCCGGGCGCGGCGGGGAGGCGCGGAGGGACGCGCTTGAGTCGCCGCGCGGCTACAGAGAAAGCGCTCTCTGCTTTCTTTTATTCGGGCCTTCGGCTTTCGCCGCTCTCGCCCTTCGACGCTGCCGCCCCTCCGCGTCCCCACGGCCTTACACTGCCGTGACCTCCCACCTGTGGACACCCAATAAAACCTTTTTACTGCGCTGCCAGCCTCTCACGCCGCCACGCTGTAAGGCGTTCGCGGTTCGCCGCATCCCCGCTCGGCGTTCGCGGCTTCGAATACCAGCGCCGGCGGTTCCGCCACTTTGTTTTTCGCGCTGCGGCTTCGACCACCGCCACGCACTTGGGGTGCTTGCCCCGCGCGCCTTAGTTTGGCGCGCGGTCGCCGAAAGGTGGCTGAACAGGGCTTTCCGCGGCCGCCAACTTCGGGGCAAACGAGCGGCAGGGCCTGCGGGAGGGGTGGGGGGCGTCAAACTACCTACTCGGCTTGCGCGCGGCGTAAGCGCGTCCTGCGAGTGCAGCCAAGGCAGCCAACGGCAGCCAACGGCAGCCAAGTTAGGCCGAGACTTTGCGGTGCTGCGGCGCTGCGGACCCCAAGTTGGCAGCCCTGCTTTGCTTCGACGGCCTCCCGGACCGTCCCGGCGTCCTGGGCCCATCGGCTGACCTCACGTCGCCGGGCCGCCTCCCGCCTCCCAAGCAGCTCTTTCCATCTTTTTCGATCTTTTCCATCCGCCCGGATCAAAATTGGACGAGAAACGGCGACTCTGAAACGAGACCCCTCACCCTGAATCCAGCTCGGCCCCTTGTTCTGACAACAGTGTCTCATATTCTTTCCGTGCCTCTCTCTTATTTTTAACTTTCTCCTCAACAGGATGACAGCAAAGACAGCAAGAAATTCGACAAAGTTGACGAATTCCCCAGTGAGTTCGAATGTTGCTTTTGCACCACCAAGGTAGAGTCTGAGTTACATTCGATCCAAACAAAGTCTGTGTCGTGATCGTGTCCGTGTGTGTGCACTGCAAGCCGTAGTTTTGTCTTTGCCCGCACTGCCGTGGGCGCGCCAGTGCCGGGCCACGGGAGCCTCAGGGTGTAACGTTTCCTTGGTCCGGCCCGGGGAAGGGAAACTCCCCGGAGTATAACTGAAATTGCGGCGCTAGGCCCATTGATCCCGTGGGAGACTTTGGGAGGCCAGCCTTTAATGGTCCAAACCAAGGTCCAAACTAAACTTGCAAGTTGCCTCATTAAGGGGGGCCAGGCCACTGCCAGGCTCCACCACGCCGCCCCACGCCCCGCCGTGTGGTGGGCCGCACTTGCCGCCGCTGTTTTAAAACCCCATTTGGAAACAAAAACAAAACTAAATTATTCCGTCTTCGTAAAAACCACAGAAAAAGAAAACAATGGCTGTTTCCGATTCGAGCAGTGGCCCTGGCGGCGCCCTGGCGCGCGCACAGCGCTATCAAAGAGGAGCGCTGCTTGAGAATGATGTAGCTTTCCTTTCTGCCCGCTACACTGCAGAATGTCCGTAGTGCATGCGTCTGTGTCGCACCAGTAGAAAACTTCAACACCTGCTTTGTGTTTTTTGTGAGTAGAAATGTAGTGCCCCCTGCAACTGTGTCCGAGACAGGCAGCCGCAGCGTGGAGTCGGTTGGGTTGCCTCCCTCCCGGGCGAGGCGAGGCGAGGCGCGGCGTCCGGGCTCCACGACGGCGTCCTCGCGCCGGGTCGCCCTGCTGGCACACTGCTGCACGCCGAGATAAAGTCATTGCTCCCCGCGACTCTGCGACTGCGCGGCGTCTGCGCGGCCGATCGCGATACGCCGAATGAAACCGGGCACCGTTTCGCGCTCTCCCTCCCGCCTCTCGCCCCCGCGACGTCGCGCTGTGTGTGGGTGTGTCTGTGTGCGCTTCGTGTGGGTGTGTTGAACCAAGGGCGCATGTGTGTGTGGGCGTGTGTTTACGTGTGAGGGCGCTTGCTTTCGGTGCCTGGCGGTCAATGTCAATATTCTGGGGGGAAAGAACGTATGAAATGGAGTCCCTATCGCCGGCTGTCGATATGCAATTGGATTCGGAATAAACCAATAACCAGAAAACCAATCTGCTTCGGTGTGAGTGGCATCGCTTGACAATGCTGGGCCGCTCTCTGTTTTCGTCTGCCGCCAGTCTTTCCCTATCGCTGTCCTCTGTGTGACTTATAATTGGCCTTGGAGTGACTCACGCCTACCATGTCCTGTTCGTGAGAGAGAGTGAGTGTGTGTGTGTGTGTGTGTGTGTGTGTGTGTGTGTGAGTGAGTGTGCGCGAGATTGCGAGAGTGAGAGAGAGGGGATGAGACCCAGTCGTGTGATGCAATGTGCAGGCCTCGGCGAGACGGAAAATGGACGCCCCCCAGGGCCCCAGGGCAGGGCCGAAGGCAGGCCCCAGGGCAGGCCCCAAGGCAGACCCCAAGACGGTCCCCAAGAGCCCCCGCACCCCCCGAGGGTGCACAGGCGGCGTGGCAGCACGAACCAACTCTGTGTAGCGGAATGACCCGCAGGTGAGTCCACCCACCAGGGCATGGGAACGAGACACAAGTTTTTCCGGCAGGGCGGCACCCTCGCCACCGCGGTGCACCGCCACCGACCGCCACCCTCGCCGCGCCCCGGTCGTTTCCCGCCAGCCGCGCCGGCAACGGCGGCAACCCTATCCGGCGGTCGGCGCGTCCGGACGGCGTGATGCCGCCTGACGCCGCGTGAGCCTCGAGAAATATCGCGTGATCCCAAAGTAGGTCCCACCCTTTAATCCGGGGACCGGGGCCCCCGGCGGGGCGGGGCGGGGCGGGGCGGGGCGTGGCCCCCGTGGTCCCGGCCGGCAGCGCGGCCACACCCTTCCGACGGCTACCCCGCCCCGCCCCGCCCCGCCCCGGCAGCCACGTGACGAGAACGCCCTGCCTGCGCACTCCACGTGCCGCGTCACGATCGCAGGTGCGTGCGGGTTGCAGGCCCCGGAGACACTGACGCTGCAGTCGCCCGATGAACACTTTGGCGGTCGAAAGCGTCGGGGCGCCGCCACGTGACCGCCACGTGCCCGCGTGCCAGAGGCAGCCAGAGGCAGCCATTGGCAGCCAGAGAGGCTCGAGGGGCTCAACCTGTCAAACGCCTCACACCAGAGCCTCTCAACGGCGACGGCCGCTGAAGGCTTCGGCTTCGGCGCGTCCATGCCGTTTCCCACGTAGCACCGCGTACACCGCGCAGCCGCGCAGCGCCTCATTGGCCGTCCTGGCGTCCCTCCGCGGCCGCGGCCACTATCGCGACGCCGTGCGGCGCCAGTTAGCGCCACCCCTCCCCTTCGCTTCGAGTGCCCACACACGGCCTCGCAGAGGAACGAATTTCGCCGACGAGCACGTCGGGAGGCAGCGTACCCGGAAACTTACGGGCCCCACTGTAAATCCCAGACGAGCTGAGCCCCGCGCGATACGGCAGTACGGCTGCTGCTACTCCAAATCGTGACGTGACACACTTGCAGGCCAGCTCCTGATATCGGTTGCGAACCGGGTAGGTGCGACGACTCGTGTCCTGTCCGGACTTTCGACTTTCGAGTGGTTGGGGTGCCGCTCCTGGGTGTTGCCCCAGGCCGGCCCAGGGCCCAGCCCGGCCTGGCGACGCGGCGACCGCCACCACCTTGCCGCGACCTTTCGGAACGCAATGGACGCCGTGGGTCCGGCGCACAAGAGTCGCTGAACAGGACTAGAACCGAGCGTGTGACCCCCACCAATGGATTCCTCACTCGGAGAGCAATCCAGTGATGGGGTCACATGTTTGGTTTGAGTCCCATTTAGCGACTCTGCAGCTCAAAACGCGCCTGGGACTTTGTCCGACTTTGTCCGCCTCCGCTGGTCTTCTGGCCCACTGTGCGCAGACCTCCCCTCTTTACGGTGCACTTCCCAGCTTACGGTCTGCGAAGAGCGCTCTGGTACAACGAGTGCAGGCCTATCCTGTATCTCCGACGTGCGTGCAGACACGAACCCTATCTCATTACTGCTGCGGCGTCGAACTAATCGCGTAAACACACCTTTAGTGTCGTAGAATTAAGTACGTCGTTGAAAATGGCCACCGAATAGGATCGGCGGCACTGACAGTCCCGAGACGTTCCGAAACGATGGATTCCGCACCGAAGTAATTCAGACAACCAGGTTGGTTCGACAGTCAGTACCACGCTTATTCTATGCAACCGTTCGTAGAAAAGTCGAAAGAAAAGATTTGCCTCGACTCCTGTACTGGTAGAACTTGCATGTCTCCCATCAGCCCTGATGCAATATGCATCGTAAAAGCTAGGCTTTCCGGACAGACACCCATCCAGTAGGTTTGCAGCTCTTATCTTAGTTTGGTCGGGATCATTAGTGGCGTTTCACTTTTCACACCTACACGGTACACAGTAGTCACTAACGAGTAACAATACTTAGCTGCTTGAAATACTGTATTAGACACCATATCCACCGTGTTAGTTGTGATTTTACTACATTGTCTGGTTATTCACTTTGTAAATTAAAATGTGGAATTTAACCGCTTCCATTGTGTACCGGTTTCATTCGCACCTCACGTTGCATCCCTCGCTGTGTCCAGAACCTCAAGGAACACTGCGACGCCGAGGGCCTGATGTGTCTGCCTACGAGCGACTACAAGAACCCCGTGTGCCTTGAGATGAGGCTCCTCAGCTCGGGCGGCGTCGACCTGCTGGACGGCTCCAACGACCTCGTCTTCATGGACGACAACATGCTGCTGGAGCAGCCGGACGGCAACGCCAACAACACCGGCCCCTTCACCGTCAGCAACAACAATAACAACAACAACGGCTTCGACGTGGGCAGCGTGGACAGCTCCGGCACCTACGTGTCGTGCCAGACGCAGCCCTTCTTCTCGCAGGGCGACCTCACCGACGACCTGATGGGCGACTCCAACCTGTACGTCAACCCCATGCAGGGCGCCGACAGCGTGGTGAGTGCCAGGCCAGACCGCCAGGGCCGCGGACGAAAAGCGTCCCGCTGCGCCACGGACGGACCACAGTGGGCCAGAAGACCGGCGGAGGCGGCCAAAAATCTAGACGCGTTTTGAGCTCTAGAGTCGCTAAATGGGACTTGAACCGAACGTGTGACCCCACCAATGGATTGCTCTCCGAACGAGGAATCCATTGGTGGGGTAACACGTTCGGTTCGAGTCCCATTTAGCGACTCTGCAGCTCAAAACGCGCCGAGAGTTTTGTCCGCCTCGCCGGTCTTCTGGCCCACTCTGCGGACCACGACGTTGGCCCCACACTGTTGGCGCTATGCCGCTGACCTACACCGTTAATGGTCTGCAGGTGCGCGGGGTCCGGAAGAGCGCCTCCGGGGACACGGCGCTGCGGTCCGCGGTGGCGGCGGCCTCCATGGACGACGCGGACCCCCGCTTCTCCTCGAGGGGCTCCAGGACCTCGCTGGGCGACAGCCCCCGCCAGCAGCGGAAGGCGCGCTTCCAGCAGGTGAGCCCCCCAGCCCCCCAGCCCAGCCAGGCCCTTTTGAATAATGCAAGTTCTTCCGCCCGCATCCCGGTCGCGTGGCCGTAGCGGCCGTGGCGCCGTCCGAGAATCTCGCAACGAAATCACGTTCCAGAGCGGCAAGGGAGGGCGCGGCAAGGCGCGCTTCGACGTCCAGGGCAAGCAGACCTCCTCGCTGGACGGCGGCGAGTCGCTCGAGTCCCTGGAGACCAACAGCAAGACGGGTCGCGGTGGCGGCAGTGCGGGCAGTGCGGGCAGTGCGGGCGCCAGCAACACCAGCAGCTTCCGTCGCCCGTCGTTCCTGCCGCCGAAGGGGCTGGCGTCGTCCGCCACCAAGATCATCAACCACCACCTGTTCGGTGAGTGCGCGGCGCGCGGCCAGGCCAAGGGCCAGGCCCACCCCTGTACATAATTGGCAGTTCCTTCGGCCGAGGCCATGGGGTACATGGAGTAGCTGTGGTAACACTTTAGCCCAGTCAGCCGCGATTCGGTTGAAGTGTCGCGGGTGCATTGCACGGTAGAGTCGAGTATGTTTTGTTTGAAGTACTGTAAAGCAGGTTACTTCCTTGCTCGGTTCTTGTTAGCGTACTTTAACCAGTGTAGAGGAGAGTAGACCGACTACCTAGCTAACGACACATAGAAGGTTGAGGCAGCCAGGATGTCGACACAGAACTGATGTTGGGTTGGGCTGCAGGGAAGAACGGCGGCAGCAAGTCGTCCCTGTCGGCCGAGTCCACGGAGCGGCCCGGCGGCGCGGCCGGCAACGGGGCGTGCTCCACGCCGGAGCCGCAGCGGCGCAGCAAGTCCATCCTCAAGAAGGCGGTGGACGGGGGCGGCAGGGGGTCGGCCGGGGGCAGGGGCGGCTCGGCGGACCCGGAAACGGAGCAGCTCATCTCGGACTCGGTCAGCCTGGACAGCGAGTGCTCGCCCGCGCGGCGGCCCAACGTCCACTCCTCGCCGGCGGTAAGCATGCAGTGCGGCGGCACGGCGGGCGGCCAAGGCCAGCCCGCGCCTCGCAAGCTCCTCTCCAGCCACAAGTTTACTTTACTTTCATTTTCCATTTCATTCCACTTGAAATCTCATGGTGCGTCCCGTCTGAGGGGTGCGGTGTTTGAAAGACAGCGCGTAGGCATCAAGGCTCCCGGCGTAGCATGACTAGACCGTCCACGCGAGGGGACGCGAGGCCTCCCCCACCCAAGGTGGACATGACAGTTTTGGACCGAGTTGACTTTTCATGTGCTGCCCTTTATAGGTTTGACGAATGCATTCCGCTGTCCTCCAATTCCTCTGAGGTCCTGAGAGGTGAGCCATCACACGATGCAACGTGGCCTTTTGCTTTGCGGGTGGAGAGACAACGCGCGGTCGCTTTCAGTGTGTGTAAAAAAACGAAACAAAGAAAGCAGGAAAGCAAGCCATGGAGCCACTACAGCAACAAACGGGCTTCGCTTTGCACTCATATGTCGGCATCAAGTCTTTGCCGGGCTTCGCCTTGGGCTTCGCCGGGCTTTGCGCTGCGAGTCCTGAAGGCCCTGAAGGAGAAAGTGGTTACTGGGCGGCGCGTCCTGGGAGTCCTGCCCGTCTATCGCCTCCTTCCTCTTGTAATCTCTCGGCTATCTGGGAGACGCAAAAAATTAAATTAAAAGAAAAGGAGCGATGCTTATCGGCACGCCACTGTGTGCCTGTCGGGACATTGCATTCCACTGCAGACTGCAACAATGTCCCTCAATGTTCCCGCGCTGCCTGATGTACTCGCCGCAGACAAGCTGCTGTCAAATGAGCTTCAAAACGTCATTTTGCCTTTGTGTGTGTGTGTGTGTATGTGTGTGTCTAACTCACTATTCGTCTTCTAACACCACGTCGTGCCTGGAACAAACCGGAGGCATGTACTACTGACTCGATTCCATAGTTCACCTTGTATAGTTTAGTGTAACAAAAACTGTATACAGTACAGTAGGACCTTTTTTCGATACAGAGTAATAGTCGTAAATACAGTACTTGTAAAGATAAAATTACAGTAGGCTACGATGGATTCTAGAATACAGTCTCATATTATTTGGTTGTACACAGAGACGCTTAGTATAGAAAACGGTAGCATCCATAATTTCAAACGTTGGTAGTTACTTACATGACTTACTTTATTTTACGTATCCTTTTGTTCTGATGCACATTAAATATCTGATAGATGACAAAGGTCATGAGGGGCCATCACAATATCCTAGTGGGTAGGCAGTCGCGTGCAGCTTACCACGTCGTTTCATGAAGTCCGTTGGCAAAAAAACAGCAACACACAATTCAATTTTTATGTGGACCTGTCAAAAGTGGTTAATGGTCTTTGGTTTGTTTCTATCGACGTACACAAAAACACGGACCCCCTGCACCCCACTCTCCCTTTCTGTTATTGAATTTTCATGAACCCTGGACTGCCTCTTTTGCACAGCCGACGACGTCCTCCAAGCCGACACCCATCATCAAGGCGACGACCACGTCCGTGACGCCGACGCCGCGCCCGGGGACAGCGCCGAGCCGACTGGACAGCCGGACGGACAGCCGGGCGGAAGGCGGGCAGGACGACGGGCCCGCCGTGGTGGGCCGCGCGGCCATGTCCGCCAGGCACCTCAAGGCCGTGTTCCTGGAGAGCGGGCCCGGCGCGGTGGCCGTCTCGGCCGTCTCAGGCGCCGGCCCGGGCGCCGCCACCACCTCCAGCGCATTACTAGGTAATCCCGATTCTCTTGGCGGCGTTGCTCGCGAACATTGAGTGCGGATCTGAACGACCGACCGTCCCGGCCGGCAGGTGACGGCGTGCGTCGCGGCTCGTCCCTGGAGGACCACTCCGACGCGGAGCAGTCCACGACGGAGGAGACTCGGCTGCTGCGACGCCACCAGTCCGAGCAGGCCAGGCCGACGAGGGCCGACGGGGAGGCGGGGGCGTCCAGGGCGTCCAGGGCGGCGCCGGCCGCGCTCACCAGGCACCTACACCAGTCGTAGCGAGTCGGAGCCACCGCCTCCACGGCCTCCACGGCCACCCCGGCCTACGACCCAGTGGCTGGGCCTCCACGAGGAACCTCTGATTGTGTTGGCAGCGCGGCCAGCGCTGTCATCCCCCGACTGTCTCATCGTGTGCCCCCTGCAGAGGGATCCAGTGCTGTAAATATTATTCGGACACATAAGAGAAACGTAAACCTAATTGAATTGTTTAAAACGCATATTGCCTGCCCAGAGTTATCATTACGATGCTACGTTGTACATATATATTTTCCGTTTTTATTACCGTTTTTTTTGTAAGTAGGCGAACTTGTTTGCTCAAAGATGTTTGTGAATATTGATAAGTAGGCTCAGGCGACTAAATAGGCACACACTAGCGCGAGTGTGCGACGCGTGCAAAATGCGTGCAATGCGTGCTATGCGTGCTATGGCAATAAGTACGTCGAGTGAGAGCATCGTTTCTTCCGCAAGGCCCAAAACAAAAGTACCTCGCCATTCTCGTCAGGATTTGAACCCATGACAATCACGAGAGAGGCGCGTTTCTGCCGCCACGCGGGTTGACGTGCGGGACGGCGTTCCGTCGTCCTTTTTGTTCCGTTTGTGTGGCATCTGCACTTGACTCACAACGATGGGCGTTAGCGCCCCCAACGACAGGCTGACCAAGCCACGCCAGCCTGCGCCAGCCTGCGCCAGCCCCCGAGCGTCATCCTCCGGGAGCCCCTGAGGGGTAGGCAACCCCGCACGCAGTTGCGCGCTCGCGTTGCCTACCTCCCATTACCATTACCATTAAGGGCTAGACCACACATGATCGTATGTCATTTCGGGCCAAGCCAACCCACAGATTGGCCTGGCCGTGGACTGGGCGGGGCTGGGCTGGGCTGGCCGTCGGCCTGGCGTCGGCATGCCGTCCGCTTGCACCGGACACGCCAGGCCGTTCAACTATCTGTTAGGAAAGAAAAGAAACGAAATTCTAAACGTGTAACCGCGAACCCCTCTGGCCTCTCTTCCAGGAGGACTGACTTACTTTCTTGGAAACTGTGTCGCAGTGGAGGGAGAAAATGAGCAATTTTGTAGTATGAAATTTTAAGCTATGTTTATATATTTAATTCATAGTCGATGATGCGATCCGCATTAGGGCCTACCAACCCTTTGCAGAACAGAATGTTTAGTTTATTTTAATGCTGTGATGTGATAAAAATTTATGTGAATATTTTCAATTACAAAGAGAATTACGAGCCTGTTTTGAGCAAATGTTTTTCCTATTAATAAGTTTTGTTGTCGTTATTGCACAATGTTGATTCTCTTTTAGACGGTTTTTGTGAAAGAATGTTTTATTTACGGATAAAATACCTTCCCGAGATGTGCGATAATTCTGTCTGTGCGACTGTCTGCAGCGTCTTCATAATGATGTAGTTCCGCCAAACTGGGAAAAAGAAATATCGAATGTGAGCTCACATTGTCCAACACTTTTACGCCATTGGAAAAACAAAACATTCCTCTTCAAAGTTTGCAAAGGTGCACTACTTTTGAATCGCCGAGTGCATTTCCAGGCGAGGCCCCGCTCAATGTAACCCCTAGTCGTGCAACTGTTTGCAACTGTTCGCTCTTTCATCGCGACACTTGCGCGGGACAAAAGCCGTGTCGGCGGGGACGCCACTTGCATTGTGGGACCACAACGTAGAGCCCACCGAACCTGTTCGCTGTCTGCGTGCAATTTTGGCTGGGGAATTCCCTGGTGGCCGACCACCGCACCGCCAGGCCCGGCCAGGCCCCGTAGGCCGTAGGGACGAGGCAGGGGAATCAGCTTCCGCTTGGTCCTGATCGTCGTTTTTGTTGTCAATTAATCTATTCGCTTGAGTTAGGCTACGTGGCACGAGCATATCTAAACGTACTTTATCATTCGCATCGATTCACTATTCTCTATCTCTGTTCGATCTTCACGTGTCTCTATAGTTTACTCCTTGCAATCATTCTAAACTTTTGCTTCGTGTCTTTAGCATTGAGGCTACTAGAGAATTGGCTTTACTTACGCACAACAAGTGCACATGACTGAAAGCAGTTGAATATTTAGTCTAATACATTTAAGAAACTATTATCTTCACAGGTAATGTCCATGTTCCCGTCGATACTAAACTCAGACTTATTTTGATATGTTTCGAATTACCACGCTCCAGGTATAGCATAATTGTTAACTAAAGCTTCAACGTGAGAAAGGCGTGCTTCTATTAAGTAGGCCCGTACCTGGGAAGCTCTTAAAGGACGCGAAATTCGGCCAGACCATTTGATTTAATGTGTAGTCACGGAACGAACAGCGTCCGGAAAGAGTAAAATTTGGCATTTCCATCAGAGTAGGTAAAACTATTGAAAAAAACAGTCAGCCGCGCACCCATGGCGCTGAAAGGAACACACTGCAATCATCTGCGTAGAATTTGACAACTCCAAACAGCGACATTCCGGAATGTGCCAAAACCAAAGAATTATCAAACTCCGCTTAGCAAAGTAACATCCGCCCACAATGGACGATGAAATGCCTTTAGCCCAGTAGACATCTAAATTATATTTTTGAAAATATGAAAAACCAATCAAACCAGAATAAAATTGATGATTTAGGATGCTATTAATTAATGTTTTTCAAAGCGCATAGATTTTGTTACAATGTTCTCTTTGGAGGTAGTGGTGGTTTGTAGTTCCCTGTAGACCGCTGCGGGTTCTTTCGACTTTATAACTCTAATTAATATTGTGTCCATCCCATGACATGATTGGAGAGACCAAAGCACGGTCACGCAGCACAGGCTAAGTCAGAGGATGGCTCATTAAGATGTTATTTATGTTGTTTTAATTTTGTTTTGCAACGAAAGCAATACGTCAATAACTTCAATATTTACAGGGTTACTTCATCGATTCGATACAATCATATCGTCTTTTGACGCTCACTCTTAATCCTTTTACGACGAATCTTAAATTTTTACTCCCTTTTGGCGAGTTTGAGCCATGTTCAAATATTTGTACGGCTTTTACCTGTAGCTTCCATCATGTTGGGGATAAGCCAATCCTAAAAACATGCATTCCAGTTGTTACCATAGAGATTTTCTTTTTTTGGAAGTTAGAAGAAACATAAGACGTTATTCCTTCTGGTCCTTTAATTCTTATTATTTTAAAAGAGTTACCTTATGATAAGTTTGACTGGATATTGAAGTGATTATTTTGAAGTGTTATTGCCCAATGCATACTTTGTTGATATCCAATGTGAATAAAAGTTTTGCAGTTGTACGTTTGTTGTTTTACTGCCCGCTTCCAAGAGAGGGAGGTAGAAAAAAGGGTCGCGTAGTCGGTGGATCGGCCACGATAAGGCAGAGTAGCGGCCCTCCTTATCGGGAGCCTCAAGAGCCCCTGGCCGGCACGGCACCGGCACGGCACCGGCACCCCTAGTCCAGCTGCTTAAGCCGCTCGACCTCACACCTCACGTAGGCAATCAAGCCTCTTCTACCCGTTGTGGAAACGTCGAGACATTCTTCGTTATTTCACGAAAAACAACAAAAAAACAACCAACCACGCACCGGGCTTCACCTGTTCGAGGTTTCTCAGAGGAGCGGCGGTCACGGCCATAGAGCGGCGTGTTTGGAGGCCGCCGTGAAACGACCTTGGTTACGGTAGTGTACGTGCAGTGCAGCTATGCCGCAGCCCGCCCGATTCGCAGAGGAAGCTCAATTAACGAATCCAACTCGATTACTGGGCGGTCTTCCCCGGGTACGTGGAAGGTGGACGGGAAGGTGCCCAAGTGCGCCGCGGTGCACGAGAGCCGTTTCTTAGGTCCGGGCCACTAGAATCTGCCAGCCAGAAGTGCAAAAGAGACAGAGCGAAGGCTCGGCGGCTGTTCGGCCCGCGCAACAGTAGTGCAGTAGTTGCATTTGTGTCCCCGCTCTGATAAAAGAACCGCAGAGTGGCGGTGCTTGTCGAGCACGTGTCCGGGAAGTGGGAGGGGGAGGCGAAAACGGCCGAAAACGGCCGAAAACGGCCGAAACGGCGAGGCGTGAAGAAGCGGCCGCGGGGAAGGCCGAGGCTGGCCGAGGTGCGCCCAGCTGCCTGTTGCCTACCGGCAGGGGCAAGACGCGGCGTGCTGCCTACCTTACCTGCTCACTGCACGCAGCAGGTCCAACTCTCCAGTGCAGTCGCGTGCCTCCGGGGTGACGTCATACGCGAGTGTTGACGAGTTCGCGAACGCCCCTGGAGCAAGAGAGAGGGAAGGCCGGGTAAGAGGGGTGATACCAGAGGAGAGAAAGAGAGAGGGAAGGGGGCCGCCGATGCGATTGCGACGCCGCGAACCGCAGTGCGCCTGTTGACGGCCATGGCGTTGTGCACATTGACGCGTCCGGTGATTACTCGCCACGGCGGGCCCGTCTGTGACGTGCAAATTGTTGCGCTTACGCCCTTCGGAGACACACAGTGTGTCCACACGGCCTTGCCGCGGTCCTTGTGAGTCCTTGGCGGCGGTGCGGCTCCCTCCCTCCGTCCGCGCGCCTCGCTTAAGGGCGGGCCCCAGCCAGGGCCCCGGCAGTGCAGGCCCGCCCCTCCCTGCCGCCCTGCCCCTCGGACGTGTATCGCGGACCGCGGCCAGCCATCTTCAGGCGGCCCGCCGTCAGTCAGTCAGTCAGTCAGCGCGAGAACGCCGAGAAGCGAGCAAGCTTCTAGCTGCTTCTTGCGCGCGGCAGGGCTGGCTCTGCGTCGCTCTGCGTGCACTCCGCATCGTGCAGCTCGTGCCGCGGCCGACGGGCAGGCACTATCTCTGGATACGACAGGTGTGTGTGCGGGCCGAGTGTGCGTGTGTTTCCAGTGCATCGGTGTGCGGCGCGACCAATCAGGGACCGCGCGGCCCAGAAAACGGAAAACGGCTCCTCCTCGCGCGAGCGCGCGTGAGCGATTGCCCCTTATCCCCGTGGAATTCGGGAGATTCGAACCCGGGTGCACCGGCCGGTGCAGAAGGCATGGCAGGGCTGGTTTCGTTTCGTGTGTTCACGGGTTGCTGCGTTTCCTTTCTCTGCCCACGTCTCCCTCGTGATGTGTGCCCCAATGGTGTGTGTGCCCTGATTGCGACGTGTCGTCGTGTCCGATTACCGCGGTGGCCTTACCTGGCCTGGATGGCCGACGGGGCCGAAGCGAAGCAGCGGCAGCGACGCAGAGAGCACGAGGCACGAGTCGACGCGCGGCCCGGCGGCGTGCTGGCGCTGGCGGTACTTCCCCGCCCCCACTTCCCCTTCCGCTGGGCCTTTGCCCCTGCTCCCCCCCCCCTCCTCCCTCGGATCCCAGCTGTCTCCAGCTGTCTCCTGACTCCGTGCTTTCGGCTGCTTGCTGTCCTTTCCAACTCAACCTCGTCACCCTTTCTCGCTCCAACACGGGGCGTGCCTGTTTAGTTGGCTCAAACCGGGGACAAATGTAGGTAAAAGTGACCTGGTCGAGCAGAGCTAGTGACTTCCTGGGAGATGTCTTTGTGAGTGTCAGGTTCCATGTCCGTGGTCGTGGTCCCAGCCGATCACAGTGTCAACATCTCTACTCGACACGGCAGTCATTTCTCTCCATGTTCGACATGGCTAAATACAACATGGATTTTGTTCAGTTGCCTATTAACGTTGGATGAACCTAGCTTAAGGAGTCCTTGCCCTCGTAGTCCCCTGGCGCTAGGCTTGTTTTGTTTGTCCTCGTAGAGGTTATGTCAATTTTTATGTAATAAAACGCAAGGCACATTATTTTGATTCGGTTTGTGGTTTAATGTGAGGTCTCTATCAAACCTAGACCGCAGGTGCTGATCTGGTACAGTAATGCTTATTGGCCCCGATTTTTATCCTTCTCAAAAATAGAACGCTTTAAAGTCAGGATTCTTTCTAATTACCGAAAGTTGAATCTGTTTTCTTTGTTTGTAGGCTCTCCTAGTTAACAATGGCAAGCCACCAGGGAGACCGCTATGCGGACAAGACACCACAGGAGGGAGTCGTCAATGCAGCAATGTTTGCAGATGAGAATACAAACCTCTCACCCTCTGCCAAACAGACTTACTTTAAGGACCATCAGATTCTTATTCCGGATTCCGAAACGGTTGGTCTTAAATTTTGAGTTTGTCCCTGTTTGATTTGATGTCGCTCTATTTATGATGTGCGGTTTTGTTTTTTACAGAAAGGGTTCAGCTTCAGGAAGCTATGGGCTTTCACGGGTCCTGGTTTCTTGATGAGCATAGCTTATCTGGATCCTGGCAACATTCAATCAGATTTAAAGTCTGGCTCAACAGCTATGTATAAGGCAAGTTGGTGGCCTTTTTCATATTGGTGCCATTGTTGGTTGATTCTGACTGTTTTTGTGTGGTTTGTTTTCAGCTGCTATGGGTACTTCTGTCTGCCACTCTATTAGGACTGTTGATGCAGAGGTTATCTGCTAGGCTGGGAGTTGTGACTGGATTACATCTTGCTGAGATGTGCTTCAGACAGTATCGAAAATTACCCAGACTACTGGTTTGGATAATGATAGAGGTCGCCATTATCGGCTCTGATATGCAGGAAGTCATAGGAACAGCAATAGCTTTGAATCTGCTAAGTAACTCACTGTATGTTAAGTTTCAGTTGAAGTACTCTCTAAATTATAGACTGTTTTCTGATAATGCTTTTGCCTTCTTTACTAGAATTCCTTTGTGGGCTGGAGTGCTGATCACAGCAGTGGATACCTTCACATTCCTGCTGTTAGACAGATATGGACTGCGGAAATTGGAGTTGCTTTTTGGAATTTTGATCAGTGTGATGGCAATTGCTTTCGGATATGAGGTAAGTTGTGATTTTAAAGCAACATTCAAGTCAACTAATCTTGCAAGTGTTAAAATTCAGTCTTTCTAATAATGAAAATAATTCTACTTTTCAGTATGTTGTTGTTGCCCCTAATCAAATTGAAGTTTTGAAGGGAATGTTCATTCCGTGGTGTGAAAATTGTGACAGCAGAGCTCTTCTCCAAGCTGTGGGTATTATTGGTGCTGTCATAATGCCTCATAATATGTATCTTCACTCTGCTCTTGTAAAGGTATCTATTGAATTTTTTAATTGTATGATGAATTTTGGGCCTTTTCAGGCATGTTTCATAGAATTTTTAATATCTGTAATTTTAATGTCTTGACCGTCATTTTTGGATTTCAGTCTCGTGATGTGGACAGGAAGAAACCTGAAAAAGTGAAGGAGGCAAATCGCTATTTCTTCATTGAAGCCTGTATAGCTTTATTTGTCTCCTTTATTATTAATGTGTTTGTTGTCTCTGTCTTTGCTCATGGGCTCTATGACAAAACTAACTATCAAGTGGTAAGTGTAATTTTTTTCAATCATCAATTTTTTTAAATGGGTGGAGTTAAAGTAAAAATCCAACAGTCTTCTTAAACAGTTAAAATATTTCAGCATAATGTATGTGTTGCCAGTGGAAATGACATGGCTGATATCTTTCCGGTGAGTGACTATCCCATTGCAATAATAATTATTCTAAGACTCTAAATAACATTTAGTTGTTGTCTTGCAGAAAGATAACGAGTATGTAGATGCTGACCTATACAAAGGAGGTGTCTTTCTTGGATGTCAATTTGGTATAGCAGCCATGTACATTTGGACCATTGGCATCCTAGCAGCTGGGCAGTCAAGCACAATGACAGGCTGCTACTCTGGACAGTTTGCCATGGAAGTAAGTGTCTTTCAGTGCCACAATTATTATTTTTAAAATCCATATTACGTACCTTTCAAAGTGTATTTTTATTATTTTATTTTTCCAGGGATTTTTGAATCTTCAGTGGGCTAGATGGAAAAGAGTGCTACTCACACGAACTGTGGCTATTGTCCCCACATTCTTCGTAGCTTTCTACAGCCAAATAAATGACATGAATGACATGAATGACTACCTAAACTCCATCATGAGTCTTCAGTTGCCATTTGCCCTGATTCCTACCATAGCCTTTACAAGTAGTAAGGCAATCATGGGGGACTTTGCCAATGGAACTCTGACAATAATTGCCTCCTTTCTACTTGCTGCTGTTGTTATTGGAATCAATACATATTATGTTGTCCAGCTTGTCATTGATCAATTCAGCACCAACTATGCAGTGATTGCAGGAGTGCTCATTTTTGGTGTGTTTTACCTTTTGCTCTGTCTGTACTTGTTCCTGCATATGATGGCCACCTTAGGTTTCTGCAAGAGTTTTTCTAACAGTAGTGTAAGTATTGTATCTTGGTTGGAAAGTTAATTAAATGCTCTTGTTATGAAAAAAATTATTGATACTGTTTCTTATACTTTGACAGTTTGTGGAGAAGTACATCTGTTCTTCAGCAACCTCCAATTTTATTCTCAGCAATCAGTCAAATTATTCAAGGTGAGTACTTCTTAATCTTCTTATCCTTTCTTGTGTTGTTCTGTATACATATGCTTTCTACAATTATCTTGTATTTGCAAGATTGGGTCCTTTCTTTTACAAGGAAATGATTTTTAACTTCTTTTGATTAGTATGTTTGAAGTCTGTAGTGTAAAGTTGCATGCCGCTTTTATCTGTGTTGCCTGTTGCTTGGTGATCTTTTGTGTGTCATGTCAACTGGGCTTAGAAACCACCTTGCTAATTCAAAAAACAAAAAAACAAATTGGTCTTTACTTGTCTATTATGATCTTTGCACATTAAGGTGCAACTTAAATTCTGTATGTCAGATTTCAAATTCATTTTTTCAGGTCTGATGAAGAGCTCTCAGTTGCAAAAGAATGATTTTTCAACACGAAGTCGTTTGAGTCTTTTTTAGGGTTCATTGCATGTGATTTATTTTATTCATTTATTGCATGTTTAAGAAACTGCAATACTAGAAAGGTTTTGACATGAGATAATCATCTTATGGTTTTAATTTATTTACTTTCACATTGGTGCATTGCACTTAATACCAAACATGTTTTTGTAAACAGTATATTGTTTTCAATCTATATAATGGCCTCTTAGGCTAGCAAACAATATCCAATTCAAGGAAGAGTTGCAGATCTCCTGTATAGCTTTTATATCTGTCACAAAATTCTTTAATTCATTCAAATTTTCTTAATCATCAGCATGATGAACCCAGTTTGTGCGTATTGACACTAGGCAGACTTTCAACTTAGCATGCGTATACCCCCACAGTTTTGTTTTGAGATCTTTAGACTGTTGTGGGCTCATTGTAATTGAATTTTATAACTAATTTAACTAAAGTGGGCTGCGTGCTAGGTGCCCATCAATATGTGCCATTTTTATTGAATATTTTTAAATTCTCAATTTATTTACAATGGTTGTGTTCTATTTGTGTTCTATTGTGATAATTTCTTATAGTATCGATTGATTTTTACCACAGGCAAGGAAATTACATAGAAAGGATTAATATGGTTGTGTATTATTTTGTAGTTTGGAACTTGTGAGCAAGTCATGTAGGCGATCTCATACTTGATCTCATTTTGTAGCTGTAGGCTTATGCAATTTAGTTGCTTCTTAGTATTATTATTTTTACTTCTTTTTTGTTGAAGTCAAGAACATTAAAACAATAAACAAACATTGATGCATGCTTTATTTTCTTTTCTCCCACTTTCCCTTCAGGCATATACCTAGGATTTGCCTCTGGGGGCCTGTCATGCTGCACCCTTTGCCTTCTTACAGGATTATACTGTACTGTAACAGGCCCTTGGGTCGGTGGAGGTCATGAAAAGTCATGACTAATCATAAGCGGGGGCACTTGACATCCCCTACCCCTAGGTGTGCGTCTGTTACCCTTCCTGTAGTATCCTATGTTTTCCATTCATTATCTTATGCAATCTTAAAAAAATAACTTGCCAAATGCTGCATTAACCAACTATGTAGTTTCTTTGCATGAATGCACTCAATTTTGCGAGCTTCTTGGTGATTGGGTCTATAACATGGTAAACCTTGTCGGGGTTCATTGGCCTATTAAGTTGCCCTTTGCATGGAATTAACAGCAAAACTCAGCTTTCTAGAGATTGTTATTTGCTAATGCAGAGTGTTATACTTCAAAAATTTTAAAAATGCTTTACAAATATTCTTACAAATACTGTTAAAATACAAGTCTTTTTGTATTATTCAACATACAAGTACTGTATTGTTAAAATGTTTCGCCAATTATTAGGCATGTACTTGGGTGTTCGTTATCATTGCACCATCTTGCCCTCTACGCACAATGATTGTTTTTGGGGTTGTGTGCAGTCTTACTAACACGGGCGCTGAAGATGAAGAGGAGGCAAGTTCGTCATCGACAAGATAGGACAGGACATCACTATCGCCATACTAACTGTACACTGGGGACTGTGGTATGTAATGCACTCTTGAATGTTAATTGTTGCCTTTGTGTTTCTACACTTTGTCTCATCACCTTAAGTTGTTTGGCAAATCAATCAGATGTTGATCATTTGGGAAGTTGGAATGCTTTTATAGTAACTCATTACATCCACATTTGAAATTGTAGAACACTGAGACACTGTGTAATCATGTATAATCGTTTCAGAAGTACCTCGGTGATGGCTCTTGAAGATTCCATCAGACACCAAGCAGGAGAGCTATAGCTGACAAAAGCACTATCCTTCAAAAGGATCTACAGCCAAATTAGTTTGTGTCTCACCATGGGTGTCTAGCCATGTCACATTCTAAATTGTGATTTGTTTGTACTGTAGGAGTTACATTCTTACATTTAGTTTGCTAATGACTGCAGTGCAATTTAAGTTTCATAATGTATTAGCTAGGTTTTTAAATGATTTTTAAATTAAATGTATATTTTGTGAATGTTACCATTAAAATTCTTTTTAAAAAATAACTTTGCTATATTTTTTATTATGTTTTGGTTAACAAACCATTGAGCAAGAAATTTAATCAGCATGATCAAGCACCAGAAAAATAGAGAGATAAGAATAAAATATAAGAGGAAAAGAGATTTAGTATTTACATTGAGACAAAAAAATAAACGCTATTGACATTGCACAAAAATTTGCTCATAAAATTAATTCTTTACCAGTGGTAAAGGTCTTTCTAAAGGAGGAGAGTCACAACAAAAACAAGACCATCTACAATATTTCAGAGATTCAATTTGAGATTCATTGGAATGGCTTCTTGGGACACAAAAAAGAGTCTGCCTTTGATCGACCACCACTTCGAGAAGGAGAAGAATGGTTGTAGTCATATGCAAAAATTGGCTCAGCAGGTGGCATAAGTTCGAAATTACAATTGGTCTGTTCAGAAGGTAATGAAGGGCCATTTTTTACACACACACGCTCAGCAGAAGTGAATTCCGAACCAGATTGATGATGAATGTCATTGACTGGGGTGTCTCCACAGTCCAGACCTGGAATTGTCTGAAATTTCCCGAGACCTACGACAATGGCAAGAAGATCATCCCTTTCCTTCTTCAATTTCATTAATTGAGCATTCATATCTCTAATTAAATCCTGATGAAATAAAAAAAGTAATCAATTTTTATGATAATGAACATGTCACTGAACACACATTTTAAATAATGACTTACCTTTTTCTCTGTGCACTGTGGACATTCAAAGTCAGTTTGAAGCATACAGTCTTTGGATGTTACATTTGTGTCAGTATTAGTGCAGACATCCAAGCACAAACGGAAAGTTGTATTTGTGGACACATCTTTTACCTTTGGTAATGATTCTGGTTTCAAATTTTTGGTGTATGAAAAGTGCACAATATTTTCTAAAAGAAGAGAATTAGACCCAGTTGGTTCTTTTGGGAGGAAATTTCCGTTTTTCTCACTTTCACCACAGTCTTGATCTTTAACAGCAAAGCGACCAATACGCAATGAATCTATCATTTCGCGACATTCTCTCAAAACAGATTCTTGACATTCATCTTGATTAGACACTAATAAGTTTTTGGGTTCTTTCTGATTTTCTTTCCCTAATCTTCGATGCCTCTTATCCTCTGATGAACTTCTTTTCCTTTTTTTTCTCTTCTGCTTTCTGGTTTGATATTCCAGTGATTCACATTCCTTCATAGGAGATCCATCCAGACATATGATTGCACACTGCGAATCTTTTGAAATCACTTGAGGGCTAGTTTGCTTTTCCATATTTATCTCATTTGAAGCTTCTTTCAATGTTTGTGAAGTACGAGACTCAGGGATCAAAAGTATTTCAGAATGTTCTGACACGGTTGCTGCAGATGATGTTTCTTGAGAAGTTGGTTCTTGTACACAAATTGATTCTGACCTCACTTCACTTAATTCTAAAGAAAGATGGAAAATTCATTATTAGTTTGTTTGGTTTTAGTAAGTTCATGCGTCTTGATAGTGACTTACCTTCCATACTTTCTTCATTTGTGGGATGAATTTTATGACTTTCACAATTCTGAAGCAAAAACAAAGCTATTAGAAGAGGACCCAAAAATAAAATTTATGACCTTGCAAAGGAAGGAGAGATAACATGCCTTTTTTGGTTCTTGACTCTGATCTTCATTTGACGCTTGAAATTTATCTGATTCACTTCGATTTTCCTTTCCTACATGTTTATTCTCTAAGGAACTTTTTCTCCTTCTTCTCTTGTATTTTCTTTTTCGCGATTTCGTAGGGTCAAAGTGCTTTGTAGGAGAAGCATTCTCTATTGACAACACTTGTGAGCTAGATTGTTTTGCACTTCTACTTTCCTTTGAAGTTTGATTCAATTTTTGCGAACTAGAAGACACTGAGGTTACAAGTACTTCAGACGGTGGTGCCTCAGTCATTGCACACTCTGTTTCTGGGGGAGTTGAATCTATAGTGATTGTTCCTAAAAATCAACAAGAAAAGTATTTAAAAAATCTAAATTAACTTACATGAATTGAATTTGAATTTTACTGGAGACTTACTTGATGTACCTTCTTCATTGCTGGGATGAATCTCACGGCGTTCATCATTCTGGAACAAAATCGTAGTCATAAGAGAACAAAACAAATGATAAAAATTGTAAGACCCCAGAGATATGATAATTTGCCTTATCAGGTATTTTATCACAGACCTCAGGAACAATGGTTTCTCCTTCATCTCCAGAGAGACAGATAAGTTCAATGGGTGGTTTAGGAGGAGGTTCTTCGATTATTATGTCAGAGTCATAGTCTTCCACAGGCACACCAATCACATCTTCATTCTCAGGCTCATATTCAGTAGAGTTACTTGACTGAGGAATGTCTAGTACCTCACAAACATTGTTTGAAGGTTCTCCAGATTTTGACTTATGAGATTCAGAAGAGGAGTTGTCATTTACTGTTTCTATTGCTTTGCTGAAGTCTTGAGAGTTAGTTTCCCTTGAATGAGGTGAACTCTTTTCAATAACATCATCAAAGTTTGATTTTGATGGGGGCCGGCTACTGCTTGCAAATCCATTACTACCCATCAGCCCTAGTGATGGGCTTTTTGTGTTCACTGGTTCAGGATAAATGTTTTTTGGTGACTGTATATTTTCAATTTCTACTGCCTTTAAGGATGGTCTAAGATTATTAATTGGGTCATGTAGCATGGGGGTTGCCGCCATGACTGGGGGCATCGCTGGTGGCATCATTGGTCCTGGTAGCAACGCTGGTGGCATCATTGGTCCTCGTGGCATCGCTGGTGGCATCATTGGTCCAGGTGGCATCATTGGTCCAGGTGGCATCATTGGTCCAGGTGGCATCGCTGGTGGCATCATTGGTCCTGGTGGCAACACAGACAATAGGATGTCTAACTGTCTTTTCAAAATAGATTGTTGTCCTGAGATATTGTTACTGGCGGAAATTATGGAGGAGGGAGGAGGCACCATCTGTGGTGCTAAAGGAGGTGCACAATCAACTGGATAAGGAGCCACTCCAGGAACCCCTGGCCCTGACTGATGAGGAGCCAATCCAGAAACTCCTGACTGGTGTGAAACCATTCCAGATACTCCTGTGTGTGCTGCAATTGGTGGCATTCCATAAGGATTGAACATTAAGTTGGACTGTGGTGCGGGATAGGAACTGTGTCCTTCAGGTCCAAGTAGTGCTGCAGGCCCTTCTTGGTAAGCTGGATTACTATGATCTGTCGAAGGGCCAAAAGTAAAAGAAGCACTTTGCATTTGCACCACAGTTTTGCTGACAAAAGCTGTAGAGGTGGTGCCACCATCATGCCAAGTAGGAACCTTTGACAAGGGCGTTGAAAGAACTTCTGTTCTAGGTTCAGAGTTAAAAGAAGATTTTTTCTTTTCATCTTCTTGTTCCCATAGCCTCTCAAGCCTGCGAATTTCATTAATGAATGGAGATCGTGACCTGGATCTCGATCTTCTTCTGTTTTTTTTAGGAGATGGGGATTTTCTTGATCGGTAACGCACAGGGGATTTTGATCTGGACCTGGATCGATGACAAGATGGGGAGTGAGAATTGGGTTTGGGATAGCGATTAGGGAAAGGTGAGCGCCAGCGCTTATTGCGCATATTTGGATTAGGAGAAGTCCCCCTTTTGTACTCTTTCCTTGAGATGTTCTTTCGTGCAGGAGATGGAGATCTCTTTCTTTTAGATGATTTATTGTAGTCTCTGTTTCTTCTATACTCAGGTGATTTTTTTCTTTTTTTCTTCTTTTGTTTTTCATGTGCTTCATTAGATTTTAGATCTGATCGCTCTTTGTCTGAAGATTTTGAATTTCGGGAAGTCTCTCTGTCACTATGCCGTTTCATTCTCTTTTTCTTCTTTTTCTTTGATTCCCAATCAGAATCATCTGTTGAAGACATGTCTGAAACCACATGATGAGACTTTGATGGAATTTTGTTGCAGCTGCCTTGAGTAGAAAGCTGCGGTTCTGAGTTAGTTGATGAACCAGAATTTAGTATAGAAGTAGAAGCCAATATTTGAGACTTCAAATTTATATTTATCTTGTTTCTCTTCCCAGGCGATGATGACTGAATGTTATCATTTTTCAAACAAGTTTCATCTAAACTCAAGTCATCCCCTGTGACTGTATCCTTTTTCGATAGTGATTCCTTTGAAGCAATATCCAAGCATTCATTACTGGAAAGATTACCATGAGATGAACTTAAGCCCGAGCTGCCTATTTGATTGGAAGTACTTGCATTTACGTCCTGCTCTGTGTCTGCACTTTCACATTTGTTTTTTACTACAGTCTGACTTTCAGCATTTTCTTCAATACCTTCTACATTGAGCTGCTTGTCATGGGTTTCCGATGTTTTGGTAGTAATTTGCTTCACTTCCTCTTCAGCTCTATTTACTACCATTGGTGGTTGATTTTCCTTTAAATGAGAATCAATGAGCTTGTTGCTGTTTTCACTTGATTTGATTTCAGAGCCAGGAGTCTCCTTCAAAAATGTCTGAACCTTAGCAAGCAGCTGATTCAGTGACAAAGAAGACTTCTTTTCACTATCATTCTTGCTTGCTGCTGCCATCTCAACAGATGTACCTGGTATCTCAGTTAGAACCATCTCTTTTGGATCTTTACACTTTACACTTTCCTTTAGAATGTCTTCCGTTCTTGTGTTTTCAAAAGGATCCTTGAGGTGGGCTGGTTTTAAAATAATAATATGATGATCATCTGCATGCGATCCATCATTTTTTTTCTCCAAGTCAGTTTGGGGTAAAGTAATTTCTTTGTTTTCAACAGTTATAGATGGTGGATCTTTGACATGCAGCACTTGCGCTTCACAGGAAGACTCATCATGTGAGGTGCCACTATTTCGATGACCTAAAACTTCTCCAATTGTCTCCAGCACTCCATCATCAAAAAAGGTGTCAAAAAATTCATCATTGGGCTCGTTGCTGTTTTCATTTGAACTTTGATCGGCCATTATGTATTATGGATCTCCATGAAGCAGCAGAAACCTGCAATATAAAGGCAGGGAAAATTGTGTAATCAGTATAAGGACACTGTACTTAAATACTCAGTAATTTTAAAAAAGTAAAATATAATTTGGTGAGAGGGAAAACCCACAGATTGTTTGGACAGATGTCATGACTGAAAAATGAGGGAATCTTTGCAGAAGAAAACCAAACAGTTTTCATGGTGACTTACTCAAACTTATGGGGCAATAAGCACCAAACGAGTATTTAAAAATCAATGAAAAAAAGATTTGTTTACAAGAACAAAGGGCAAACCTAACCTCTGGACTTTACAATATCTACACCGTTTCTCAAATCAGGACAGAAATAACTTGATGAAGAAGAGGGACGGTGAGTAAAAACAAAAAAGTACTTAATGTACTTGAGGACAAGCCAAAATTTCTTTAGAAAAACACCAGCTACTTTTCAGTCTCAGGCCTCTCAGCTGATTTTACGCATGAAGTTGGGGAATGCAATGACAATTGCACACCAACATTAAATGTGTAAAAATAAAGGGCGGCAGTACCTCGTATCACCGTGAAACGGAACAAGTCAGCACATAATCCGCAAAGGCGACGTGTTCAAACGAAGGCACATGATCGTTGAATTGAAGCAACAGCACTAAAACTAAAAACTAACTAACATAAACAACAACACAAACAATTTCTCATCGTTCCTCTCACTGGTCCTACCGGTCAGAATAGACCGAAGTGGGGCGTGAACTTTGCTACTAGAACGTACCTTGTTACATCACATGATCATCAAAAACAAACATGTCGTCTTTCTTCGGTGTTGTGGGTGGCAATCCCTTTGCCACACTTGTTGGTCAAAGAATAGGTAAAATGCGTTAAAAAATTTATCTTTTGCGTCAACTTGCTAGACAAGGCGTTATTTCATCTTTATTAAGTGCCTTTGCTTCACTATGTGGCCTGTAACCCACTGAAAAGTGTTGTACAGTATGAGTGCATTCTGCTTTGACGTTTCACAAGAAACCATTCCGTCATCCGTATTCTGCAATTCTTAATCATCCCGTTAAACTAACGTTTTATTGAAAGCTGCATCGTTCAATGCGTTTTGTTGTTGTTCATTTATGGCCCAATAACTATACAAACATTAGCACTGGTTTTAATATGATGATGCACCTCTTATGTAATATAACCTTTAATTTATTCCATTTTAGAAGTAAACATTTCTTCCAATTTGTCTGTATTGCAAGGTCTAACAAAGTTCACCATCTTTATCTTATGTCATTTTTGTCCTGTTTTCTTTGTTTTTATGCACTTATTTTATGAGGAATAAGACTTTGTTTCATTTATGATTTCATTCATTGATTCTGTTTACTGACATTCACTATTCTCTCTAGAGCAAGCCACAGATGCATCTCTGGCATCTGAGAATTGGGCCCTTAATATGGAAATATGTGATATCATAAACAGCACTGATGATGGACCCAAAGATGCAATCAAAGCAATTCGTAAACGACTTCAGCAAAATGCTGCCAGAAACTATACAGTTGTCATGTATACCTTAACTGTGAGTGAGATTTATGTTTTTATCATTGGAATTAAAATTTAAAAAAGGAATAAGACATAGTTTTTAGAAGTTTTGTTTTACTAGAGTCATTGTTTTTTTTGTTTACAGGTTTTGGAAACATGTGTGAAAAACTGTGGCAAGCGATTTCATATTCTCTCCTGTAACAAAGAGTTTGTTCTAGAGCTTGTGAAACTTATTGGTGAGTTCCTGAAGTACCTGCATTTTCATGGCATATTTCTGTGTACTTGCTTACAAAACATCACAATATATTCTTAATTGTCCCAGGACCCAAAAATGATCCGCCCACTGCAGTCCAAGAAAAAGTTCTCAGCCTGATTCAAAGTTGGGCAGATGCTTTCCGGAACCAGCCTGATCTGCTTGGAGTCGTTCAAGTTTACAGCGATCTTAAACAGAAAGGTATTGAATTTCCAATGACCAATCTGGACACAATGGCACCCATCCACACACCTCAAAGGGTACGTTCTTACCTGCCTTATAATTCTGCCTTGTTTACAATTGAAAAAAAAAATCATTCTTCTTCCTTAATATCTCATCTGATATCAGACTCAAGAACCTGAGGTAGGTGTGGAAGCTGCAGCAACTCCACGCCCTCCACAGTCTTCAAGTCCACTAGCTCTTGCACCATCAAACGTACAGATGACTGCTGTTCCAACTGAGTCATCTCAAAATATTCAGCTCACACCTGAGCAGCTCTCCAAGCTACAAAACGAACTTGATGTGGTCCAAGCAAACATGTCAGTCTTGAATGAAATGCTCAATGAACTTACTCCTCGGGAAGAACACCCCAGTGATTTGGAGCTTCTCACGGTAAATTGTTTTGCAATTTTATGTTTCTGCTTCTACCAACATTAGCTTTCAGCACACAACTTTCAACACTCGCATTTTATGTGTGTTTTTATATATTTTTCTATTGGAATGATTTAAATTTTCTAGGAGCTGCACAGCACCTGTCAAGCCATGCAACAGCGTCTTGTTCAACTGATTGGAAAGCTTTCTAATGATGAAATAACTGCTGAGCTGCTGCGTATTAATGACCTTTTGAATAATCTATTTTTAAGGTGAGTCATTCAAAAGGGCTTTCTCAAGGTTCCATGCAAAGATTTCAGACTCAAATTTGAATTTTTTTTTTTTTTTTTTTTTTTTTTTTCAGGTATTCAAGATTCCAAAATAACAGAGAACGAGGTGACAAAGACCAAAGAAAAGAAAAACTAGGCGAATCTCTTATTGATTTGGATGATGAACCTGCACCTCAGAAACTCAGCTCTAAATTGGCATCTCTAAGTAAGAAACTGATACCTTAATTTGTCTTACTTAACAGATGGATGTATACATTGACATTGCTTGAAACTGACCATCTTTTGCTTTCCTAGATATTTCTGATTCAGGTGCCGCCGCACAGTTGACTAATTTGACCAGCATATCTGCTAAGCCAGGCACCCATGTCAAAAAAGAGAAGGAAGACGACTCTGAATTTGACATGTTCGCACAGTCACGCAATGTCACTTATGAATCATCAAAGACAGGGTATTACTAACACTGTTAATTATTTTATTATCAATCCATTTTGTGTTTGCCATGTGCACTCAGTTTTTGTTCAAATCTTGTCTCCAGAGGAAGTTCTTACCAGGACAACCTTAAGCCAGATCAAGTGAGTGGATCATTGGGTGTTGTAGCTGCTTCTAGAAATCAAGCTTCTTCGGTAAGCATGTTTTTTTTTGTTATTTTTTTTTACATTTTATTTATTTTACTCTACATCCCTTGTTACAAGTTAGCATTGTCAAAAGAACATTTTTCTCTAACTTGTTCCCCATCAACACTGTTTTCCCTCTTCCTTTTTTAAAAGTGTGTGTTGATCTATTTATTTGGGTATGCATGTTTTGATGGTTTCAAAAAAATATGAGAGATCACCCCCATTCTTTTTGTGGTTTTGGTTACTTCTTCATGCATGCAGGGAATTCAATTTTGTCTGAGCATGTGGGGAGACCCATGTTCTTTGTATCTTTCCCTCTATCCTTTAAACTCTTTTGTTATATTTAAATGAGAGAGTTGAGGAAAAGTGCTCCTCTAAACCAGGGAGACTCTATTCTCTTAGCTTAGAAGCGCTATTCTCTGAACCAACCATTTTGCGTGTAAGTTGTAGTGGTCTCCTAGGGTTGTTTTCTTTGTTTGTTTGTTTTGTTTTTTTCTTTTACTGTGTTGGAATGTGTGTTCTATATTATTTTCCTTTTCCTTGTGGTTCTTTGGTTCATGGGCTGGAATGGAATTTTATTATGTTGTTACAAACTCTAATAATTTTATTTTTTATCCTCCCTTTTTTTTTTTAAATTTGTCAATGTAGTCCCAACAGGAACAAATTATTGGGGTAAGCTTGCTTGTTGCATGATAGCATGATGCAATCAGTCTAGCTTGCACGATAGCTGCTTTCTAATTTGTTTTTTGTTGAAGATGAAAAAGAAGATTACTATATAATCATTAATGTTATGGTACTGATGACAGATCTGTCTATCTATACTGTTTATACTTATAAGCACTAGAAGTTTGGATGAAGGTTCTAATGGGACTTGCATGCCACATTCAATGGTTCTTCTAGTTTTCTTTAGTTTTTTACTGCACAAATCTTTTTACCATGGTAGAAGGGAGTACGGAGAAAATATGTACATGTTAACATGCATTTTGAATTAACTCAATTTTCCCTAGATCCTTGACTTTTTAAAGTCTTTTCACTGCCTAGTATAGTCTACATAAAAGGCTTTCTGTACAGTTTCCTAACCAGGATAAAGAAGAAAAACTTAAACAATTTGTAACACATATGAAGTGCAGTCTTGAAAAGATGAGATGTATCTTTCTGGCTAACTAAATGTGTTTGTTTTCAGACACACAAGGAAAGTGACTTTGATGAAATGGCTGCATGGCTTGGAGATGCTGTAAGTTTCCCAACTACCATTTTTCAACTTGCTTCCGTATTAATGTGCTGTCAGGTTATTTGATGAAACTTGACTTCTTGTTGTAGCCTGGAGAAGAAAGCATGACAAGCAGTGAGTTTGAGAGGTTCCTAGCGGAGCGTGCAGCTGCGGCAGAAAATGTGGGTAATGTTACTGATGGGAGTAACAGAGGCCAGCAACGCCAGAAGAAAGAAGATGATGCTTCATTATTTGCCCTATGAGATGATGTTCTGGTGCAAACATATGGATCATCGACATTCCCTGTACACTTGCTGCTACATATAATTCATTAATACTGACATATTTTAACTCGTACCAGAATTGCGTACTCTGGTAATTTTCAGTTTTGGACTACTTAACTCAATTTTAATTATTTATTTGCAAGGTGGACCAAATGAGGTGAATGGGTACTTTGGCCCAGTACAGTACAATACTTCAGCAGAACTCTTCTTTCTGACCCTTTACTTCACAAAGGCCTTATCTTTTAGCTGGCTAAAAGTTCAAGCTACTTTTTTTATTTGTTTCTTATTGGTTTCCACCTTTGATTTTAGGAAGTTCTGTGTCAACATTACTTTAATATCACTTCCAGAGTAATTTTTCTTGATGTATGGACTGCTTTACCTCCACGCAATTCTAAATTTGACTTAGTATTATCATTGTTAATAATAATCTCCAGTTTGTATAATTATATTGCCTCCATGTATTGTTCCTTCCGATAAAATTTTCTCATCTTTGTCTGGTGTATCAGTGAGGACGAATGGATTTACTTTGTATACCATTCCATGTTTTAGTAAGACCTTATTTTGCAAGATATACTATTTATTTGGGGAGAGGTATATTACATCAATTGACCGTTTTAAGTGGGTTGTGGGGCCCAATGATTTTGGTGCTGGTTTATTCTACTTTCTCTTAAAGACTCCGGTTAAGAATCCAATGGGGAAAATATTCCTGATGCTTGCAGTATAGTTTATTTGAAAAAAAAAAATTACCTCTGCCTTGGAGTCCTCAAAATGTATTGAAGTGATTTGCAGTGGTTTGTTGGAACCATAATCTTGCATGATGTTCATTTTGGTCTGTGTAGTAAGTATTATGAACTGTGTAGTAAGTTTAACATGAATCTTTGAAAATGCTATCAGATGTAAGAAAAATGTACCTTTAAGTAAGTCATTGCTGTGAGACTTACAATTCATAGTGGCTGTGTGAAAACCAGTTTCTCTGCATGTGTATGCTTGTGTGTGAGTGTGTGGTGTGTATGTGAGTATTGAATGAATGAGTGCATGAGGTGCATCCTCATGCCTTAAAAACTCCTTTATTTGGTTTGGTGTCACTTATTTGGTTGCAGTTTGTAATGCTTCACATTCAAAGTTTTTCGTTTTTCCCCCCCAAAAAATATATTTAACATTACAACATGTACATTATGTTCTATGAAACCATGTTCTGTACCACATGTTCTTGAACAATCAGAGGGACTTGGCAGCTAATTGAATGATGACAATTTGTTGATACATCAGATCCTTCATAAAGTTTTCAGAGACTTTGAATTCCGTTATTTACCATCATGTTGTGTTGGTTTGTGCAGGATGTTGTTAAATGCCTTCCAATAACCTCACAGAAAGTAAAACAAAAAGTTTGTTTCCCTTTTTTTGCAGCTGACAATTCTACATTATTGCTGCTTTCATTTGTGCAAATCAATTTTGTCTTTGTTCTAGCTCTATCATGTTTCTTTTTCGTTGATAAAGTATTGTTAGTGATTATTTTTAAAACGTTTGTTATAAAGTTCATTTGTTTGTAATATTTATTGTCTTTTTTGTTATTGCTAGGAATTTGTTATTCCAACCTCATTCCTGTTTGTACTTATGAAAATCAGTTCAATGCTTTTCCACAATTACATAATAGAAGATTGTTGTCCACAACATGTAATGTTGGTTGTCATGCTATCCAAAATTTGCTGCATCATCTTGAATCTCTATTTTTTTATCTTACTTATTTAAATGTTAAAATATTTTAACCAATTGAACTGATTTGAATTCAAATATAGTGGCAACACAGCTACATGACACTCAAGGCGGATCGTCTGACTTTTGTAGGATTTTTTTTTTTTTTTTTAAGAAAAAGAGAATAAGATTGGGCCTATGTGTTTCTACAAGTGCCAACATTCTGCAGTCTGAGCCCTGGATTCGTATGTGTTTTCTTTAGCTTTCAATTTAATCTGAATAATCTTAAAAATGTTGTATGAGACTGTCATTTGGTGAAGCTGTGTCTACCAATCTATATTACCATGTATCATGCATATAACTGCTTTTTCAGTTTATATCTCTAGTCGCCCTCAATGAGCCTAGTGTACATGACTGGTGTGATAAATAGTCATTTAAAGTGCAGGTATCAATATCTTGCTAATGAAGTCATAAATTGTTACACGCAGCTTTTGTTGTTCTTCTTTACTTTGCTTTATTGAAAGGATTGAACTCATTGATGACGTTTGATGTGAGAAATATGCACTCTTTCATATATTAGACAAGAGTCTATATTTTGTGTTGAGACATATGGGTTTGAGGAAAGAATTAGAAATCCTAGAATTGATGTGCATGTTCTACAACATCCACTTATGGTTTCTTTGTAGTTTGCATTTTATTTTAGGATATTTATCTGGAATAATTTATAGCACCGGTGAGAAAAGTGTGTACTCAGTTAGAGTATCAATCTTAGACTGAAGATCTCTAGTGCACATTATTTGCTTTGTACATATTAAATGCTTTAAGCAACATTATCTGGAAGTTAGCACGACTCACATACACCGTATTGAATGAATTAAAATAATACCTATGTTCAGGGATGTGCACTTTTCATGATTCAACTCCATGAGTGTTTTAATATTTTCCTTTCTTTCGAGGTCAAGTGAACATCTAAGTAAACCGGCAAGTTATGTGTTCCAAAAATGCCTCATATTAATTTTTTTGTGATTTGCATTTAGGATTAATTGTTTTCTAGGTGTATCAATGAAAAGTGCACATCCCTGAGGTAACATTTTACCTGCTTGTTATTTATTTGTTTCATATTACAGATATATTACCTAGAGATGTATTTTTATCGACATTTCACTGTTACATTTCCAAATGCACAGGGAAACTGTCAAGTGTCTTTCTAATGTTACCTCTTTTGTTTAACTTGATTAAGGGATCTTATTCCATCGAATTTACATCTTGTAATATCTTGTAATCCAAGCAATTCCTGTTCAGTATGATATATGCTGTTTTATACTGTCAGTATCCTGATTTGCATTTGCGTTTTGCTTGTGTGTTACTTGTGATAAACTTGAATAAAGATTTCTTTAGTGCATTTCTTTTTCTTTCATCATTCACCTTCTTATTCACTTGGGAGCCACTCCAGTCGCGTCCATAACTTCTCCTCCATGCAAGATTGACCAGTAGTGTAAGCGAGCTGATAGGAGGCTACGCTGCAAGCTTTCCAATTAACCTAATAACGTCTCCACACGATTACGACAGGGAGAGCTAATTTTTCCAAAACTGTCGCCTGTCCTCTCCAAGGCCTGTCTGTTTCTAGCATATCTCTAGCCTGCGCGCCTCTGCGGTCTTCCCCGTAGTTTTGAAGGGGAAATCCTTTGGTACGAATAAAGCATCAGTTATTCACAGTTTCCCCTCCACTTCTACTCATTATTTGCAGTAACGGTTGAACTGCGTTGCGTGATTACAGCAAGTTCAGCAAGTAGGTCTGTCATGGACACGTAAAATTTGACGCTTTTATCGCTGTTGTTTTCGCCTTTTTCGAAACGACACCACTGTCGGCCGAGGTGCCAGATTTTCCTCAAAGTACCGATCTACAGCAAACTTTCAACTGGAAGCTCTACGAGGCAGTTCAAAGTGGAACTCTTCGGGAATAAGTGTTCCTTGTTTGTTTACTTAGCTGACTAATCTCATAAAGCATTTGACGTCCTATTCAGTCATGTCCACTGATAAAAGCCAGAGAGGCTGTGAGGAACCGCCCCCGTACTCTCCCAAGCCACCACCGCCTCAAGGTACGCTGTCATAAAATAATATCTTTGGTTGGAGTCTCTGGCACATTGTTCCCTCAATAAACTTTAATTCAATGTGCAAGGGAATGTAGTGATAGTTGATGTCTTCTTGGACCACATTTTCACTATCTTTTAACCAATATTTGCTTATTTAAATGCTTTATATACGTTTGGTTCCTTGTGATAATGTTTTGTGGGTGACACATTATTACGCAATCATTGGCCAAAGTATTTTACTGGCTTTGTTTTGAATAAAGTTTAGTAAGTCAACTAAGCCCTAATTGTATCGAACTTTTAAATATTTATTACAGCTGGAGAGCTTCCTCCAGGATACCAGCCTTACCAAGGGCCAGCTCCCCCTCCGCAATGGCAGTATGGTCCTCCGAACTATGGTGCCACCGCTGTCTCCATTCAGCCTGCGGTTGTTATCCAGACTGTTGGCGCATGTCCAGCCTGCAGGGTAATATTCTTTTTTTGTTAACACTCATAAATCGCTAAGGAATAAAGAAACACTTATCATATTACTCTTTTGGTATTGAAAAAACTATCAAAAATCTGATTTTGCTAACAAAGTCTTGCTTGTTTCCAGATCGGCATTTTGGAAGATGATTACACTTGCTTGGGTATATTCTGTGCTATCTTCTTCTTCCCCCTTGGTATTATTGCCTGCCTGCTACTGAAGAACCGGCGCTGCTCAAACTGTGGTGCCTATTTTGGGTAGAAATTCTTCCCTCATTAATTGTTTTGTTTCATGCTCTCTTAAGTTTATGATATTTTTACGATCCATCTTAAAGCATATAGCATTCAACTGCAATGAATGTGAAACTTGATAAAATTCATTGTGCTTTACTTGATTTGTGATATTTTATATGTGCCAGTTGTTAACCATGTATTTTCAAATAATTATATATTAATTCACAAAGTTTTAGGATTTGTTTGAACTGCACGTTCTTTTAGGGACAAAAGTAACAGTGGATTCATCTGCTTGAATCTCACTTTGTGATTTCTTGTCATGACCATAATATCAGAGGACGTTCATGGCTCTTATTATATAATCTGTTTACCTGTCACTTTCCTGTGGCCTGTTGTATTTTATTTACAGTATTCTCCCGCAATAGGTCGAGGGCTCGGGACCGGATCTCGGACTATAACGAACACGAAAACCGAACAGCACATGGTGCGAAGGCCGGGCTCCGGCAGTGCTCCGAGCTCGGGGAGGCCATAAAACCATTAGCCGGCCCTTGGGTCCTACACTGGAGTGACCCGAAACGCAGTGCCGACCGGCGCCTTGCGGGTCCACGCTACCTGGCCAGGTCGGCACTGCGGTTCGGGGTCCCGTCAGCGCCCGGGTTCGCGCGTGTTCGACCTGGCGGCACGGAGGACCCCTGTCAATCATCCCCGAGGGTCGAGCTCGCCGGGCCATAAACCCCCGTGCGTAAGCGGGGGCCGTCACATGAAAACGACTTATTGCGAATCGACCTAATGCGGGAGAATACTGTAGTGTAGCCTAGTCCAAGCCCTGCAAGGCTTACTTTCATTCCATACAGAATGATGTACATTCAATGATGACATTTTCCAGGGTATTTTAGAGTGTCTCCACATATTTTTTTTTGCCCCCGATTAAATACTCGTTTGCAATTATTTCACCGATGTTTCCTTCATTTCACTCATTACAGCCTCTCCCCTCAACCCAATTCAGTTTGTGGCGGTGCGTGCGTCAACATTTTCCCCAGTGAGAGAGTACGGCCTCCCGTTCGTTGATTCGGAGAAGGGAACTCCCGCTCGCGCGCGTCCGCCTTTTCCGGCGCAAGCAGTGACGTCACTGTCGTAACCGGAGGGGCGGGAGGGGCCCGGCCGCCTGGGCTGCCCGTGGACCACACCAAGGACGACACGGGGTTGACGGTCTCTCCAGCTCCGGAGCAGGTGCGCGTACAGGTGATCCCACACTGGGTCGGTCGCACGGTCACACGGAACATCACTAACCGGTGGCTTCGTCGTCAAGAGCGTCGCCCAAATCTTTTCATACTCTCAGTTCACTTCACGAACTCGAGGAATCGGGTCACCATGGGTCTGAGTTTTGCTCAGTGGGCCGAGGTGTCTGTCGTGGAGAGAAGTACTTGGGTTCGAATCCCGGGCTAAGAGTATGGCGTACGGCGTAAGTTTTCCGCGGCAGTGCTGCTTTTGCAGTGGCGTGTCAAATGGGTGGCCTACCTTGACGGCGGCGCGGCTCTGCTCTGTATAAGGGTGTATTAGTCGCGAGGCACACACTCGTCTTTCTTCTTTCCCTCAAAGAGTGCAAAAGAGTTCCTGCCGTGAGCTCCCACCCCAAGCGTGCCACATGGGTAGCCTACCTTGGTGGCGCTGCTCTGAATAGTACGGCTAGCTTTACCTCTAGGATGCAAAAGAGTTCCCGCCGTCGGCTCCCCCCCCCCCCCCTCGATCAGTTACTGATTCGGAATATTTCGTCGCTCTGTCTGCTTCGTACTCATTGTACGTTCCGTGGGGCAACGACACGGCTTTTCGGCAGGCGCTACAAAATGCCCAAAATGCCTTGGTCTGAATTGGCCGCGCCAATGGGAGGCACTATCGGGGCGACGTCTGGGACGTCTGCCCTTCCGGCCTCGCTCCTGCTTTATCGAGCGCATTGTTTTCGGCTCTGGCGGACGCCTCACGCCTCGGCCGTTCGGCGTTCGGCCCCGCGGCGCTCCTTTGTTAGCGTTCAGGGCCAAGATGGCCAAGATGTCGGCGCGCACGTGGTTGCTGCGGACGGGGGACTAGAGGGGCGGGGCGTGGCGTCGACAAGGGATGACGATGACGCTCTGCACGCGCGCGTTGCTCGCCCTCCTCCGGCACCCCGCCCTCCCCGCGGTGGAGGCGGCGCGCCAGGGAGCACGCCGTCAACGACTACTGTCCACCTCGGCCATTGCCTCCTCCCGGCCCGCCCAGCCCCGGCCCGGGCCTTCGCGAAAACGGTGGGTACTTACTCACTTTGCGGTCCCCAGTCCGCGTGCGTCTGGAAACTTTTAGGCCTGCCGGAAGAATGTTGGCGCCGACCAGCTACACTTTGAAATCACCAAGTCCCGGCTTACTGGAGTATGCGATAAATCACGGCCTTTACAGTATTCATGAGCGCACGCTTTGACGCGCTTGTCGAATACCCGTTCTGGATATGACAGTTGCTGCGAGCCGCTCCGCTTGGCTCCGCTCCGTTCGTACAGTCCCGGCAACAATTACAAAGCGGCGACAGAGCTGCCACCGCCACCGCCCGCCCCGCGCTCCGCCCACCACGGCGGCGTGTGGCTGGCGCGTGGTCGCGCGCCGGTTGAGAGACTCTGGACGCGAATGGGGAAGTCCAGGGAAGTCCCAGGGGGCCCTTTTCAGGGACGCCGCCGTGACATGACGCCATGACGGGGACGACTTTCGTGATCACGTTGTACGCCGCAGCGGGCCGGTGTAGGAGAGGGAGAAAGAGGGGGGCAGCAATTATTCAATCTCGACTCAATTCACCGTCGTCCGTCTCTCTCGGCCCTGCCGGCGACCTGCCGAGAGCGACAGAGTGCTCCATGTCCCAGGTCCTGCCGCGCGTCCCTTCAGATACAGGAAGGACGCATAAGCCCGCCTGCCGCGCACAAGCCACTTAAGGGCCACCATTGTTGTTCAAGGATGAAAAATTTGGGAGGCAGTAGGTGTGCCAGTGGCACTGTGCCCCCGGCTGGATGCTCTTGACTCTCTTGACGACGGCGCGGGCGGCGCGGGCGGCGCGGCCGAAGGTGCCGACGGAGCTTCCACGCCCCGAGTGCGGTGTGGCGCCACGTCCACGGACAACGACGGGCGGCGTGCGTCGCCGCCACGTGCGATGCACTGTACGACACGCAACCCGTTGGATGCCCGAGGCCCGAAGCCTGGAGCGGCCTGGAGCGGCCTCTTTCATTTGGAGTTGTGTGACTTTCCAGCGACGCAGTAGGCGTGCCGCGAAGCCGCGACGCGACGCCAGTCCATGTTTCATGTTTCCGCGATGCTCAATGGCTGCCGATGGCTGCTCGAGCAGAACGGCGAGACGCGTAGACTCGTTTGGGACCAAGGCTGCGACGCCACGTCGCCATGTCGTTATTCCGTGGTCGCTAGTCGCTACGGTACTCATTGACCGCGAGCGGCGCGAGCGGCACAGCGACAAAGCCGACCAATGGCGCCGCTTCGCCGCTTCGCCGCGTCTTCCGGAGCTCCAGCCAGGTGCCTCCGGGCGCGCGGCGCGGCGTGCGGCGCCCCACGAGGGGCCACGAGGCGCTGGACGCCAGCATCCCGACGCCGGATGACGCTTTTGTTCGTCACACCGTGCGACAGGGAAGTCCTGGAAGTCCTGGAAGTCCTGGAAGGGCGTCGTGTGGTCTGGGCACGTCTGGGGATCTCCGAGACAGGACGCGCGCCGGACGGAGGAGTGTGGGAAGGTGAAGTGAAGGCGTGCTGCAAATTCGGCGACCTCCCCCACTACTTCCATCCACAGCGCAGGTCCGTCCGGCCGTTCGTCCGTTCGTCCCACATTCTTACTTCCTTCCGTAAAAGAAGATCTATGAAAGAATTAGGCAAATCTGCGGCTGGAGGGCACTCCATTGTGGTTCGCGGCGCCTGCTGGACTGCTATGGACTGCTGGACCCAGAGCGACGGCAAGGCGGCAAGGTTGCGCGCGTGGTGCGTGCTCCTAGTGCCGTGCCGGCCGTGCCGTGCCGTGCCGTGCGAGACACACCTCCTAGCGACCGACTAGAAGACCGGACCGCACCCCTTGGCTCCCCCTCCCGGTGCACCGAGCTTCTGGAGGCAGGCGCTGGAGCGGCTGACGCGGCTGGAGCGCTGGAGCGGCCGGCGCCGCGGCGGGGCTGCCCCGCCCCAAGGTGAAGGTGGTTATAGAGGTGCGAACTCGGCGGAGCTCGTCCACTCTGCGTCCGGCCGCCCCGGGGAGAGGATCGCAGCTGCCCTGCCCCGCCCGCGCCCCGCCCACGCCATGCTCGCGTCCCGCATCCCGGCCTGCCCCGCGGGGGTCCACCACCACCCGGTGGCGGTAGCGGCGCTGGACACGGACAGCGACTGCAGCAGCTGCAGCTGCACCGCGTCCCCGTCGGAGCGCGCCAGCTCGGCCAGCCTCAGTGACAGCCCCGCCAGCAGCCCGAGCCCCAGCGGTGACAGCGACCACGCCGACGCCAACAGCCCTGTCTGCGCCGCCGAGCTCGCCGACAAGCTCATCATGGGCTCCCTCAAGCGGCAGCGCGAAAGGTGAGCGCAGGGGTGGCCCCGCGGGCCGCCCGCCACGGCCCCGACGAGGAGACTGCTTGAAATCGTCCGAGGGTTTAGCCGGACTACCCGAGTCGTTACCCCCTGGGGGTTTCCTGTTCCCACGGCTGCCAGAAAGTGACTGAAGCAGGCTGCCAGGAGCACGCCCGGTGTCGGCGACCTTGACCATGACGGCGGCGGCCGTCTGGCCGTGGCCTGGCCGCGGCCTTTCTCCGCGCGGGCTGGGAAAGTACAGCGGGATCCCCGCGCAAAAGCCAACTGCCGTGCCGCCATGCCCCGTTCGTAAGTTTGTGCCGCCTGCCACCGTCCGGCTGCACTTCCCCGCGTCGCCACTGTGTTCCGCCTGCCACCTTTTAGCCGCCGCGAACGCGCGAATGCCTCGAATGAGCCGAGCTGGGCCGAATGGGCGACTCAGGGCCACCTGCGCAGCGGGGCGCGACGCCACGCGAAGCCAGGCCACGCCAGAGCCATGTAGTGCTTCCTCCCGCAGCCCAGCTTCCTCCTCGCCTTCGCCTTCTTTCGCTTCCTCGCCCCGGGGCCGCCCTCGCCCTGGGACTCTGCGCCCTGCGCGGGACACGACGCGCGCCGTCGGGGACCGTCGGGGACACTGACAGGGGCGAGTTGAACGCCAGGGATTGAATTTTAAAGATGTGAGGTATGTCGCGCTCCACCCTGTGTGCGGCCGCTAGACGTGTTTGACAGCGTTCCACTCGGCATTCCGTCCATTCAATCTCGTTATCGGTCCGCCATGAAGACGTCGCGCGTCTCCGTTTCGGCTCCAATTAGACAGAACGGCGGAAAAGCCGCGCCTACCGAGTGCCCGCCTGCCCGCCCGCACCGATTTGCATAGGTGGCCGACGAAGGCCGCGCCGAGCGCGTTTCGAATTAAAGACAGGCGGCGTCGGGAGAAAATTGCAGCCTCCGTCTGCGCTGCGCGCTGCGCGTGCCTCGCCGTGCGTGTGCCGTACGCCGGCGCACGCCAAGCCACGCCAAGCCACGCCAAGCCACGCCGCGGCACGGTAGTCGGTCGGCGCCTTGTTTTATGACGGCCTGCACCTTGACTTATTGACCGTTATTCCGTGGCCCGCCCGTCCAGGCAGCTAGCGTCCAGGCGTCCAAGGCCGCGCGACGCGTGAGAGAACCGCCGCATGGGAGCCGCGGGATGCTGCGCGAGGATGACCGCCTGGCCGCCGACGGCCCGGGTTCGAGTCCCGGCGCCGCCGTCCATTTTCCTTCCGTTTCCTCCCCGGCCTGACGACGCTGACGACGACGCGGTGTTGGTTGCAGCGAGGACAGCTGGTACGCCAGCACGCCGGAGCGGGGCCGGCACGAGGCGCTGCTGCGCAAGGCCCTGGACGTGATCCTGGAGGAGGCCGTGTTCGGCGGCACGAGCCGCACCGGCAAGGTGTGCGAGTGGCGAGACCCCGAGGAGCTCCGCAAGGCCATGGACCTGTCGCTGCCCCACGGCGACACCGAGGGCCCCGCGGACGACGCCACGCTGCTGCAGCTCGTCAGGGACACCATCAAGTACTCCGTCAAGACGGGGCACCCGTACTTCATCAACCAGCTGTACTCAGGGTAAGCAGTGCTTGTGTTAATCTCTTTTAAGAAGATCGACTGAGTTGACTGACGGTGTCGCTTGTGCAGCCTGGATCCGTACGGCCTGATCGGCCAGTGGCTGACAGACGCGCTCAACCCCAGCGTGTACACGTACGAGGTGTCCCCCGTGTTCACGCTCATGGAGGAGGCCGTCCTGCAGGAGATGAGGAACATCGTGGGCTTCCCCGTGGACCAGGGCGACGGCATCTTCTGCCCCGGCGGCTCCCTCGCCAACGGCTACGCCATCAGTTGCGCGCGCTACCACCACTTCCCCGAAGTCAAGGTAAGAGGAAACACGGTGGAAATCCGTCCGAGCAGGGGCGATTTGAACGGGTGACGCGATACCATTTTCTTGCCTTTCCTGGAAACACGTCGCTGAAAATGGCAGTTTTTCTCCAAGACAAAAGACTCATCAATCGATGACGGCCTGTTGCCAGGCGATGAGCACGTCTTGCCCCCATTAACGCTTCGACGTCCCCTCTTTTTCTCTCTCTCTCTCTCTCTCTCTCTCTCTCTCTCTCTCTCTCTCTCTCTCTTTCCCGCAACGAGTCCGCATTACATCGCGCGCCGCTCGGCTGGTGGCCGCGCCACTCAAGGACTGACCGGTAGCGAAGTGCCGCAGCGCAAAGATGCCACACCGAGGATGGCAGAAGGCCGGCCACCCTTTCCGTTTCCTCGCCTTCGGCTTTAATCTGCCTTGCTGCTACTCCCTCTCCGTTTTACCTCAACTACTGTTTCTGCTCCAACGCGCGACCTTCACTCGCGGGTTCTGCAAATCACTGCGACAGTGGCAGCGAACGCCGGCCGAATAGCCGTCAGCTCGCGTCAGCTCGCTTGAAGCATCGCGATTGCCGCCTGCGGGGCCCGGGGTAGGCAGGCCCGTTACACATCTGTGCGTTGTCGCACTGCATTGCCTACACTCCAAATCCAGGGTGTCTAGAAACTATACGCCTTAGGCGTATGCCACAGAAATGGAACTGCCTTAAGGCGCCTTGATTCTATACGCCAAAGGCGTATACCCCATTGAGCACCTTTTGCAGATAGAAGTTAGCATGTGAGCACCATTGGTCGAAGGAAAGGTGCGTGCATCGTACACACCCTGGATCATAGGCACTGAGCTCAACAGGACTCTAGGTGCGTAGAATGTAAACACCCTTTAAGGCCTCGGTAGGCATGGCCTCGGCCAAGGGCGGTGTTTGCATTCAACGCACCTAGAGTCCTGTTGAGCTCAGTGCCTATGATCCAGGGTGTGTACAATGCACGCACCTTTCCTTCGACCAATGGTGTTCACATGCTAACTTCTATCTGCAAAAGGTGCTCAATGGGGTATACGCCTTTGGCGTGTAGAATCAAGGCGCCTTAAGGCAGTTCCATTTCTGTGGCATACGCCTAAGGCGTATAGTTTCTAGACACCCTGGATTTGGAGTGTACCTGTCAGGCGCTCCGTGTCCAAGTCCGCCTGCAAGGCCCGGGGTAGGCAGGCCCGTAACACACCTGTGCGTTGATTGCCTACCTCCCAGGCGCTCCGTGTCCAAGTCCGCCTGCGAGGCCCGGGGTAGGCAGGCCCGTAACACACCTGTGCGTTGATTGCCTACCTGCCAGGCGCTCCGTCTCCAAGTCCACCTCCGCCTTCTGGTTGCAGGTCAAGGGGATGCACGCGCTGCCGCGCCTGGCCGTGTTCACGTCGGAGGACGCGCACTACTCGGTGGTCAAGATGGCCACGCTGATGGGGCTGGGCGCCGAGAACGTGCGCCTGGTGCGCGCCGACACGCGCGGCCGCATGGACGTGGCCCACCTGGAGGAGCTGGTGGCGGCGGCGCGCGAGGAGGGCGTGCACCCGCTCATGGTGTCGGCGACGGCGGGCACCACGGTGCTGGGGGCGTTCGACGCGGTGGACGCGCTGGCCGACGTGTGCCAGTGCCACGGCATGTGGCTGCACGTGGACGCGGCGTGGGGCGGCGGCGCGCTCATGTCGCGGCGGCGGCGCCACCTGCTGCGCGGCGTGCACCGCGCCGACTCCGTCACCTGGAACCCGCACAAGCTGCTGGCCGCGCCGCAGCAGTGCTCCACCTTCCTGACGCGCCACTCCGCCGTGCTGCCGTCCGCGCACTCGGCGCACGCCGCCTACCTCTTCCAGCCCGACAAGTTCTACGACACGCGCTACGACACGGGCGACAAGCACGTGCAGTGCGGCCGGCGCGCCGACGTGCTCAAGTTCTGGTTCATGTGGAAGGCCAAGGTGAGTGCTCGCTCCCGAAAAAACTGTCGAAACCTGTCCACGCGGTTTGGCTGGAAAAGACACACGGTTCCTGGTTTGTTTTTTCAGGGCACTCTGGGGCTGGAGAAACACATCGACCACCTGTTCGACAACGCGACGTACTTCAAGGAGGCCATTCGGTGCCGGCCCGGCTGGGAGCTGGTGCTGCGAGAGCCGGAGTGCACCAACGTGTGCTTCTGGTACGTGCCGCCCAGTCTGCGTGGCCAGCAGGGCCAGCCCGACTACAACCAGCGCCTGCACAAGGTCAGTAAACTGATTCCGCGGTTGGCGAGGACCCCTTCTCCGGACTAACAAACCCGTTTCGCGTGTGCAGGTGGCGCCGAAGATCAAGGAGGGCATGATGAAGGAGGGCTCCATGATGGTGACGTACCAGCCGCTGCGCGGCCTGCCCAACTTCTTCCGGCTGGTGCTGCAGAGCTCGGCGACCACCGTCGAGGACATGGACCACTTCATCTGCGAGATCGAGCGGCTCGGCTGCGGCCTCTAGCCTGTTCTGTTCTCCGGAACTCGACTTATTTATCTCCCCTTGTTTGTTAGCAGCGCGGCAACGCGGCAACGCCGGCGTCGGGAAGCGGAGTGAGTTCCATTCCGTACCCGTCTGCGAGTAGTCGCTTGTCATAGGTGTCTCATTAGTGCCGCAGCTCGCACCTTATTTATACATATGTACATAGAACGGGCTGTCATGTTTGTTCCGAGCGTCCACGGGCACGGACGTGCGATGTGTTGATTTCATGTGATATTTCATGTCTAGTAGTGTCGAAGAGCTAAATTTATTGTTTGTTGAGTGCGTGTACCACACTTCTCCTCGAGGCAAAAAAAAATGCATAAATAGGCAAGAGGTATGTTTTTATTCTCCTGCGGTACGTCCTATGTCAGATCATTTTAGGTGACCCAGATAACACCACGCTAGACCGTTTGGCACATCACCGCCTAAGTAGTACACTGTACGGAGAAGGCCAGTTCAATCAAGGAGTCTGTACACCGAGTACTGAGTGACAGTGACCTTCTTCGGCGTCCCTAGCTCTCCCCTCGAGACTCGCCCTTCTTGACGAAGTACTTCTCGATCTCGGCCAGCGAGCGACCCAAAGTCTCGGGCAGGAAGAAGAACACGAAGGCCGTGCCGACGCACGATATGGCACCGAACACATAGAACACGTTGCGCGCGCCCGCCGCCGCCATGAAGTAGGGGAAGCTCTTGACCACGCCGAACATGAACAAGTACGCCAGCGACACCAGCAGCCCGCTGCCCATGCCGCGGCTCGCCAGGGGTAGCAGTTCGCTCATGAGGGACCAAGGTATTACAAGATATCTGAAAAGAAAATGGACTCGCGTTAGGGCTGCTAGGAAAGATATTAGAAACCTCCATTTTCTAACAAAGAACACGGGTCTTCTACCGACAGAACCTACCCTAAAGAGCTGAACATGACAAAGAGGATGACGAACACCAGTGGTGGCCAGCTGGCTTGGAACACTTCACCGGACCCAAGGACGGATGGGGCCACCGAGGGCGCCACCGTGGCGTTGACGGCCACGGGCGCGAGGTCGGGGGTGAGGGCGGTGCGCAGCGTGAAGCCCGCCGCCACGGAGCAGGCCGCCATGCCCAGCCCCGACACCATCATCATGGGGCGGCGGCCCACGCGGTGGGACAGCAAGGCCGTCACGATGCTCATCACGAACCGCACCACGCTCATGACCACCATCACGCCGAACTCGTCCACCACCTGCATGTCATGGGTGTCACTTACAAAATTAAGTATTTAGCAGCTGATACCGTTTTCATTGCGACGGTTACCGTGCCGAAGCGACTGCCCATCTGTGCGAAGAGGGGGACGGCGTAGAAGATGATGACGAACGTGCCAGAGAGCTGCTGCACGATGAAGATGATGGCCAGGAGGACCATGGGCTTGGCGGTGGCTGGCTGCAGGAAGACACTCACACTGCGAAACACACGCCTGCCCAGGAGGTTCTGGCCCTCGCCGTCCACGCCGTCCTCATCGGCATGCCCTCTGGTCTTGTTGGCCGTCCCCGCGTTTTCCACCAGGCGGTCCCAGCACGCCTCCATCATCTCGTCGTCCTTGTAGAGGCGGCGTAGCGACCGGCGTGCCAGGGCGGCCCGCTGCTCCATCTGCTTGCCCGGCGCCATGCTGAGCAGCCAGTGGGGGCTCTCCGGCGCCAGCAGCAGCAGGGCGAGCATGGAGGCGGCGGCGGTGGCGGCGAAGACCACCGCCATCCAGCCCCACGGCATCACCGTCCCCAAGCACGCCGTCAGCAAGATGCCCGCCGCCACGGACACGCTGTTGAGGCACAGCAGTGCGGGCCGCAGCGAGGGGTGCGCCACCTCGGACACGTACACGATTGCCGCCGTGGAGAGCCCCGAGGCCGCCCCCGCCATCGCGCGCGACGCGTACACGAGCCCCAGGACGGGCCAGGGCCCCGCGGCCAGCGGCAGCACCAGCCAGGCCAAGACGAGCGGCGCGGCTGTCGCCATGCAGGCCGTGCGCCTCCCCAGCCAGTCCATCAAGGGCCCCGACAACAACGACCCCACCGGCGTCGTCACCGCCACCGCGGCCGCTGGAAACAGAGCCAGTCAGAGACAGTACACTTGGCTGCCATCGGGGCGGGTCAGCCTCACTGCGCACCGATCCAGGACGCCGAGTCGCGGTCCACGGGGATGGCGCTGTCGGGGCGCTCCATCTGGGGGATCATGATGGCGGCGAAGGCCATGTTGATGCCGGCGTGCAACGTGAGCGACAGCGCCGCGCAGCAGGCGACCACCTTGACAGAATTGTGTTTAAATGCACGGACACGTTGGCGAAGAGTCTGTGCCTGTCCCACTCAGCCGAGATCCCCAACAAACGTGTGCCTCACCTGCGGTACGGCGCTTCTCCACGAGATGCCCGGGGCCGCGTGCTTCGGCGGCCCCTTCGACGCGTCGGGGTAGACCCCGCTGCTCATGTCGAACGAGGCCGTGTCATGCGTCGATCCTAGAACACGAGCCGGGGTTCGCGTCGAATGCCTCCAACGCCTGCAGCGCCGGCGGGTAGGCAAACTGCCTCGAGCCGGCGCACCTGCGCGCAGAGGGTTGCCTACCGCGGCATTCACAGGCGCTCTTCGAGGCGCGCGGGTCGCGGCAGGCAGGGACTGCGGAGCGCGGAGCGATCCGAATCAGTTTACGCCGCCCCTCCGTTCCCTTCCCCTTCCCGGTCCTGGGCTGCAGCACACCCACACGCAGCGAGAAGGCCCCGTCGTTCGCGCGCGACAGAAACGTCACCCAGAGCAACGCGGATGCGAATCGAGGCACGAGGCGCACGCCGCACCGGTCATTGGATTACACTATCACCACGGCCATGCTCCTCGCACACCTTTACAGCAAGATAAGGCTAAGGCAAGGCGGCACCCCGGACTCCAGACCGCCCGCCCGGTGCGGTGGCGTGTTCCCAGACACTCTCAGGCAGTCGTCGCTCACCCATGGCCGAGGCGGTGGTTGCTGCTCCCAGGGCCGCGTCGCGTCCCGTCCCGATGCTCTCCACGGCGGCAGTGGCGGGCCTGGGTAGGCCTGGGCGGGGGGCTGCGCCTTGGCTGCGCCGCCCCGCGCCGCGAGAAGACGAAGACGCCTGGCTGGATCGCGGGTCACTGATTGGAGAGGTCCTGGTGCAAAAGGGCCCCCACCGCGAGCCCGCCAGACAGGACTCAGCGACTGGCGGCGGGGCGGGGCGGTGCGGGGCGGGGTGGGCAACTGCCTCTTCACTATCTTGCACGTGTCGCACCCTGTCTCAATTCGTGGACGATAAGGACTGCGAAACAGAAGCACGTGCGCGGAAAAGAGTTGGCAAGAAGAAAGAGAGACAGACTACGAGTAGTCCTACTTCACTAACGTTTAATGTATCTCCAGTAAAACACATACGCTAACAACTGTGAAGCGGTAGGCATAAAAAAACAAAACAGGGAAATGGAACACAATAAACTGGTGTACCTAGGTGAGAACAGGTAACTTTTCATATTGCACTGCATCAAGTAAAAAAATGAGGAAAGTCATTCATCAATTCAGCCTTCAGCTAATACACCTTTAACAAATAACAAATTATAAACATATGAACATTTAAACATTAACAAAATCATAAAAATACCGTGGCAAAAGTTGAGCAAAGCATTTACAATACAATACTGTGTTATACTAAGTAGTTTTTTTTAAAAATCACACTGATTTTGGTACGATATATGAGGGTAGTTCACCCACAAAAGTAACAGGAAGCTCAGGAAGCATCACAACATTTGATCGGCAAAAACAAGCCAATAAGCTGTTTTGCAATAATAAGAAAATGGAAGACTTCTGTTTCAAAAGAAATCACTTAAGCTTTAACAATTTATAGGAATTATTGTCTCAATGCTAAATTTGCATTTGCTCAGCAAAGCATTTAGAAATATATCATCAATGCAGTACTGATAGATTACATTTTACATACAGTTCAAATAACACAGCCAAGACCTAATGATCCTAAAAATATAGTTACTGTAAACTAGTCTGATTAAAATGATTGTTTGTTTGACTGAATTTCTCTATAGACCGACAACTAATTTGTAGCTAAAAACACATTGTTCAAAAAATTATTTTTTTCTACAAAATATACTTGTGACATGTAAGTTGAGGATATGCAATAGAGAAAAAAAAGTCATCTAAATCTCAAAATCAGTACAGTTTGGCTCCAGTAAGCCATTTAACTCATTTAACAATAAAATAACTAACAAATTATATAGGAATGAAGGAAATGAGGAAAATGGTCTGTCAGAGTGGAGTTCCAAGTCAAATGGCAGTACAAGGAAAACCAAGGAAAAATAGCTATATCTTCTACCATGAACCTTAATACTTGCACAATTAAACCATAAAAACTTTCACCAACTAAAAGGAACATAAATTCAAGTAACAAGTAAAAAGTAACAAGTAACAATGTCGCTCCAAAGTGAGAACAATGGTCTTTTCCCTTGCTGTAATTTGGCATCTCTTAAAATTTACTTTGGAGTAAACATGTTAAAATCTACTGAGTTTCTACAAACTCTTGAACACATTCTAACAATGAGACAACCAGAGACATTATTAAAGTACCAACAAAAAGATGTCTTTAACAGAATAGATCAGTCACAAAATTAAGTATTGCATATTTCCCATCTCTAAAACAAATTACAGTGTGGGCTTGTGTATAATACATTATAAAGTCACAAACTATGGTCCACAGTTTTTTTTGTTTTTTTTCACACATAGGAATGACAGGTATAATGGATATGAGAACTACTGATTTAGTTCTGCCTATAGCTTTTTAACTAAAACGGACAAAGCTCTTAGGTCTGGCAAGGCACAGAGAGCGTACATTTTCCTACTCAGCATGCTTCACAATAACTTCTTTTCACGACATAAATCAAGAACAGCCAAACTTCCGCACAAGCTTTTTCTGATGGCTACCACGCAGTTAATTATTTTGCTTTATCTACAACAGAAGTACAACACTCTTGAAAAGAAGTGGTTACAGTTTGGCAGCACAAAGCTTATTCTCACTGGAAAGGGAAGTAGCATCTTCAGCTTGTGAGGGCTGAATCAGTTCAAGACCGCAGATCTGAAAAGTGACAAAAATGAATTGAAAGTTATACAATCAAACTAGAAGCATAAATGAAAAAGTATTTATAATTGCTGAAAGGTTTCATTTCTTTGCCTGCAGCAGCTACCTCTTTAGAGTTCTCATTCCTCTGTGGTGAGGTATGAAGGTGTTGCCTTCGTTTCTTCAAGTGATTGGCAACTGGTGGCACAAAGAGATTTGGATCCAGATGATCCGCCAAATCTACAGGATGAATCCGCAGTATGTGACTTGCCACCAAACTCACTATTATTCCAACTACAAGGCAAACAATCAGACCCAAAACACCTAGCCACATGTATGACAAACGATGCAAATAGAAGATTTCATCATTTCTGAAAAATAGTAAAAAGGTACAAGTTAAGAAAGTCTTAATAACAAGTTAATAAAAATGCAACAATGCAGAATGACTCAGATAAGTACGCAATGTGAGGAGGACTGGGAATAGTGCTAGAACAATTGCTCAGACATTCAGCGGTGCTAATGGGCAGTGTTTTTAGGGCAGGTTTAACAGGTGGAAATCCAAGGAACAGGCAAAATGCAAGAGATGAAACAAATCCTGTCAGAGCACCCTGAAATATGAAACAAAACCACATTTTCAAAACATATTTGGGAAAATTCACAGAATAGATCTCAGGAAAATGTTACTTTTAATAATACTCACAGTTTGATTGGCAACAGGGAAAAACATTCCAACAGTAAAAAGTCCTAATATGGGACCACCAACAACATTGAATATTGTAAGTGAAGCCTGGAGGACGCTACCAAGATACTCCGCAATAAAGGCAAGTGCAATGCAAACTAATCCATATATGACTGAAATGAGTTTGGCACGATAAGAACTTCCTTTTTCGGCTAAGTCATTCTTTCGTAAGCACACATAAATAGGCTGAAAATTTTAAAACAGAAAAAATGATTTCTTCTTGAGAAAGAAATGCTCAAGGATGGGTTTGGAGAGACTTAAAAACACAAACAAACCTTAATATAATCTTCCAAAGTTACAGCTGCCAAAGAATTTACTGCAGCTGATACTGTGCTTAAAGAGGCACTGAAAATACCAGATACAAACAAACCAGAGAGTCCAGGCATATGTCCCATTGTGTCAACTACATAATAGGGCATCAGCTAAGAAAGAAAATTCAGTTTTTCATTAGAGGACAAAAAAATACTGATAATAAAATGTATTTTTACTACTGAAAGACAAAAATAAAATGATTGTAGTACCTGATCAGAACTGGTGATTTGGCAAGATTTGGCAGGGTCACACTTGGAGTACTTTGAATACATTGCAAGACCTGAGAAGCTGGTGGAGAAGCTGAGAAGAGTAAGAAGTGGCCAATTCATCCAGAGAGTCTTCTGTGCCGTTTTGACATCTCTGTGGAAAATTAAAATAATTTTACTTTAAGGATTAAAGCATGTGAACATGACATAAAATAAAGCAAAGGAACTCACTTGACTGATAGGTATCTTTGAACTTGAGCCTGATTGACAGCATACAGGGAGAGGAAAGTCACTCCCCCTCCTATGGTTAAACTCCACCACGTATGTCGCACAGTAGGGTCAAGACTAAAGCTAATAGAGAAAAAGATTGAAACAAAAAAATATTGTTTTGACAAAACATGGAACAAAACAGAACAAAACAAAGCCCAACCATTACTCACTTATCAAACTCAATACGCCCATTCTCTTCTGCAATCCTCCAAATTTCTGCTAAGCTTCCTTTTTCAACCCAAGCAGAAACAATCACGCAATAGATTGAAGCAAACATAAGTAGAGACTGGAAGTAAAAGAATTTACGTACATTAAAATTCATTCTCCTGATAGGAGTCGATACTTTCTTGCAAAGCTTGACAAACAAAAATTCCATACCTGGAAAACATCAGTGATGAGAACAGCCTTGAGGCCACCAATGGTGGAATAGAAGGTGCATACTAGGCCCACTGATAATATGGCCCATGATCTAGACATGCCAGTGACAGCTTCAAGAGTCAGAGCTGGAGTGTATAAGACAATACCCATATACAAAATCATCTGGAGGGAAAATGCCAAAGAGGCAGCAAGACGGGCTGCCTTACCAAATCTTTTCTCTAGATACTAAAAGAGAGAAAAAATAACATAAGCACTTTTTTTTTCTCAGAAAAGTTCAGCAGATATTTGAACAATCATACAAACCTCATAAACACTTGTGGCACCAAGGTTGAAAAATACAGGGAGGTACAAATAAGCCGCAACAGGTGTGAATATACCATAAGCCAAATTTATGACAACGAACATAGTGCCAAAAGAGTAAATTTCTGCGCTCACACCAAGTAAGGTCACTGCAGACATGAAACTTGCCATCAAAGAAAATGCAACAGGTACGATGCTCATATTTCTGTCAGCCAGAAGATATTCCTGAAATGTAACAGAAGTAAAGGTGAAAACAAACTAGAGAAATCTAAAATAAAAACACCAAAAATAAGCAGTCTTTTGTTTCAATACATTAACTACTTGATTTTTTTAAATGCCTCATACTTACAACTGCTGTCTTTTGTCTGCCACCAGTAAATCGATAATATATACCGATACCCGCCGATATCAGTAAAGTTAAGGCAAAGACTGCATAATCCCATACTCCAAACACCGTGGCTGCCATTTTAGTTATCTGTAAAATAAATAAAGCACACTTTTTAATTGACTAGTACAAAGAGTCAAACTAGATAGTTTAGCATTCATCACACATGTACGTGCATACATTCACCAGCTAAAATTTCCCTCCGGCAGGCTATTAAGGAGTCTGACGCCAAAGCCAAGATAAGAAGGACCAGCCAGAAGTGTCGTTATCTCTAAGGCACCGAGATGACGGTATCATTAAGTAGATAATGAGTGTTTCACAGTTTTAATGTCTTCATTTTGCATTGTGAAATCAATGTTGTAAAATGAACGACCACATGAACGGACTGGTCTTCAATGAAAAACAGCTTCCACTATTATGACATTGGTGATTCTTGCGTTGAAACGGAGTGAATGGCTGAGCAGCCCAGCAGTCAGAAAATGCATTTCCAATCAATGTTCCCCAGAGATAACCAACCCGTCTCATGGTGAATGAAACGGAAGAAAAAGTTTACCTTTTTTGACTGCGGAGTACGGAGTAAATATCCAAAGACCGAAACCGCTCCTCCGCGGCGCCGCTGGACGGGGAGACGAGGACGGAGACGAGGACGCGGGCGCCCAAATTGATAACACTTGACTCAATCTAACCCCGGCCCAGCAGGCCCAGCCCCCCAATTGATTGGGAGTGCACAATGCTGAGATGCACCATGGCACCCGCCGACCAACCAATGCTCTAGAAAAGGTTAGGTTATGTGTACGTAGAACGCAAGTTAGCAGACGATGCTGGCATGGAATAGGGAGAAAAGGTCCTACTCTCATGATGCTGGGCAGCAGACGACGGCACGTACGTTGTGGACGTGGTCGGTAGAGGGAGACACTGGCGCCACGGCCGCGCGCCATTTGAGTGTCGGCGGCGAGCAGGCAGCAGTCGATTCTTTCGCTTTCACTACTTCACGGTCCGTCATCGAACCACTTCTTTCCGTCACAAAAAGTGCGGCACGCATCAAAGACGCGAGGGGAAGAAGGAGAACAGTCACAATGCAACATTTTATTATAAAACATTTGTAAAAATTGATAATCACAGAACATAACCGGGAACTACAAGCAGAGCAGGGTCACCGATTGTTTTTCTTAAAATATTCTTTTAAAGTAATGTTATGTACAACATATAATATGCAAGTAAAATGTTCAATATAAAAATGGACCCATCCTATAAAAAATATCACATATCACGAATAAGTTTGTACATGACTTAGGTCTTGCTTTTAACGTCCAGAGCAACATTGACTGGATCAGCTCTCCCTTCGAGACTCGCTCTTCTTGACGAAGTACTTCTCGATCTCGGCCAGCGAGCGACCCAACGTCTCGGGCAGGAAGAAGAACACGAAGACCGTGCCGACGCACGACATGGCACCGAACACATGGAAGACGTTGCGCGCGCCCGCCGCCGCCATGAAGTAGGGGAAGCTCTTGACCACGCCGAACATGAACAAGTACGCCAGCGACACCAGCAGCCCGCTGCCCATGCCGCGGCTCGCCAGGGGTAGCAGTTCGGACACCAGCGTCCATGGTATCACCAGGTGCCTGCATCAACCAAAGCGAAAGGTAATGGAACGCCAGTCACTCATCAGACTGCGCTGAACAGCGGTCCACTCCACTGGTGGGAATCTCAACTGTCAACAGTAGTTCACAATACATACCCCAGTGAGCTGAACATGACGAAGAGGACGACGAAAACCAGTGGTGGCCAGCTGGCTTCAAACACCTCAGCCCCCAGCACGGACGACACCCCCGCCTCCGTGGTGTTGGCCGTGGCGTTGACGGCCACGGGCGCGAGGTCGGGGGTGAGGGCGGTGCGCAGCGTGAAGCCCGCCGCCACGGAGCACGCCGCCATGCCCAGCCCCGACACCATCATCATGGGGCGGCGGCCCACGCGGTGGGACAGCAAGGCCGTCACGATGCTCATCACGAACCGCACCACGCTCATGACCACCATCACGCCGAACTCGTCCACCACCTGTGCACACCGAAACGGACGTCACTAAAGAAATAAAAATATGAAAAGCCGATACGGTTGGCTTGCGAAGTTTACCGTGCCGAAGCGACTGCCCATCTGCGCGAAGAGGGGGACGGCGTAGAAGATGATGACGTAGGTGCCGGAGAGTTGCTGCAGGATGAAGATGATGGCTAGGAGGGCCATGGGCTTGGCGGTGGCTGGCTGCAGGAAGACACTCACGCTGCGAAACACACGCCTGCCCAGGAGGTTCTGGCCCTCGCCGTCCACGCCGTCCTCATCGGCATGCCCTCTGGTCTTGTTGGCCGTCCCCGCGTTTTCCACCAGGCGGTCCCAGCACGCCTCCATCATCTCGTCGTCCTTGTAGAGGCGGCGTAGCGACCGGCGCGCCAGGGCGGCCCGCTGCTCCATCTGCTTGCCCGGCGCCATGCTGAGCAGCCAGTGGGGGCTCTCCGGCGCCAGCAGCAGCAGGGCGAGCATGGAGGCGGCGGCGGTGGCGGCGAAGACCACCGCCATCCAGCCCCACGGCATCACCGTCCCCAAGCACGCCGTCAGCAAGATGCCCGCCGCCACGGACACGCTGTTGAGGCACAGCAGTGCGGGCCGCAGCGAGGGGTGCGCCACCTCGGACACGTAGACCCCCGCGGCCGTCGACAGCCCCGCGCCAACCCCGGCCAGCACGCGGGCCAGGTACACGATGCCCAGGACAGGCCAGGGCCCCGCGGCCAGCGGCAGCACCACCCACGCCAAGAAGAGCGGCACGGCGGTCACCATGCAGGCCGAACGCCTCCCAAGCCAGTCCATCAGGGGCCCCGACAACAACGACCCGACCGGCGTCGTCACCGCCACCGCGGCCGCTGGAACAGGGAGAAGCGGTCAGTGACGCGGAGGTCGGTTGATGTCTACGGCGAAGTCGGATCCTCACCGATCCAGGACGCCGAGTCACGGTCCACGCGGATGGCGCTGTCGGGGCGCTCCATCTGGGGGATCATGATGGCGGCGAAGGCCATGTTGATGCCGGCGTGCATGGCGAGCGACAGCGCCGCGCAGGACGCGACCACCTGCCAAAATGAAAGCAAAATGTTAGCAAGACAATGACTCCACCAACGTTTCCTTCGCTCTGGTGAAGTCGACGGCGGTCTCACCTGCGGGATGGCATGTCGAAAGGCGATGCTCGGCGGTGGCGTTTTGGGCGGTGCAGGACTTCTGCTTTGCGAGACGCCCACGGAGCCGCTCTCTCTGTCGAAGGAGATCTTGTTGTTCATCGTCCCTGAATGAAAACGTGGCCAGTGTTAAAAAGACGCTCCTCGCGGCGGGTAAGCCCCGGCCGCGGGAGTGCGTTGGGTTGCCTACCCTGCCGTCGTCAGGCGTTGAGGGGGGAGGGGGCTAGTCAGGAGCTCAGCCCGCCGTCTCGCTAGCGAACGGGGGAGACTGTAAATTGCCGAAGAATCTCGCCGCGGCCAGACAGGGGGAGCTCCACCAAAATAAGGCGCCGCGAGAGGGGGACGCGCGTTGAACCGCCGCCAAAGCAAGGCCGCCGTTCGCTCTCAAGTCCAACGTCCGGCAGAATCTAGGACTCGACGGGGTCGAGGGGCGAACTACTGTTGAGTCAGATTCGGGTGCAAGTAGTCGGTGACTGTCAATCACCGCGTGAGAGGCATGCGGAGGCAAACATCAAGAGGGCCTACCTCGGCCGGCTTTGGCAAGGAAGCCCCAGGGAAGCCCCGACGCAACAGTACAGTACGCCCGCTGCACTGTACAGCGCGTCGTAGTGCGGAGGGCCACGCCCGCGTGCTAGTTTACACTGTTTACACGGTTTTGCAACAGAGTCGCACAATGACGAGCGCAATTATGAACCGCTATTCGAGTCCACAAAACGTGCATGACGTGCGCGTCGCGATAAGCCCACCTGATGCGGCGCGACGGTCGCGAAGGTCAGGGGCAAGGGTTAGGGACGACAGGACGAACGGCGGCGAGACACTATGTCAATACCCCACGCGGTAGGAACTTCACTGCATGGAGAGATGGCCGACGCTCTGGCGCGCAGAGTAGCGACGGGTCGATTTTGATACGACCGATTGGTTCGTACGAGATTAGACTGGCGGGCTGGCCGCGCGGAGTAGCGACGGGCCTGGCCGAATCTTTTTGTGTGGCTGCCAGTGCCGTGCCAGCGCCAGGCTGCCGGCCGACTACCGGCCCAGCCTGCACAGCACCACCCTCCCTCTGTGGGTCTTAGTCGTCTTAGGCCGCCGATTGAAGGCCACCGAGTCTGTACAGTTTCCCGCCTGCAGTCTGGCTCCGAGAGAGTCGTTGTCGTCGCGCTGTCTCTCTCTCACCCTCACGGGACATCCCGTGAAGTGCGAGAGAGACAGCGCGATGAAAACGACTCTCGGAATCGGAATCCTGGCGGCCAGGATCGGACGGCGAGCTGACATTTCGCCACTTGAGGATTTTGACGGCGTGCTCCAACTTTGATCGTCGATGTGGCGTGCAGGGCCCGCATGTCTAGCCAAGCATAACAGGGCCAGCGCAGGGACGTTTCCTTTATCGTCGAGACGTGCAAGCAGCGATAAGCAGCTTCCGTGCGTTGCCCGACGCAGCGGGGCGGCGGCGAGACGAGTACTACTGTACGTGGAGGCCAATTACATTTCCCGCTCGCCTCACCAGACTTCCCCGACTCGTCGCATCGACGGCTTCGGTTTTACTTTCGCGGCGGCCGCAGGGAAGTCCTCCCGCACCGCCCCCACCCCCTCGATGAAACCGGTAGCCACTACCGCGCGCATCCCGAGCGAGAACGCACATGTAAACAAAGCGCCAACGGCCCCGATGACATGTTTGGTCGCTGCACCGAGCAGTGTGTTTTGTTTTCTTTGAGAGAGCCCGTGGTCCAGTGTCACGGTCGATCACGCACCTGATTGGGCGGCGGGCCTCGACGGCTCGACACGGCACGGCCTGGTCTCCCCTCGGTAGCCGACGAGATGATGCTGGCTCCCGGGACGACAGACGACCACAGACGACAGGACAAGGCGGCCGGCGCCGGCAGGACGTCGCGTCGGCGATGCAGAGCAGGCAAGCAGGCAGAGCACTGCGGAGACGCGACTGCCTCGGGCGGAGCGGCGACGAGCCCGGCGGACGCGGGGCTATGAGAAATTCGGCAGCGCGCAGCCGCGGTGCCGCGATGCAGACGGTGCAGGGAAGTTTGAGCAGAGCTAGTTGACACTAGCCAGATTGGATCACCACGTCAACACGCGGGAGCGGCAAAGATAAAATTCGTTAAAAAAGGTGTGTGTTTAATCAGTCGGAAATACAATAAAATACAAAGTCAATGCTAACTCAGCGGTAACTCGACATCAGGGGGAAGTACCAAAGGCACGTTGAAAACAATAATAATAATAATTACAACACATAAAACAGGCACAGAGCAAACTTGTATCAAACAATATCATTATGAAATATTGAGCATAAAACATGAAAGACAGGTTCAGTATCAGGTTTACAAAAATACATAACACCCTGTTTTGTAATAGATTTTCCATTGGAATGATTGATTGAGAAATATCACAATGTACTGTGTTACATTTTGCTGTTTTCATCAGAATCGAAGCTCCTTTCTCCAACATCATCAGTATCCTGGCAAACAAGAAAACAATGTTTCTCAGTGCATATGATAATTATAGTAGAAAGGATGCTGAGAAGATAAATTATCTCCTTTAATTCAATTACCTTAGGAGATTCTTCATTTCGCAATGCACAGAGACGAATTCGTTGGCGTCTCTTTTTTAAGTGATTGGCAACTGGTGGCACAAACAGATTTGGATCCAAATGATCAGACAAGTCTGCAGGATGAATTCGCAGTAAATGACTTGCCACTAAACTCACTACTATCCCAACAATAACACACATTAAAAGACCCAAAACGCCGAGCCACATGTAAGACAAACGAAACAAATAAAATATTTCGTCATTGCTGGAAAATGATAAAGGAAATAAAATGAAAAGGGATACACAGTTACACAAATTGCAAAAGTCACAAAAAATTACTTTATCTGGGATTGATTTGAAGTATTGATGGTACAGTTGGCGAAGCTAGACAGACATCCATCAGTATACACTGGAAGTTTCTTTAAAGCTGGCTTAGATGGATTAAATCCTAGAAATAATGAAAAGGCTAGGGAAGATAGAAAGCCTACCAAGGCTCCCTATTTAAGAAATTTTTCTTTTTAAATTATAGAAAGAAACATAATAATATGCATATCATTCATCATAAAGAAAAATACTTGCAGTTTGATTGGCAAAAGGGAAAAACATTCCAACCGTGAAAAGGCCCAATATTGGTCCACCAACAACACTGAAAATTGTGAGAGCAGCTTGGAGGACAGAACCAAAATAGTCTCCACCAAAGGCAACTGCAATGCTGACCATACCATAAATCACAGATGTAAGTTTTGCACGATACGCACTCCCATTTTCTGGCATGTCATGCCTTTTGAAATAAAAGTAAATTGGCTGAAAAAAAAATCTCATTAGAAAAATTTTGCAAGTTGTATTTTTATTATTTCATTCATTCAAAAATACCTTAATGTAATCTTCTACAGTGATAGCTGCCAAGGAATTTACTGCTCCTGATACTGTGCTGAGAGCCGCACTGAATATACCGGAAACAAACAGTCCAGAAAGTCCTGGATATTGTTGCATGGTCTCAACTACATAGAATGGCATCAGCTAAACATAAAGAAAAGGAGTTCTAGCATTCTGATTACTATGGTCTAAGAAATTTTTAATTGAATACGTGTTTACCTGATCTGAAGCACTGATCTGACATGTGGATAAAGGATCACAGTGGATATATTTGGACAATATTGCCAGACCAGCGAAACCAGTGGAGAAGCTGAGAAGAGTTACGAGTGGAAAATTTATCCAGAGTGTTGTCCGAGCAGTTCTGATGTCTCTGCAAAACAAAATGTTAAGTTTTTCAAGCTAGACATAAGAAGCAAGAGGTAACTCCAAGGGACCTACTTGACAGCTAAATATCTTTGAACTTGTGCCTGATTGACAGCATACAGAGAGAGGAAAGTCACTCCCCCTCCCAGGATCAAATTCCACCATGTATGTCGTACTGTTGGGTCAAGGCTAAAGCTAAGGTAAAAAAGAAAACAATATTCAAGTTTTGGTATAAAATCAATTCATTTCCAAGCAACAACAAAATAACTATAAAGACCTACTTCCAAAATTCAATACGGCCATTTTCCTCAGCAATTCTCCAAATTTCTGAAAGGCCTCCTTTTTCAATGGATGCCGAAATAATCACACTGTAGATTGCAGCAAACATCAGTAAAGACTGAAAGACCAAGGTATTATTTTTTTAACAAAAGAAAATATTTTCTCTACTAACATGTAAAAAAATAAGCTCACCTGGAAGACATCGGTGATAAGAACTGCCTTTAAACCACCAATAGTCGAGTAAAAAGTGCAGACCAGACCAACAGTTAATATAGCCCATACCCTAGACATGCCAGTAACAGCTTCTAATGTTAGAGCTGGAGTGTACAAAACAACACCCATGTATAGTATCATTTGAAGGGAAAATGCTAGAGAGCAAGTAAGGCGTGCTGGCTTTCCAAATCTCTTCTCTAAATACTACAAAGAAAGAACTGATAAATATTTGGAAGTAGTAAATTACGGCAATGTTGAACATCAATACAAACCTCATAAACACTAGTGGCGCCAAGGTTGAAAAATACTGGAAGGTACAAGTAAGCGGCAATGGGTGTGAATATGCCATATGATAGGTTTACAATGAGAAACATGGTACCAAAAGAATAATTTTCAGAACTGACACCTAGTAATGTAACAGAAGACATGAACCCTGCCATCAAAGAAAATGAAACAGGTATGATGCCCATGTTTCTGTCAGCCAGCAGGTACTCCTAAAGCAGTGCAAAAAGCAGAAAAAATTATGTGAGGAAAGTTTTTGATTTTAATTTAAAAGTTATTTAATATTGTAAATATTTATATTGATATGTATTTGCTGTGCGAGAATATTTTGTTCAAAAACTTACGACAGCAGTCTTCTGTCTACCTCCTGTAAACCGATAATACAATCCAATACCGGCTGATATCAGTAAAGTTAAGGCAAAGACAACATAGTCCCATATCCCAAATGTTTCAGCCATTCTTATAATCTGAAAAACAAGGGAAAAAAATTGAAAATATCTTGTTGCCAAAGATGGCAAGTTATTAATTCAACATTTATAATTTGAATCAACCTAAGTCACTTCTCTCATGCGAGCAATGTTGGTAGTTAAAATGTGAACTGTTGCCCAGAGGCCATTGTAAATAAAGTGACAGTGTACTTCTGAACTGTTTCCACATTATTTCATTCATTTTCTATTCAAAAGAGACATAAAAGCAGCAAATCTGAGAACTTAAAAATAATGGGGCTTTGTGTTGAACTGGCAGGGAAGCGTGCTCTCTAGCACACACGATTCGACTGAATTCTGACCGCCACAAATGTCACAGAGAATGAATTATGGACCGCATGCCTGACAAGATGAGAGTGACACTTAACCTTGGCCTCTGACCGGCAATTGATTGCGAACTATGTGGTGATCCTCGCCCACTTGGTCCGTCCGACCAGGTCTGCAACAAGTGGCAGACGATGCGAAGCAGACGACACCTTCGCTCCTACTATGCAAAATTCATTGCCCAGAGATAGCGGACGACACACGAGGCACGCTAATAAAAGCGATACTAGGGAGAGATAGAGATAGCCTCGGACGATACGGGTCGGAGTGTCAATGGAAGGGTTTGCGGAGCATTGCGGAGCCCTGGGAAGGGGGAAGGGAGAGGGGGGGGGAGGGGAATGTTACCGGCGGCCAAATTCAAAGACCCGAAGTCTACCAACGATTAAGAACGTTCTTAAAAAAACTTGAATTATACTGGTTTCCTGGGGGCGCTCCAGCTGTTAATGCTGTGTTATCACTGTTAACACCGTGTTACATCCAGTACGTAGTTAAGAATCACGCCTCGCGCGCCGCGCGCTCACACATGCGTGGATGGGGGAGGGGCAGGAGGGGACGAGGTGAGGTTAAGCCCGTCCTGCCCTGTTCCCGCCTGCGTGAGCGTGCACCGCGCTATTCTATTCTTAACTGGAAAAAAGGAAAAACCCAGAGGCGCCTGCGAGGGCGGGCCGTGCCGCACGACACGGCTGCACTGCGTGGTTGCCTACCCTGCACTTCACAGGCGCGCTGCCGCAGACGAACGCAGCAAAGGGCCGTGAGGACAAGGACGGTACTGCGACGGTGCCGACAACTGCCTGGACGGCTCTGGCCCTAAAGGGTCTAGAGGGGCCCAAGGGCCGCCTTCGCCTTCGCCGACGCACTGCTGACGGCGGCACGGCCAGGGCACGGCGCACCGGCCGGGATGCGCGTGGCACGTGGTCAAGACCTTCGCTCCACGGCGTTCCGTCCCCCCTCTACCGCCTCCCGAGGAAAGGGAAAGAGTTAACTTGGAGAGAGTGAGGCGCTGTGGCGGCGCGGCGTGCCTGGAGGACGGCGGCGACGCGAGGAAAGGACAACGACACTTCTGCCGAGGCGTAACTCTTTATTATACAAAAATGATGCGAATCAACAAAAAAAAGTGCTAAGTGCTATCACAGAATATACTCGACGAATCGTGAGCCAAACAGTCAACTCGCTTTGGTCTAAAACTACTGCATAATTCAAAAGGTGGTCCGTATGGTCGACGAACATTCACACACGGCTTTCTTTTTATCGACAACAATATAAACAAAACAACAATAATAGACCCGACACGGGCCACTGGGCGCCACTGGGCCGCGGCCGCACGATTCGTCTCTGGGTGCGATGGTAAGAGAAATAGTGATGAGGATGAGGAGGGATGGGATGATTTTTTTTTTTTTGGGGGGGGGGGGGCTGGATTGGCCGCCCAGTCTCAGTGGTCTCAGTCCACGATGAGCTTGCGGAAGGTGCCGTCCAAGCCGTTGATCTCCTTGGCGTTCGGCCGGAGGGACAGGTCGGCGCGCATCCACTGGCGCGACTCGTACCAGGCCTCGCACTCCTCGGCGATAGTCGTCCACTTCACTGTTAAACAGAAACATGGTTAGCCGTGTGAAAAATGTGAAAAAAAAACGACTTAAAAGATATGTAGGAAAATGCTCGACATCGTTGAGACTTACGGGTGATGTCCTTGAGCGACTGCTCCATGGAGCCGCCCAGCTCCTTGGGCAGGCAGTAGTGAGGGATGCTCTTGGCGAGGGACTCCAGGCTGTCGTGCGTCACTATCTGTAACCGGATACCAGATTGCAAACGCACGCGAAATGACAAAGCGGCCGTCCCGGCCGCGACTTCTCGACTACTTCGACTTTCTGGCAGCGAACAGGCAAACGACCGCCGAGCGACTCAGCAAAAGAGTCGTTTCGTCGCTCTGTCTCTGTCGCACTCATGGGGCTCTCCATGCGGGTGCGAGAGAGACAGAGCGACGAATCGTCTTCTGAATCGCTCGGCGGGAATAGGAGGGATGCGCACCCGCTGGTTGATCTTCTCGGGCAGGAATGGCCGCACCAGCTTGTCCAACGCCGACACGGCCATGCTGGGCGCGTTCACCATGTGCACCCGGCGCACGTGCAGCGGCAGTGCCACCTACATTTGCATAAAATTAATTAGCTCGGCGCTGCAGTGGCCAGCAAGGGGCGGGGGGCAACAGTGTTGAAAAGTACCTGCAGACACTTGAGGAAGCGGCGGAACTCGGCGAGGTGCGCGACGAACGAGGTGTTGAGGCCCATGACGTAGTTGCCGATGTCCAGGATGACCTCGATGCGGAGCGGCTGGCGCGGCGTGGTGAGCTGCAGCTGCACGTACCCCAGCGACAGCATGTAGAACATCATCCAGTTCATGTTCTGGGGGTCGGCGGCCAGTGCCGGCGTGAACTTGTAGAAGGCGAGTCTGGTGCCGTCGGGCGTCAGCAGCGGCAGGGGTCCGCCCCAGCTGGGAGGGAGAGAGAGGAAGAGAGTCGTCAGTCTCGGTTCCGTGACCGCAGTGCGCGCCCGGCGGGTAGGCAGCCCATCGCGCACCGCGCCGTTGCGGCCCGGCTGGCCGAGTCCAAAGGGCGGCGGCGCGGCGCGCGTAGAGTCCTAGAGTGGGAGAGAAGAGTCAATTGCGAAAACGCTACGCGCACTTTGCCATACTCGTCATTTCCGGACCGCTGCGCCGGTTTCCGTTTTCCGGAATTCAAACACCATTATGGCGAAAAGACGTACCTTCGCAACTCGCTAATGTCACACGACAGGCCAACGACCCGAAAGTAAACAATTTTTCGTCTGCCGTGTGCCTCCCCGAGTGAAACGGCGGAAAAGACGGGCCGGAAACAAGACCAGCGGTCCGGAAATGACAAGTATGGCAGATTTCGCTGTCAGAAGGCGCGGACAGGCATGACGTTTCTCTCCCACTCTAGGACTCTAGGCGCGCGGTAATGCATGCCACTGTCGTCCTCCTCCCTCCTTCCGGACGCACTCGTACACTCACATGAACTCGGCAAACGCGATGCCCTCGTCGACGGTGGGCGCTCGGAAGTACTCGGGCCACCGGCTCTGTACGGTGAAGAAGTTCTCGATGCGCTTCTTGGAGCGCTCCAGCGAGTTTTTGGACGCCAGGATGTACCGGGCCAGCCACACGTCCTCATTTTCTGGAAAAAAAAGTGAACAGATGTAGCGCGACAAGCGGCTGGGGCTGGGCGCGCTGGCTCCAGTGGCAGCCTTCGCCAGCACACTGATTCCGAGTGGGATGTTTCTCTCTCGCATTCATCCGGAGTCCCGAAAGGTGCGAGAGAGATAGGCGAACGAAAGCACTGTTCGGAATCACTCTCAAAGAAAAAAAGAATACCTGTTAGTTTGGGCAGGTGCGGCTGCATGGCGATCCACTCCCGCAGCGTTTCCGCATCCTGCTTGAGCTGCTCGGGCGTGGCGCCGAACTCCTCGTGCTGCTTGTCCACCTGCGCGGGCGTCAGCTCGTCGAGCCCCACCGCCACCAGATCCATCTCGGCCTCCGCGTTGCCTGGACAACCTGGGGGCACAAAAGCGAGTAGTGAATACAGCGCGCTGGTGAGACGTCATTCGACGTGCTGGTGTTACTCGACGCCCTGGCCGCCCTGCCCTGGCCGCCAGCACTCACAAAGTGTAATGCCTACTTCGTGAGAACCGACGCGGCCGCCGACGTTGCCCTACTTGTTCGAAAGTGGCGGCAGTTCGAACGTCTGTATCACTATAGCGATCGCTGATTACACGATTACACGGTGCGAAGACTCGGGGGGCCGCCGGGGGAAGTTGGCGGAGGGGGAGGGGGAGGGGCAGCACTACTGGGACCGCCCCGGGGAGGTCCACTCGCTCGCACACGCGAACTGACCCAGCCCAGCCCAGCCCAGCGCGGAATGGCGGAACCGCCCCGCCATGTCGTATTTGCAAAGGTGTCCGTCATTGGTGCCTTGTGAAACGCGGCCACGCCACTGCACTGAGTCTCCATACCGAGCGCTCATTCCACATTAGCCGCCTTTCTCCGTGACCCCGCCCCGCCCCGCCCCGCCCCGCCCCGCCCCCTCTCCGCGGGGCCCTGACCGCAGGGCTGGCCGGGCTGCTGTTTGAGGTGATGTAAAATGAAACCCAGAGGGAGCAGCTCTAATCGGCATCCTTGCGGTGCCCCGCGCTCTGCGCGGCTCTGCGCCGCTCGGTGCCGTCCGAGGCCCCTGGTGGAGAACTCCAAGTGGAGTGTCCTAGGCCGGCTGACGTCAGCAGCCCGACCTGCTCCGGCCTGGCCCGGGCCACGGACATCACTTTTGGTTTTGTTTGGCAAACTGGGTTCGCGCGGCGATGACGCGATGGCTAGACGTCCGTAAACAAGTCGCGTTCGCCGTTTCGGCCGTAGGCGGTCCCAGGTGTCCCGCACGAGTGGCGGGCTGGCTGCCGGAGTCCGGGGCGGCCTTGGAGGCCCTAAGACTGAGGCTCAACGGCGCGCCCCCGGGGCGGAGCGGTCTCGCCACGTACTAGTGCACGCCCGAGTACGCCGCACCGCGCGCCACGTCCGCGCCGCCGCCATCCCCGAGGCCCTTTTTCGATTTCCCGCGCGTTACTCCAAGCCCACCGCGGCCGCAGCCGTTTTAGCCGCTTTCGAAACAATCTGGGCGATTGGACGATTGGGCGAGCACGGCTCATGCCATGCCGCGCGCGCCGCGGCACCGCGTTTCAACAGGCTGTCCCACTTATGAGATTTTGCGAGTTGCCAAAAGTAGTGCGGGGCTGGACCGGCTCCGCGGCGGCCGAAAGCGGCCGAAGGCGAAGGCGGCCCCGCCCACGAGTCGGCCGTCTCTGCCGCGGCCAGACGCAGCGACGCAGCGCGCGGACGTCTGCGTTACGCGCGGCCCCTCCGCGGTCCAGTCGTCCAGCCCAGCGGGGTGGGGCGGGGCGGGGCGGGGCGGGGCAGGGCAGGGTGGGGCGAGCCGGGACGTCCCACCGACTGGCTTGACCGCCTGCGCCTCCGTATTGCGAATTCCCCATCCAAATTTCGGGCTCAACTTTTGCGGGCTTTTGTCGTGATGCGAAGGAAGGGTATAATTCATGGACGTAACCAAATCTTATCTTCGCGTTCGCCGCTCGCGGTGATGATCTCAGCGCGTTGGGCCGCGTCGACGCCCTCCGGCGTGGGGCGTGGAACCTGTGCTCGTCTGTGAAGCACGCTTTGGGACAGTTCGCGCCGAAGTCGATAGAGGAATGATTCGACTTCCTCTCGACCGGCTCGGTGAGGTCAGTGTGAGTTTCCTGGCGGTCCTTGTCGGCTCCAATGAATGGCCCGGCCGCGTCCTTGGCCGCGTCCACGGCCGCGCCGCGCCTTTCTAGCCAGGATAATATCGAGAGCTCGATAGAAACGCAATCATCGATCCATGATCCGCCGAGGCGGAGCAGCCGAAGCAGCGACTGCCAATGACAATAGCAAGCAGGCCGAGCCGGACCCTCGGCCGGGCCGCGCGTGCTCGTTGTGCCCATTCCTGGCCGCGCCTGGCCTTCCCTCGAGAACCCTCCAGTGGCCCGAGTGGCCCGAGTGGCCCCCCGAGTGGTCGGCATACACGGCAGCAGGCAGGACCGGGGACGACACCGCCGGACGACGCCATTGCCAAACTGGCCAAACTGTTTACCGGATCGAACGGCCCGCCTGCCGCTGGCTCATCCCCCCCGCAGCCCGGAGCCCGGAGCCCGGAATGTAGAAGTCGTGACGTGGTCGGGGTTCCCTCGGGGTTCCCAGATCCGTGATCCAAGGTTAAAACGGACGCGCCAAACGGCCGTGTTTTGGCCATTCCGCCGCGGCCTTGTCGCAGTGGTGGGCCAGAAAACCGGTGGAGGCGGTCAAAACCCCGGACGCGTTTTGAGCTCCGGAGTCGCTAAATGGGACTCGGACCGAGCGTGTGACCCCACCAATGGATTGCTCTCCGAACGAGGAATCCATTGGTGGGGTCACACGTTCGGTTCGAGTCATGTTTACTGACTCTGGAGCTCCAAAACGCGTCTAGAGTTTTGGCCGCCTGCGCCGGTCTTCTGGCCCACTGTGCGACGCGGACGACGCGGCCGACGCGGACACTGATCCCTGCCTGTCGCCATGCATCTCATGTAGGCCACCAGGCAGGCCGCCACGCCGCGCGCCACGCCCACTCCGCATGGGAAACTGAGCCGGCAAAATCGGAGCGCGCCGACCGCGGCGAGAGTGTACGTGCACCGCGGCGAGGCGATGAGAAAAAAAAAGATGAGCCGTGAGTGAGTTTCGAACCCTGGCGATTTGCATGGCGACAAGCGGCCCCGGCCTTCCAGGCCTCTCACCTCGGGGCGGGCCGGGCGCCCTCCGCGCTCCGCTAACCCAATAATGAGCCGCCAGATGTGCCCGATGATTGCTCATTCACTCACTCTGCGGCGCTCTGCGGGGCCCGTTGGCCCGGCGCACTGAGAAAACCTTACAAACTATTTTGGGCCTTACAAAGAAAAGTAGTTTGTATAACAAAGTATTTTGAGCATACGTAAGCTTACAAAGAAAATACTTCGTAATTTACGAACTATTTCTTCGTATAACAAAGTATTTTAGTTTGTTATATGTAGGCTCAAAATACTTCGTAAGGTTTTAAGGGTGCGCGCCCGACGGCCGATGGAGCGCGCACCGAGCACACCGGGGCGGCTCCGGCGGTCCGCAGCGCGTGGAGTGGGAGGGGGGCCCGCCCCGCCCCGCCGCGCCGCAGCGCCCTCCCCACGCCCCTCACCCGGGGAGGCGGCGCCGCGACACTCGGCGACGCGGCGAAGCGCCTCGCTGCTCTTTTTCGCCCGAATTCGCGAGGAAAAACGAACGTGAATGAAACCTGACCTACCAAGGCTGGCGGCGGCGAGCCTCCCCGAACGAGCGAGGGAGAAGCGACGCAGCGAAGCCACGGAGGAACGGTCGCGAAGCCTCGGTGACCAAGTCGGAGGACTCGGCTGTCCCTAGCGCCTTTCAAAGCGAGTTCAAAGTAGGAAGAAAATGAAATTGGCGCAGCGTTCGTCGTCGGCTTCATCAAACCGGATCAGGGCCTGCGCAGAACACGTTCCCGGGCACTTGGGCGTGGAGCATCGTCGGGTCGCCGCGCTTATTCCACTTAATCTTGGCTTGCCGCGGCGCCGCGGCGGGACTGGGCAGGAACCGCGCGCAAACAGCCCGCCAGCCCGCCAGACCGTCGCCGTCAGGCCTCCCTATAAAACAGCGCGTTTGGCGTCCCCCGGACGCGCACTGGTCTTCCGCGCGTCTCCCAACCAGCCTCATCATCATCGCCAGCTCCAGAGCCTCCGCAGAGCCTCCAAAGCCACACGGTCCTCTCATCCCAGAAAGCAGACGGCCGCCCGGCATGCTTGCCCGCGCCCATGTACGAGTACCGCCGAGGCAATGTGTTACCTGGGAAAGTTTGCAAATTAATTCTTTGCAACGTCACACGCGCACACAGCTGGCAATGCGCAGCGGAAAAAATAATAGTTTTGCTAGCGAGGCGGGAGTGCTGCGACCCGCGACCCGCTTCGGCAAGGTTTTCCTCGGTTTTCCTACAGTGTAGAGGTTGATCGCTCCCTTTTCCAGGCTGGCCTGGTAAGAGGATTGGCGCCGCTGCAGTGCAGTGCGCAGGTGGTCGCGCCCCTGCCCGTCCAGCCAGGCCACCTAATGTCCAGTCAATCATAAAGTGTTGCCTTTCACTGAAGCCCAAGTCCAGTCCGCCGCCCCGTCAGGAGTTGCAACTCTATTCGCGGCTGAACCAGAAAATTGCCAGAGCGGCGAGGCGTCTGGGAGAGCGGCGCCGAGCACGGGCACATCGACGAAAAAGAATGGAATGCACTGAGAAAACCTTACAAACTATTTTGGGCCTTACAAAGAAAAGTAGTTTGTATAACAAAGTATTTTGAGCATACGTAAGCTTACAAAGAAAATACTTCGTAATTTACGAACTATTTCTTCGTATAACTAAGTATTTTAGTTTGTTATATGTATGCTCAAAATACTTCGTAAGGTTTTAAGAGTGTGCATTTCGCCTGGTTTATAATTAAACAGTAGGCAGCTTTCGTCGCATCGCGAGAAACAACAGAAGTGTTGGTGCAAACGCGTGCGTACGCCTGTTGATTCGTTGTTAGCTCTGCGCGAGGTACAAATCCCAACATTTAGGTGCGCAGGTTTCTGGAAACGTTGACAGTCCGAAACTCGCATGACGTCCGAAAATGTCGCCAAGCTTTCGCTACGTAATCAGCGAGAAAAATTGGCAGTGGTTCAGCTGAATACGGGGGCAACTATCGGCGCTACAATTTCGCTTCCCGCTTCCTGGTTGACAGGTCTTGTCAGGGCTGTGGCACACTCAGCTTCAAGCTTATTAGCTCACTCATGCGCTACTCCAGTTAGATAAAATCTTCAACGGACATATGGTATTTTTTGTCAACAATTTTTTGCTTTTTTTTTAAAAAAAGAAAAAGTTATTGAGTCAAAAAGGTCAAAAAGGTTAAAATTTTCAGATTTAAGATTTAGAATGGTGGTTTTGGAGGCAGGTCTTTTTACTCACCGCGGAAGACGCTCCACTCGTACTCCGTACTCCGTGCCTCGCGGGGTGCTCGTCCGACCGGCCGACCGGTGCGAACCAAACTCACTCACTGACTGCGTGGCACTGCGTGGCACACTGTGCCGACCAACCGACCGACAGCGGACTCGGATTTGGCGATGGCGGAGGCCAAGTCTCGCGTCCGATCCGATTCGAGACACGTCCTGTGCCGGGGTGTACACCGGGGCCGAGATTAGCTTGACGACTGACTTGAGGTCCTGAGCCGCGCACCCGGCCGTAGAGCGCGGGGTCCTGGGGAGTCCTGGAGGCGTCCGGGCGCGCCCCCCTCCACCGCGGCGGCCGGGCCACCCCGCTGGAGCCACGCTGGAGCACGGCGGGGCGACTTGAGGGCCTGCCGGGGGTGGGGCCGCCTAGGCCGCCTAGGCCGCCGAGGCGTTCCGCCTCATGCATCATCGGGCTGCTAATAACGACAGCGCGTCTCCCCTCCCCTTTTCCTCCTCCAGCGCCAGCCGAGCGGTTCAGCAGACCGTCGCTCTGTCTCCCTCGCACCCTTACCGAGAGCCCCACGAGTGCGAGAGAGACAGAGCGACGAAGCGACTTTCCTGAATCGCTCGGCAGCCGAAGTGCGCGTGGCTGCGAGCGGCGCGGCGCCCCGACCGCGACGCGAATCATACGCGGCCGCAGGACTCGATATCCGCAGTGTAGTTGTAGTTATTATTGCAGCTATCGAACTGCATCGCCGTCCGCTCGAAACGCACCGCGCCGCGAACAGGAGCCCAGACAGTTGCTCTGTCTCTCTCGCTCCCGCCCCCTCGACGGGCTTGAGGGAGACAGAGCGACGACAGCACTGGTTCGGAGTCAGTCGGTGGCCGCCCTGAAAATTGCAGAGCCGCGGTGCAGCGGGGCGATATTGTTGGCGGTGTTGCGAAACGGCGAAGTTTGCAAAGAAGGCGCCCTCGGGTGCTGACTGACAAAGGTATGCCACTGGTCGTGCAAGCGTTTATGTCTGTACTTTCTGTCCGTCCAGAGCGTTACTATGTTGGCCGTGGCAGCGACGAGACGAGACGGCTGCAGGCCGACTCTGTCTCTCTCGCACTCATGGGGCATCCCGTACAGGTGCGAGAGAGACAGAGCGACGAATACGACTCACGGAATCGGCCTACTGGTCATCGGCTTGTTCGCTTTTTCTGCGCGCGGTTTTGCATCACCCAGGCCTAGAAGGAGCTCGACCAGGGAAAGAGCAGTGAGCGGGAGCAGGGCGTTGCGGGCGTTGGCACCTGTCTGAGGAGACTCTGAGCTGAGGCTGCTCAGACTGAGGCGCGATCAAGCCTCGAGTTTATACTCGCGGTTCAAATCAGCTTTCCCCGCGGAACACGTCAACGCGGGCTTTGCGGGGCTTTAAGCAAAATGGAGGAAAGCGAAAGGAAACACGGTGGAAGGGAGACGAGTGGCTCCTCACAGACCGCGTGCGTCATCAGGCCTTCTTTTGTGGCTACCCTAACATTTTCCAATTGCATCAACGTTCAAGTTTTGTGCAGCGAAATAAAAATGAATCTAACTCCGACTGGTCCTGAGAAAAGTACCCCAACCGCAAAGGACTGCCCCCACAGTTGGGGCCTTTTGCTCGGGACCATAGATCGCTAGGCACGCAGCAGCCAGAAGCCGCGCTGCACAGCAGGCAGCAACAGCTAGCCGCCTATCCGATTTTCGGACGGGTGGTTCCCGGTTTGGTCCGGTTTGGTCCAGTTAGGAGTGATGGCGAAGGTACCTTGCTTCGTACGAAGAGACGTGCTCAATTGAACGCGTCCTGAAACGGTGGTTTGCTGTCCTTGGGAAGCGCCCGCCCTGCCTGACTGCCCTCGTGTCCTGCCCTGCCTGCCCCAGTCCCGCGGGACCCTGTGGTGGTGGTCTGCGTCTGGATCGCGTCTGGAGCGAGGCCTTCCCCCTTCTAGGTTCACGAGTTCGATGTTACTCATTAGGAACTTTCCACCGTGGAATACACCACCGAGGACAACCACCTGGCCATTCTTCCTGTTGGTCCTTTTGTGGCGCGCAGGTCAGGACATCCTGGACCTGGTGGCCGATAACGCGCGGCGGACCGGCCAGTGTTTAGATATGGGGCGAAACTGCTTTTAGCTTTTCGCGCGTCTCGGCGTCCCAGCGTCCCGGCGTCTGGAGCCCCGAAATGTGGGCGCGGCGCGGCGCGAAGCCAAGCCCGGCGCCGCGTTTTTCGGTTTTCCGGCGCATGCATGACACAAGCGACTGCGCGGCACCGTGTTCCACCTCATCAGCGCCGCAAACACACTTCTTAACACGAAAAAACGACAGGACGTTGTTTCTTTATTTTTTGCGCGGCTCGCAATGCTAATGACGCGGGCACGGCGTGGCGACGTCAGAACGAGTCGCGGATGGAAACGCTCTTGCCTTTTCCAACGCCCTCGGCTAGACTGGGCTAGACGGGCTGGGCGGACGACGGGTTAACTGCAACTCTTAAAGCTCTCGCCATCTTTGGTTCTGCGAGGGGTGGCCGCTGCATCAGCCTGGCTGGACCCTAGCACCAACGACACAGTGCAGCGTCTAGGCGCGTCGGTTCAAGGTTCAACTCGGTCGGCGTCGCTTCGGGTCGTCTCCGCCGGGCGGCGCTGCTGAGCGGCGCGGCACTGTCCCAAACATGGGACCGATTCAGATTATCAGAGTGTATCGCCGCGGCGGGTCGTGCCAAAAATAAAGTGACGCTCTTCGGCCGGGTGGGGGCAGCGTCCCGTCCCGATTCGCCGCGGACCGCCACCGCCGCGGACTCCGAAGACAGGCCGGCCGGCCGGCGCGACTGCCAACACCACACCGCCGGCGACCGGCGGGCCGGCGGCCGGTCGGCGCAGGAAGGAGGGAGCGCCCCAAGCGGGGTCTCCTTGCTCCTTGTTCGCATCGACTGGTTTGCTCCGAGCAGGCCAAGCGCTCCATTCGACCCTCCGCGTCGGCCGGGCCCCACGCGTTAGTTATGGGTCTGCGCGCTCCAGGCCGCACTGGGCCGCACCAAGGTCCCCAAGGTCGAGGCCCTGAAGACCGCGTTCCAGAGAGCCGCGCGTCGGTAGCGTCATGAAGCGGCGCAGCGCACAGTGGACCAGAAGACCAACGCTGGCGGCCAAAACTCTAAACGCCTTTTGAGCTCAGTCACTGAACTGGACTCGAACCGAACGTGTGACCCCACCAATGGATTCCTCGTCCGGAGAGCAATCCTAAGGTACGCGGGTCACACGTTCGGTTCGAGTCCCATTTAGCGTTTATCGACTCTGGAGCTCAAAACGCGCCCGGGGTTTTGACCGGTCTTCTGGGCCACTGTGCAGCGGCCCACCCTCAGCGCCAAACCGCGCTGGCTTCATGACCGCCTCCACGCACGCGGTGTAACTAGGTGTGTTCCACGACGCCGTGTCGGTCGACCAGTGTCGACATCTCGCCAACTTATTGGCGGCGGCCGACGCGTTGCCAAATAATTATCGTCCGTTTCGCATCACACCCAAGCCGCGGTTAAGGTGTTTTGGTTTAGAGCACGGCTTTGAGTACGCGAGTTTTTAATAGCCACGTTCAAGACGCTCGGTCAGTCCACTGCGAGCAGATTTCGACTGAGGTTGCAACCCCCGCAGTGTCACCGGTGGCACCCACATCCCAGCAGCGCTCGTGTCTCTCGACGCGGCCGGCGAGACGCTCCGTCCGTCCGGCCGCTGCTCTGTGATTTGCTAGTGGAACGGAACGGACCCCGGTCGGTCTGGGCTGGGCACGTTCATTACCGCTACTCTCTCGGCTGGCGCTGACATAAGAAAATGACCACCACGGTCTTGCAGTTATTACCCCACCGAACTACTGTTTCACTTTCCTTTCTTCCTTCGTCATGTTTAAGTAGTTCGCGTTAATAGTGTTGTTAGGGGAATGGTTCCGATTGCAGACAAGAGGAAATGGAGTAAAACGAGTAGGATTTATTGCACGCAATACGTGAACATCACATTTATAAACATCACAAAATTAGACAGGGGCGGAGTCAAACTCTTTTTCTCCAAGACATATTTTATCACACTTCCTGCATGTACGTAAGTGGAAGAGATCCGCGTGAAACTTCCGTCAGATTTTTGTTGAATCAGACAAAAGGCCCTTAATAGCTAAGTACAAAAATGCCGAAAAGATAGGTGCATGGAAAACCATTGTCAATCATTCTACGACGTTAGTTTCTTTCCAGAGGTGCTGTTTCTATAATGAATAAAATCTAAAAAATATAAAATATTTTTTAAAAATTGAGGTGTGTGAACAATGAGTTAACAGCCCTTTGGTTTGTCCCTTCTTTGGTTCTTCAATGCGAACCCTTAACATTTTCTAAGATCGAGAAGCCACCAGGAGAAGCAGGACATACTCTCTGCTAGTGCTAGTAGATGCAGAACAGTCAAAACTTTCGTAAAATTCAACACGCATAATAACAAAACAAAATTACAAACAAGATCAACAAAATTGAGCACTGTCAGGATCCTCTTAATTTGAACTATTACGGTTGAACGCATCACACAAGGACGAGTTTATTAATTCCAAGTAGGGTCCTACGTGGGGCTCATCAACACGATACATCCGATGCCTGGTGCAGCCCCGAGGCACGAATGCAGCGATGGGATCGCAAGTACATTCCTCGAAGTGCACCCCCAGCTGCTCCGAGTGAGGAACAACTTTGCACTTTGGTGTAGTATGTAAAACGAACGGACTATAAACCCTATTCCCGAACGACAAGTTCGGTCTTGGTCTTAACCCGGCCGATCAGGTTTATCAACGTCCAGCACTACAATTATCACTGGTTGGTGCTGGTCGCATTTCTTCTTCTCGCAGAAAAGCTGCTCTCTCTTCGCCTAGTCCACGGCCAGCTTGCGGAAGGACCCGTCCAGGCCGAATTCCGAGTTAAACTTGCAGTCGGGCTTGCTGCTGAGGTCTGCCTTCATCCAGCGCCGGTCCATGAACCAGTTGGTCGCGGCCACCGCCATATCACCCCATTTCACTGCGGGCAGAAACGCACCAATTAGAAGGTCGAACAGCCAAAATAAAAACAAAGAACGATTCAAAACTAATCAACATTCTCTTACGGGTGTAGTCGTGCATGGTGCCCGGCAGCTCGCCGCCGAGGTCTTTGGGTAGGCATTCCACGGGGACAACTTTGGCCAGAGACTCGAGGCTGTCGTGGGTCACGATCTGTCAAGGCAGAAGTTGTATTGTTACAGCAAACCAACGTTGACGTCAATGATTTTGGTGTGTGAGAAATTCGCTTAGCCAATGGGACCAGGCCCCCTATTACCTAACCACAAAAGTATAACACGTTCCTCGCGAATAGGCGCGGGTCGGTCGCGGTAGACTGACGGGGGCGGTGTTGGGGAGGGGGGCGGGGAGGGAGAGGGCCGAGGTTAAGCGAACACTTTGCTAGGATCTTTTGTGAGGTGCCTCTGCCGATAACAGGTTTTGCCGAATTCGCAGGTTTGCGTCATTGCCCCTGCAAGGCCCCGCGGATAGGCTAGCAGGACAAACTTGGGCCGGGCAGTAGGTCAGTTCTGACGTCGGCCGTCATGGAAGCTACGCCTCTGGGAGAAGGGGCACCGCGGCGGCCCTGCCGCGCTGCGCCCGCTGCTCTGCACTGCGCGTGTAATGATACAGTGCGCCGCGAGTGGCGAAGGCGTTTTTCAATGTTCCGCCAGCGGGCTTGCAACAGGCATTGCGACACAGTGGCCTATCCACAAAGGCAAAACGCCTCAATACAACGCCGCTTCGCCGGCCAGGATAGGCAGCGCCGCCACACTCAGTTTGCCAGGGACAATATCCACCGGATTTTGGAATTTTTTTGCCGACGGCGCTTTAGCACCGCAGGGTACTAAAAGAACGAATCCACTCATTACAAGAATCACCGCCACCACCGCCCTCTGGAGGACGTGTGGCGTGGTGGGGGTGCGTGAAGGAAGACGCACAGTGGGCCAGAAGCGGGCCAGAACACCGGTGGAGGCGGCCAAAATTCTAGACCCGTGTCGAGCTCCAGAGCCGCTAAATGGGACTCGAACCGAACTTGTGACCCCACCAATGAATTCCTCGTTCGGGGAGCAATCCATTATTGGTGGGGTCAACCGTTCGGTTTGAGTCCCATTTAGCGACTCAGGAGCTCAAAACGCGTCTAGATTTTCGGCCGCCTCCACCGGGTCTCTGGCGGCGCGAGCAAAGAGTCCGTCTCGAGCACAGGGGGCTCTGGCTGTGACTCACGCCGCCGTGATCGATGGCTGCTCCGCCCTGGACACTCGACAAATGGCCCCCCGCTGACTTTCGCCCGTCCGCCCCGTCCCCACCGCGCCGGAGCAAGTTAGCAAAGCCAACTCGAACCTCTATGGAGTCGGCGCGGCGTCGCGGCCCCTTGGGCGGCCTGGCGGGCAGTGCCCGCGCCGCCAAGGACGCCGCCGCGTGCGCCTCGCGGGTATGCAGCCCAACCACCGCCGGTGCGAGTGCTGCTAGCGCTATGCTAGAGGTTCGCCTGGAGGGTAGGCCACCCAACAGACGTGGGCCGCGTCGCCGCTTCGCGGTTCGCGTGCGCAGTGCTTTGTTCTCGTCTCGCCATCCGCCTCCTTAACATGCTCTTTTTGCCGACCCAGTGCCCTGCCGCCCTGGCCGCCCAGGGTGCAAGGAGCGTTGTGGGTCGGCCGGCAGCCGGTCCGGTCGGCCTGGCCGCTGTCCCAGTTTGCGTTCGCAGCGTTCGCAGCGTTCGCACTGCTAGCCCATTTATTGCACGACGGATTTAATCCCGTCGCTGGCATGCCGCGGCGAGGCAGACCGCACAGTGGGCCAGAAGACCGGCGCAGGCGGCCAAAACTCGACACGCGTTTTGAGCTCCAGAGTCGGTAAATAGGACTCGAACCGAACGTGTGACCCCACCAAAGGATTCCTCGTTCGGAGAGCAATCAATCGGTGGGGTCTCACGTTCGGTTCACGCCACATTAAGTGACTCTGGAAAACCCGTTCGGTATTTTGACGGCCTTCCCCGGTCTTCTGGCCCACTGTGCACCGCAGTGCGTACAGTACGTACCCTCTTGTTGATCTTGTCCTGCAGGAAGGGGCGCACCAGCTTGTTGAGGGCGCCGATGGCCAGCGGCGGGGCGTTCATCACGTGGATGCAGCGGATGTGCAGCGGCAGCGCCACCTGGCGGCAAACGGCGGAAACGGCCGTGAGAAAAGCGCAAACTAGAGCGTGGACCAATGACGTCACGACACGACGCCCGGTCGGGTTAATGGCCCGGGTGATGCAAATAGACCTAATTGCGATGACGAAATGCACGATCGGCTCTTTGGGTGTATGACCCGCGAGGTGAATGAAAGACTCGGTCGAGTCCTCGAGTGGGTTGGCGCGGGGCTCGCGTCAAGGCCGGCAAACGATACGGACTGCTCTGCGCTCCCCGGCGCGCGGCGCGCACGGCGTGCGGCATGGCGTCCGGGGCCACGGCGTCGGGCGCGGCGTGAGGCACGGCGACAAGCCGTTCCCACCAAGCTCAGTCCGAACAGTGCTTTCGTCGCTCTGTCTCTCTCGCACGCACGGGGCGCCCTGCAGGGCCGCGCGAGAGAGACAGAGAGAGACGGCGCGGTTCGGACTGCGCCTGCAGACAGGGGGAATGTACAGCACCTCTGCAGCCGTGTGCATAGGAAAGCGGCCAGCGGCCAGCGGCCAGCAGACCAGCCCAATGCCGACCACCTCGTCGTCCTGCAGACTGCGGCGCGCTGCGTGCAGGCAGTGCAGGGGGCGAGGCGAGCCCCGCCAACCTCCGCAACCTTTCGAGCGCAGGGGCGGATCCAGGCGGGGTTCCTCTAGGCATTGCCCTGCCATTGCCCGGGCAATTAAGGCTGCGTGTGTGTGTTGACACCGTGCGCGCACACACCTCTCGACCCCGCCACGCCCGGCCACGCCCCACGCCACATCATCAGCAGTCATTCTATGCTCACAGCTTTCTAGCGGCGTGACACAGCGCGGCAACACTTCGTGCCCTGCCAGGCCCCGCGCCGCCGCTCCGGCCGGGGCGCGAACCTTGACCCTTGCAGATCTGTCTCGGGAAATCTCGCGCGGCAACGCGGCGCGCTGCAGCGCGTCGTGCCCCGCCTGGCCCTGCACGCCGTGCACGTCCTGCGCGCGCTCACCTGGATGCACTGCACGAACCGGCGGAACTCGCCGAGGTGCGCGATGAAGGAGTTGTTGACGCCCATGGTGTAGTGCTCCACGTCGAAGATCAACTCGATGTGCAGGGGCTGGCCGGGCTGCGACAGCTGCAGCTCGATGTAGCCCAGCGACAGCATGTAGAACATCATCCAGTTCATCTGGTCCGCGTGCTTGGCCACCTTGGACGTGAACTTGTAGAACGTGAGCCGGGTGCCGTCGGGGAGCATCTTGGGCAGCGGGCCTCCCCACCTGCAGCACACCAAGCTCGTCAAACTCCAGACGACACGCAAAAAACGGACGTCCGTGCGATGCGGATGCCACGGCGATGATCATTTTTTCTCCCGGGTCTGCAGGTGCAGCACGGCGACCTCGTCGAAAGCGCAGAAAGGAGATAATCCCATTGAGCACCTTGGGCGGCGAGCCGCGCCATGCCGCAGTCCTGGAAGCCCCGGCCAAGGCGCCAAGGCTCGGCAAAGGCCGATGACACCCGCAGAACCAGTCGCGTATCGGCCGCGCATCGGGACTCCGGGGAACAGCGGGGCCTTCTGGGACACTACTCACATGTACTCGGAGAACGCGATGCCCACATCCGCCGACGGCGGCGAGAAGTACTCGGGCCACATGGACTGCACCGTGAAGAAGTACTCGATCCGCTTCTTGCAGCCCTCCAGGGAGTTCTTGCAGGCCAGCAGGTACCGGCACAGCCACTCGTCTTCATCCTCTGCGGGAAGAAGACGGACCACGTGTTACAGGTTGTCATCAGGTGGGCGATGACGCATTCGCGCGATCTCCCCACTCTCTCACTCTCATCCGCAAACAGCGTTGCCCGTCTCTCTCGGTGCCTTCCGTTATCCCCTCTCACTTTCATGTTCCCTCGCAGTGACCGCATTCGCCTCCGTGGCGGCGGCAACCTTCGATTAACCGCAAGCACACCGACGTACTCACTCACTCACACACACATACACACCTCGAGAATGAATAAAGGTAGGCAAGTGGGGTCATAAAGTCGCTGACCGATACATAAAATCCTTCCCGCGCGCGAGATTTCCGATTGAAATATTGGCGCCGACTTTTACGGTGGAGGTTCATCCTAATTGACATGGCCATCGCCGACTAATGCTCTTTTCTGGCCGCGGGTGGCGGTCCTGGCGGTGGAGCCCTGGCGGCGGGGCCTTGGTGCCCTTGGCCTTCGGCACCAGGTCGTTAGGGCCTAAGGCATAGGGGCCTAGGGCTTAATGCCAAGGGCCTAGGCCCGGCCGATAAACAGTGACATCACCGCCGCGACCCGCCCCTTGGCCGCGACGAGTCAGACAATGACCTCGGCGCGGCGGACTGGACAGCGCCGTCCGTCCGTCCGTCCGCCCGCCACCGCCTGACCCGACATTCACCTTAGCGCGGACGCAACGCCTCCTGCCCTTCTTCGCCGCCCCCCTCGCCGCGGCCCCCCGCAGCCGGCGCAGCGGCGCAGCCGGCGTCGGATCGTGGCCGAGTCCGGCCGGGGTCATTTCCATCTGGCCGCCGCACCGCCGCGCCAACCCCGCAGTTCCATGATATAACGGCCGAGGCGTTACGTCAGCGGGATGAGCGAGTGAGTACGGGAGTTAATTCCACTTCCGAGGGGCGGGGCGGGGCGGGATGACGCGCCTTGCTTGCGTTTCTGCGCGGACGCCCTGCTGCGTCCAAATAGTGCGGCTTTACAAATTACGCGGCCCGGCCCGGCTGGGCCCGGCTAGGCCCGGCAAGCCTTTGAGTATGGTGATCAGCCCAAAGAATTAGAGCTCGCCGGTCCGCGGTGAGGCGTGCTTTAAGTGGCGCCGTTCCAGCCGGCAAGGGGCTGACTCCGAGCTGCGCTTCGTCCCTCTCGCACTGCGCGGAACGCCCCACGAGTGCGAGGGAGACGGAGCGACAAAAGCCGCAGTGTTCGGAACCCGCCTGAAGGGCGGCACCGCGCTCAAAAACGTGCCGCCCGCGTTTCACGCGACAATGTTGTTGCGCAAGCGCGTCGTTTCCATTTCGGGCGCCCGAGGACGCACAGTGGATTTGCCAGAAGACCGGTGGAGGCGGTCAAAATACCGGACGCGTTTTGAGCTCCAGAGTCGCTGAATGGGACTCGAACCGAACGTGTGGCCCCACCAATGGATTGCTCTCCGAACGAGGAATCCATTGGTGGGGTCACACGCTCGGTTCGAGTCCTGTTAAGCGACTCTGGAGCTCAAAACGCGTCTAGAGTTTTAGCCGCCGGCGCTGGTCTTCTGGCCCACTGTGGGAAGAGACGCCGAGGCCTGTCCGAGGCCCACCGAACAGCATTCCGCCGGAACACGGCAATTCGCCGGCCAGTTCGGTGGGGCCGCTGCAGTTCGGCTAGGAGGCGCTGCGTGCCTTCCTCTTTTACAGTGTGTGTTCGGAGACCTAAACGCCCGCGCTACCGGGGGAGAAGCGGAACGCTGACGCGGCTCAGCGCACACGGGATGCGGCGCCGCAGCGGCTGCAGGATGCTGGGCACCGGGCGGTGTGAACGGTTCGCGCACTCGCGTGGCCGGCAGCCCGCCCGCACGCAGTGCCACGCAGTGCCACGCAGTGCCACGCAGTGCCACGCAGTGCCACGCAGTGCCACGCAGTGCCACGCACCCGCTGAACGGCCCGGCCGACCCGACACGTCAATGCGGCGTCAAACAATGCAACTGTGCTGTGCGATCGCCCACAGGGTCAAAGGCGAGCGCCGGGCGTCACGGCCGGCACAGTTCCGGCGCGCCAACAAGGTGGCCCGGATGCTGGACGCCAGGCTCTGGGATTCTTGGATCGCGTGGCGCCCACACTGTGCACTTTGCATGGCTGGAGTGACGCAGAGTCCGAACCGCCGTTCGTTCGTGGAAGCCCCGCGGGAACCAGCGCACTGATTCCGAGCTGCGTTTCGTCTCTCTCGCACATCGAGACCAAGCGTTGTTTGAAATCGTGTGCCGCCAGAACCGCCGTGCTTGCCTTTGGGCACCTTTGGGTTGGGCCGCCCCCAGCTCGGCCCAGTTGCACACGTGCAGCGCCGCTGCACCGCGGGGTGCATGCAGTGCAGTGCGATGCAGTGCGTGCTACAGCGACGCACGCATGCGCGTTTTGACACGTCGCCGCGACGATTCGCCGTTTTGAAATAAGCAGTAACTCGCGCCCCCAGCGCAGGCCCCACTTAGGGGCCACTTGTGCGCGGTGCACTAGTACTTTGTGGCGAATCGGCTGCGCCGGCCGCTTTTCGGTCGCTCTGTCTCTCTCGCACCTGTACGCGACGCACTGCGAGAGCGAGAGAGACAGAGCGACGAATGCAGCCCGCTGAAGGCGCCGCCAGATGGCGCCACCGATAGCACGGCGCCGGGCCAGCGGGTCAAGTTTTAGCGCTGGCTGGGCACGCTCGCTATGGGCTGGCCGTAAAGGGGTGTTCAGTTCGGCGCGAGGCGTTTGTTCCCCGTCCCATTCGAACGGCGTAAATCACACAAGCAGGGCGGCCGGGGCACGGGGATGCTGCATCAAGCTGCATTGCACAAGGGGCGTAAGTGAAACACTCGCCGCGGCGGCCATGCCGACCATGCTGGCCATTACCCCTAAGCAGTGGCAGTAAAGGCGAGTAAAAGCCGGCGGCTGGATGCGGCTTATTGTCGGATTTAGGCCAGCCGCGACGCCGCGGCACGCAGTCGGTAATAAAAGCACCGCCTTCCTGGACAAGCGGCGCCGGACTGTTAGGGGTGCTCGCGCCGCTCGCGCAGTCGCGCATGCCGGGCTTGTGAAAGAAGGCGGCGAGTACGGCGGTCGCACGGAGATGCGGACGTCGCCGGCGTCGTTGTCACTGCAGCCAACCCAACACGATCAGAATCGACCACTTCATCAGCGGGAAGTGGCGTCACCCGTCGCGACAACCCGCCATCAGCCGCCATCGGCCGCGGGAAGTTGGGCCACCGCGGCACGCACTGCACGAGTGCACGCATGCACGCCGTCCCGTCGCTACCCCTCGCCAACTTGAGCGGCTTGAAATAATTGAGTCACCGCAGTGGCGCTCGGTCCGGCGGTCCGGCTCGGCGACGCATATCTTTGCCAATTCTGGTCGCGTGTCGCGGACGGCCTGGACTCTGGACGAGCCTGCCCGGCACCTGCCGCACAGTGGGCCAGAAGACCAGTGGAGGCGGCCAAACCCCTAGGCGCGATTTGAGTTCTTGAGTCTCTAAATGGGACTCGAATCGAACGTGTGACCCCACCAATGGATTCCTCGTTCGGAGAGCAATCCATTGATGGGGTCACACGTTCGGTTCGGGTCCTGTTTAGCGACTCTGGAGTTAAAAACGCATGTAGAGTTTTGGCCGCCGCCACCGGTCTTCTGGCCCACTGTGTACCGCTGCAGCGGCTAGGAAAGGCTTCGACCCGCGGAGCCACGCCGCCATGCCGTCTGCGCGGCGTCGGCCGGGGCGCCGCTCAGAGTGCCGGTTTGACGGCACCTTGAAACACGCCGGCCCGACCCGGCCGACCCACACTGCCCACACTAGAATGACACTTACCCGTGAGCTTGGGGAGGTGGGGCTGCTTCTGCAGCCACTCCCGCAGCGCCACCACGTCGCGCCTCACCGCCTCGGGCGACGTCCCCCACTTCTTGTAGAGCAGCAAGGCCTGCTCCTCGCTCAGCTGGTCCAGGTCGGCGAGCAGGCGCGGCATGGCGATCTGCGTAAAGAGCATCGCACGTCAGAGATGAAGTCAGCAGGCTGAAAGAGTGTCTCCTCTCTGGCACCCCTACGGGACGCCGCTTGCGTGCGAGAGAGACAGCGACAGCGTTCGAAAACGGCTGGCAGTCAGACGCAAGCTCCTGGCCCAGTGCATTCGAAAGACATCGTCTTTATGGCCGGAGGGCGCCGAGCAGCGCCTCCTGCACTGCAACGGACGGAAATGCGCCGAAGGGCCCGCATCCGTTTCGAAAGCTGCGCATGCACCTAGCCTTCCAGTCCGCCGTCAAGCCACTTTTAGTGAGCTCATTTGTGTCGAAACGGGGGAAACCGAGAGGAGGGTGGCCAATTAATATGGGTTCACTGCCACGGTGTTGCAACGGGTGGCGCCTGGGTGGCGCGGGGGTTAGCGGTCCGGCGGCACGGCCGGCACGCAGGCGGTCTAGGCCGCGCCGAGGGCCGCGGCGTGGAATATGGAATCAGCGAGCCGAGCGGAGTGCCGGCCGGCGATGGCTATTTCCACCGGCTGAAACGTAAACATGATTGGCCGCCCTTGGAGCACACACTGCGGCTTTCGCTCGCGGCCCTGCCGAGGCCCTCCAGTCCGCCGGCCTGCCTGCGGAGCTGCGAGGGAAGCAGGTGATACGCTGATCGGCGATCGGCACGCGGACGGCGAGCGGCGCGAGCGGGCAGCCCAGGGCAGCCGCGCCTCGGCCGAGCGACGCCGTCCTTGCATAAGTGTACTGACCCTTTCGGCCGGCGGAGTGGACCGCGGAGGGCGCCGCCGCGACGCCATGGCGACGCCTGCCAGCGCGGCGCGGCTCAGCGTCGCGGCGCATGACAGCTCGGCAGTGTCGTAAAACACACACACACACGCTCGCACACAGGTGAGCGCGAATGGCGCGCTGAGCTGCCATTTGCCCAGTGTATAGCCGTGCAGCGGCGGCAGTGCGCTACCGCCGCCGGACCGCTTTAATTGCTAGCGTTGCCATCCGGCCGTGTTTGGGCGCCCCCACTACGGCGGCGGCAACCCTACCCTGCAGTGCCCTTCGTGACTCCTCGGCGCCGCCCTGCCTGCGCGGCGCTGCGCGGGGAAGTCCATAGGTCGCCGGTGTTGCACTTTTATTGCAGCGGCGCAACACGCAGGGCGAGAGGTGAAGACGCCGCCAGGAGCGCCAAGAACAATGGCAGAAAGTCGAAAACGCGGCGGAGACAATCGGCGGCGTGGGCCAGTTCGCAGGGGAACATCCATCAATGGCGTTTTTTGGCAGCGACGCTCAATGGAGCAATTATTGACTGACTTCGGCGGCTCGGCGGCGGCGGCCCGGCGCGCGGGCCTCCCTTGCGCAAGCGGACGCGGCGGCGCGTCCTTGGCGGGGAGGCCGAGGCTGCCGCGGCCCAGGGCCCCTGCATCGGAAGTCGCATCGTGTTTGCAGAGGGAGCGAGGCGCAGCGGGCGGCCGGGCCGAGCCGGGCCGCTGCTCCTCAGCTCTGTTTGCAGCCATTTATCTCTGCAAACGGAGTTGTGGAGTCGCGCGGCCCAAGGCGACGAACCCGCGGCCACCGATTTGCATAAAATGTCACTGCCTTCCAGACGAGCGGCGCGCGGCCCTCACGACGGCGCCCTGCTCGGCGCCTTCGTCCACGCGATAGCGGCTAATTTCTACCAGCGCGGTAATTGGCTGAGCCGACGGCATGCGCGCGTCGGAGGGCGCGTTCAAGGCGCCGCCGAGGAACGGGTCGCCCATCGACGCGAATCGCGCCGAATCGACCTAATCTGCCGTAATCTGCGAACTAATATCAACGTTAAATCGGCGCCCGGTGATTGGCTGGCCGGTATTGCCAACCGCGAAACACGCGTCGCGCATGTAGTATGCAGAGCAGGTGTCAATCAGCGCCGAAAGCAGAAGCCGGCAACTGTGTTTTTTTTCTTTTCGCGACACGCGAAAATTTCTCCGCGTGTCGCGTGGCATGGGGCGAGTGCGCAACAACCACGCAGATAAAACACAAGAAAATATTTTTTCACCATATGATTTACATGCTCTTACAGAACAGATGTGCAGTCTCAAAAATTCTGACTTTTTCAGTTTTTTAAAAGTGCCTGACAGGGCTGGCAAATTTTAAAAAGATCCGATTTTAACATTACTAACAGGCTGTTTGGTACAATACACGGTCTAAATTAAAATTGGTCACTCAATTTTAAAATTAAGCTACCCGCGCGTGTCACTTTGCTAACGCTACCAGTTTGCGAGATATGGACAACCAAATTCAAAATTGGAAATAAGTCAAGAAGCCCTAGTGAGTGCACTCGATGTTGAAGTAGTTGGCTGGGAAAACTGTTGGCTGCGAGTGCCCGCGCGCGCGGCCGTGGCAGCGGAGGGTCGTTTGTCCTGTCCAGTAGCGGGAGGCGAGGCGCAATTTGCACCCAGCACCCAGTGCTGTCACCCAATCACGAATACACCCGGTGGCCGCCAGGCACCGCCACGCACCGCCACGCAAGAAAGCACCGACTGGTCAGCAAGTGGTTTTACGGCTTGAAGATGGCACTGTGAGGTAGGTATACTGTCGCGGAGCGCAGCTGCCACTTTCGGCTACAAGTGAAATGTCAAGGTCTCCATGCGAGGAAAGTAAAAAAATCTCATTGAATCATGACGCATTGAATCAGTGCGTCAACAAACGCTGGCAATAACCTTCTGGACCGGTAGGCGTAGTCCAGTCCAAGGACGGTAACAATCTCGCCGCCTTTGGCACGGGTTCAAACGCCGACAGTAGTTTTGCTCTTTCGACACTCTCGCAAAATTAGACCCCTGCTCCCGGCCGCTCACGCGTTTGGGTGAAGACTCCTCACACGTGCACGTCACCTTGGATCGAGCGACCAATGCAGCAAGGTCAGCGGCCCTTTTAGATCGGTGTCGATTCAAGGACGATTTAGGGTCAATTTTTAGCTAAAATCGAGGGCCAAAATCCTTTTGAAAAACAATGTGCAATAGTCCCAGCCGAAAATTCATTTCCGATTGGGTGTCGAATCGACGTTGATCGGAAAGGTAGTAAAGTCCCAGATTCAAGGAATTTTGAGGAATTTGTTTACATTAAATTGGGTCGGTGCATGCCCGATTAAGGCATTCCCGTCTGCCCAAGATTCAACAGGTTCAAAATAACTTCTTCCATTTTCGGGAAAATTCGAGGAGAAAAGCGATATATAGAGTGCCGCGACGTCGATTCGACCCCGAATTTTCGGCTGAGATAAAGGCTTTGCGAGCGAAAGTGGCGAGCCTTACCTGTTGGTTCGTATTCCGGTGCGACGAGCGGAGTCGAGCAGAGCGGCGGGCCAAGTGACGCGTGCCGGAGTGGAGTGCAGAGTGATCCTCGGACCGCCAGTCTCGGTGGCTGGGCTCGGCGCATTCCCTGCCAGGACCGGCGGGACCAGCGGGCACCCGGCTGCAGAGAGCTCCCCGGAGGACCCGAGCCCCCGCAGTCCCCTCACGCCCCGCAGCGCCCCGCCCATGGAGGCCCCCTCGTTGGACGGTGACGGTATCCCCCCACAAGTCCGTGCGCCCCTCCCCGAGCCTCTACTTCCAGCACTTCATTGTTGCGCGACCTAGGCACCGGCAGGCACTGGCCGTAGGTCAGTTGAGCCTCATGCTGGGGAGGGGGTGGCAGGGGTCAGGGTGGACCGACGGCGTGGTTCAAGCAGAGCCCCGCAGTTCGCACCTCACCGCCAAACTTTTGTAAATCTGTGTGCCTGTTACGACAGGGGGCTTTCAGGAAGCAGCAGAAGACCCCTTTCTGAAGCGATAAGGAAGTCAATCGCCTTTTCGGTATCGCCCTTCCTCAGGAAAATTTTCTTCTTCACATGTGCGCTGAATGTGGTTGAATTGTCTTGCTCCCTGCAGGACTTTCAAGGGCCGTTGTGACGCCATTGCGCGTGCCGCTGGACCATGCCCGGCGTGGGATAGGAGGCAGCGAGCATTTGCCGCTCATAATCATTCTCGCCTGGAATGGCTCGTCTATTTTCCATATTTCCCGCGGCCTCGTCCACTGCACATGTTGTGTGTGCGTAAGTGTGCCAAACAGTGCACTGAAAGAATCGACCCCCCGATGCCTGATTCTAATCACCGAGCGATCGTCCTCCACATAAAAACCGAAAGTTTGCTTTTCCTTGAGGCGACAGGATTTCAGAAAGCCAAGCTCCTCCGTCGGGTCAATACCTCATGTCCAATCGAGTCTTTTTCTCACTGCATTGTCTAGGGTCGGGAACGAAAAATACCTCTTGACTCTTTTTATTGTTTCCACGGGACAATTTAATTGCGACTGCACACGCGTGTGCGGGCGTCCCTCGGGGCGTGCTTGGAAACGCGCCGGAGCCTCACGTTTAATGCTCATTGAGGGGAGCTCCTCAATATCAGCACACGCAACCGCGCGGGTGGCTACTGTGGGATGACAGTGACCCTGGGTGACTGGCAACCGTAGGGTGACAGTGACCGTGGATCGATGGCAACCGTAAAGGATGCCTGGCGATGTCAGCGTCCGCCGGATGCCGTTCACGTCGTACACGTTAGAGTGGCCACCCGTCTTTTCGCGCTGCGCCCTGTCGCTCCACGCTAGGCTGACGTGAGGCAACGCGGTTGCACTTATTACGTTCCGCAGTTTGGCAGGGCGAGGCAGGGCGGCCACCGCAACAGATTTCGGCTAGCTCGCGGTTACGGGACGAATAATTAATGTCAGTTCATTAGTTACTCAGTACCTAGCCGCAGTAACTATAAGGTCATGCTAGTCGTCGCGTGTGGGAGAGAAGAAAAAAAAACTCGCCCGGACAGATGAGGATACGGCGTGCGGTAACGACTGCATAGTTTCCCCTCCTCCCTTTTCTTCACCAAGTAAATATCTCCGGTTGCATCGCGACCGAGTCGTAATTACTGAAGGGAGCGCAAGTGGCGGGCGGGCCAAGTTTCGGGCCAGGCCTTGGACTAGCTTAGAGTGGCCAGTGCCGAGAGAGAGGGGGAGAAAAAGCAGAGGCCAAAAAGAGGAGAGACAGCGCCAGGACCTTTGGAGAAATCCTCGAGTCTTGCGCGATATTTGCACCGGGGCCGCGTTAACCTCGCTGACAGCGGCGCCCTGGAGCCCTAGCCAGTTCTAGCGCACCGCCTGCAGCAGCCATTATTAGCGCAAAACAAACACGTTGCCTCACTCGCCGATCATTGCGAGTACCGAGATAATGAAAATGGCTCTCCGCGGATGAACATGAAAATTGGCAAGGCCGTTGTGTCAGCAACTCGTGACGTGGGTGGGTCTACACTACTGACGCACTTAGTGAGCAGTTAGGCCAGACGGCCAGCGTTGCCGGACACAGCAGGGCCGGATTTTAAGCACGCCCTTGCTCAAGCAAAGGACTCGAAGCAATCGCACCACTGACCAAAAAATTTCCTTTTGAATGAGAAGTCCATTATTAGCATTTTAATGTGGGGAGAAGCCCGCCTTCGGTATTTTAGAGGGTAAGCCGTCCCCAAAGTCATGACCACCTAAACCGGTCTTTTCGGCGACTGCGCAGTGTTTTCCCCGGTCGATGCCCACGTCGATTGTTACTGGCTGGGCACATGGATGCTGCCGTCCGCTTCTCACGCCAACCGCCAGCCTTCCAACGCTTGCCGCCGCTAGCCGCCACTAGAGGCTTTCCCGGACGGCATCGGAAGGCCCGTCGCTCGAACCACAGCAGCACTTGCCGCCTGTTCGGCCTTTCTCGCTTTTTCCCGCCATTTCCCACAAACGCGGAGAACCGCGCCGCTTGCGACAGTGTACTTATGAATGACCGCGTGACCTAATACTGCACGGCCTGACGGCACTTTGGCTGGCCGCCAGCTCGGTCCGGCCGCCGCGCAGCAGAGCAGCGAGTGCTGTTGCTGCGCCCCAAGGTAGGCAGCCCAACATGCGCCCGCGGGACGCATATTTCTTCCCGTTTGTGCAGTCGAGTGCCGTCTGCGGTCGTGTCGGAGAAGACAGACGGGGCCGCACTGTGGGCCAGAAGACCGGTGGAGGTGGTCAAAATCCCGAACGCGTTTTGGGCTCTACTTTTGCTAGATGGAACTCGAACAAAACGTGTGACCCCACCAATGGATTGCTCTCCAAACGAGGAATCCATTGGTGGGGCCACGTCTGGTGCGAGTTCCGTCTAGCGGCTTTTGAGCTCAAAACGCGTCTAGGGTTTTGGCCCACTGCGGGTCGGCGGAGCGCGCTAACGCACTTCTTGGCCCTGGTGGCAGTGTCGTGTGGCGCCAGAAGCAGCAGACGCGCCCAGATGTTCGGTGGCGCGTAGCCCGTGTGTGTGTGTGGGCCCAGGATGTGACGGTGGTGCCCTGTCGGCGGGCCCTGCGCACTTCTTGAGCAACTGCAACGCGCTTATTTCCAGTGTCCAACACCGCTTTACAGCTCGGGCCTCCTAGTCCGTCGGCAACAAAGCCAGTCGAACAAGGGCCGTAAAAAATGGGGCTACGGTCCGGGCGAGCTGGCGTTTTGCGACATCCAGTGTGATGTCGCGGCCTGCGAAATGCGAAGAAACTCTCCAAAACAGAAACAAAAACAGAAACAGCTCTTTCGCACGTCCGCCTACATCGGCAGAGCATTGACGTGTACGCGGTGTTGTAGAAGCGTAGTGCGTGGGAGTGTGTTCGGCCTCGCCGCTGACCCGCACTCAAGCGTCCACGGCAGCATCGCCGTCGTTGACTAATTTTGAGTCAGTGATATTCGAATTAACCAAATCTAGCTCGCGGTTAGTGCAGGTCATAATCCCCACGCACGGTACCATGGCCGAAGATTGAGACTTTATTACCTCCGCCGCGTCCAGCGGAGCGATACCGAACAGTACTTTATCGCTGTCTCGCTCCCACCAGCGCGGGACGCCCACGAGAGCGAGAGAGCCGGAGCGACGAAAGCAGTGTTCGGCCTGCAGTTGCAGCGCTGCTAATGACCCTCGTGACGCACACCGTCTGCTCCGTGTCTAGCAATTACCCTGCTCATTTTCCGGGCGGTGGTGGTTGCAGCACTTCACTGTTAAAAATAGAGGGGGCGCCGGAACAATTCGGGGAGACAGAAACAGAAAACGAAAATGGAGTGCGAGGGCCCCTGCTGCCCACAATGCCCGCAAGACAGCCCTGTGTGGCGGGCTGGCCTAACCCGGCATGGCAGGCGCTCTGGGTCCGACGACCGGACGGCCAGCTGGTGGCACTGACGTGCGCCAGGGGGGGGGGACCATGACCCCCCCCCTTTGGCGACTAGACAGCCGCCTGGAAGGTAGGCAAATTGCGTTACTTTCCCAAGTGTAAGTAGGCAAGCATGGCCTGACCCCCCCCCCCTTTCGAAATTTCTGCGCACGCCACTGGTTGGTGGGCGCGCCCCAGGCACGGCGGCTGCCTGTTGGGTTGCATGTTGCCTGGCGCAGCGGTCCTGCACCGCGCCCACAAGGTGGGCAACCTATCCAGCAGCCACAGCAGCCACGCCAGAGCGGCAGGCCACCCAACGTACTCGCGGACGGTGGGACGCGGGCCCACTGGCTGGAGACCTAAACGCGGGCACGCCCCGAGTCCCGTCCCCCCGCATTCTAGTTTTGGATTTCCTGCTCGCGACCCGCCGCCCGGCGTGGCCGTACCCAGTCCAGTTTGCAGGCCCCGGAGCTACGCGGCGCTACGCGGCGCTACGCGGAGCGCCACAACCTTTTCCGGACAAAATGTGGGCTACCGGAATGGCAGAGAAGCAGGCCGCTCGGTGGACGCTGTTCCTCTTTTGCAGTTACGCGGCGACGCGTTGGGACGCTGCTGTCATATCGACACGTCTGCGTCGAAAATAGTGCCTCTGGCTCGTGGTTTTGCGACCACCGAACAATGGACAAAGAAATTACATCTTTAGGTGGGTAACGGCCACCGCCTTAAAAATAAGCCTCTAACGTCATTTATTGATCCATCTCATAAACAATCCGGCAGGACGCTGTATGGCAGCGACTAGCCGAGTCGCTTTTATGGTGGTAAGCCCAGGCAGAAAAAAATAACGACTTAAAGAGAGCACATCTTTAACAACACAACAAATACATAAAATTAATGAAGGAACATAGGATTACATTCATTTGGACTAGTCACTTTTTTTTCTTCGGCGTCTGACCCGTGGCCCGCACCCACGCACTCAGTCGTCGTCGTGGGGGTAGTGCGGGTGGGGGTGGGGATGAGAGTCAAGGTGGGGGTGATGGAAGTGGTGCGGAGGGTGGGAGTAGATCTTGGGCGGGGCTTCCTTGTAGATAATCTTGTAGACAGGCACGTGCACGGGGTACGGCTGGGGCACGGCGAAGGGCACCCTCTTCTCCACCGTGACGGGGTAGGGCTTCTCCACCGGGTAGGGCACGGGCTTCTCCACGGCGAAAGGAACCGGCTTCTCAACGGGCACGGCCACCGTCTTGACCACGTGAACGGGGACGTGAACGGCGTAGGGCTGCGGGACGGGCACGGGCACCGCGACGGCCACGGGGACGTGCTTGATGATGGTCTGCGGCACGGGGACGGGCACGGCGTGGGGCACGGGGACCGGGTGCGGCACGGCCACCTCCTTGGTCACCTCCGTGTGGACCGTTTGCTGCGGGACAGCGTGCACCTGCTGCAGCTGCAGTTGCTGCACTTGCACCTGTTGCACGGCGTCATTGGCGTAGCCATACCTGGACAACAAAACTCCACGTGTTAGACGTTGTTTTACGTCTCACTGTTCGGCTGGAGTAAGGGTGTTGGCTTACCCGTGGTCGGCGTAACTGGCGGCGTGCCCGGCGTCGTAGCCGGCGGCCTGGCCGTCGTCGTAGTAATCCTGGAACTGCTGGTAGTAGCTGGACGCACCGACCGCGGCCCCGCGCTTGTCCCTCGCCGCCATCGAGTCGGCCTCGGCGCTGTCTTGTAAGCGGTCTTGCTGGTCGAAACGCACGACGTAGTGGTAGCCCTTGCCACTCGGCTTGGCACCCAGAGCGCCGAGACCGGCGGCCAGGCAGCCCAGCAAAGCCGCCAACATCTAGGAGGGTCACAGCACAGAAGGCAGCGCGTCAGCGGGGATATCGGGCGGAACCACATTGAACTACTTGACCGATGCACTGTAAGACACTTGACCACATACCGGGAGCTTCATGGCTGCAGGAGACTGTCGACGTGCAGCTCCACACGTGCACACACGGTTTGTACGGGTTGCGGAGGGGACGTCCACTCTTAAATACGAGGTCCCCGCCGTGCCCCGCCGCGCCCACACCGCCCTCAGAAGCTGCCCCCGGTCCGCAGTGGCGGGGGGCGGCGCAGCGCGGCGGCTCTGCCTCCGGGGTCAGAGATCGGAAGGAGGAAAAGACGTTTTGTTGGGGCAAAGCCGGCGAAGCCAGGCGGCTGCTTGCGCTGCCCGGTCCAGCGCAGCCCGGTAAAGTTGAACGGGCCTTCACCGGCGGGAGGGGCAGGGGGTGGGGGTCCACTGCATCGCATCGAGCCCCCACTGCCGCAGTATAGTTTTCGGTATCGACACAATAATATCGGCGTAACCGCAGAACGCAACACGTCCCGGTGGAGGGGGAAGAAACTCGGGCAGGTGTCCTGGAAAGGCCGAGATGGATTCGTCAGCCCCGCGTCCGCACGGCGTCGGCGTTGGCCGGCAGCGGCTCGGGACCACCACGCACCTCGGCGAGGCGCGAGGTTGTCCTAGGCCTCTCGCTTTCTCTCTATGCTGGCGGGGTCCGGCGCCGGTCAGTAACTGGCCAGCCGGTCTCCACTTCCCCGCTCGCACCTGGGGCCTGGTGCCGCTCTGCCCGGCCCTGCCATGGCTGGACGGCATGACTGCACCGAGTCCACAGACGTGACGAGCTTGTCTTTACCCGGTGGCCTGCTCCCCTTTCAGCGTCATAGGGCAGGGGCGTGGCGTCAGCCTGTCTTACGCAATGCCGCGGATTCCCCGCAAGTCACTTCTCGGGGACCATTTAAGGCGTCCTTCGACTCTCTTCATTTCATCAACTGACCATGACCCGCACCGTAACCCCTTCTCGTCCTTTCTGTGAGAATTTGCCCGATTTGGCTGCAGCCGTGTGTCCCGGTTGTCCTTTTCAGCACGTTGTCATGGAAACCACGGCGAGAAGCGCTCGTCGCCACCATGCCTCTGAGCCCCGGTGCACATGCGGGGCCGGAGTCTTCGAGTCACCGTGCTTCCTGTTGGATAACAACGGGCCCAGCAGGTCAAGTGCGCCGTCCGTGGCGGAGGCACAGCCCTATCAGAATCCCCCTGCACACCGTGTTGTTGTTTACGTCGGCAAAACGAAGAAAGTGCGGAACGCGCCGCAGACAGTCGAATGGGAAACGCGTCCGGTGCAATCGATGCACTGAGGACCCTCATCCTCACGGCCCGGTCGGGATGGCCGGTAAAGAGACGGCATTAGGCACGCTGCTTCTGCACCACACTCAGGTCTCCTTTCCCCTCCCAGGCAGGCGTAATTCGCAATCGCTATTCTGCACCCAGGAGTGTGTGCACGAATTGGAGGAGAAATTGATGCAGGATGAAGCAATGCCTCATTTTGGTCGCATTCACAACGTAACCTGTAAACCCGAGCGCTTAGATGCAGAGCCGTGTTGTAAGGAGCTGACGTGTCCTTTAAGTAGAATGTTCCTCTTTTAGTAAAAGACCTATGCTCGGCTGAATTCATTCTGTATCGTTAAAAGAAGTGCCCTGCTGCACCTGGCTTCGTGGCTCTTCTGAAGCGAAGAATTCTGCTGGCAGCGCAGCGGAGCGTCTGAGGGAACTGGAGGTGTACGATGGGTTGCCTGCCCTCTGGCGCTCTATCGGCTCTTACCAGCAATGGTGCAAAGTTGGGGGCATCAAAACACTTTCAAGAACGGACCAACGATCTTCTTTTAATTCAAAGAATAAAGTACAAAATAACAAAATAAATACTTATCACTAGCCATATTTAACGCCACTAAAACTAGACAACACTCTTTTTGATCCAACCCAACCCACGGAAGACGCACCCTTCAGCAACACGGAGGGGCTTTTAGATCGTGTTGAAGGCACCGCAGAGCATGGCCTCCAATCTAAAAGCCGATCGGTGACGTTGTTGGGCACCCCAGTGGACATCCCTTCTTATGTTACACAAAAATTCAGCCATTCAGCCCAAATAATAAATAAAGCTTTGTCCTCTGCTCCGGTAGTACCAGACTTGAAGCCCCAGCTGACCACAAATGTACACAGGAAAACAGTTTAGTTTTCGCTTAGCTATTCACAGTTGGCACTATTGGCACTTGTCATTCTCCCGCTTGCCGGCCCGGCGCTGCTCAGCCCGAGGGCCGCACTCTGTAGGACGACGACACGGCGAAGGCCCCCGGCTCAAGCTGGCCGTGGCTGTGGTGGTGGTGGCTGGGCGCGGCGGACGGCTGGGGCGACGGTAGGTGTGCGCGGACGGGCCGGTGCGGGGGCGGCCTGCGCACCTCGCGGTGAAGGGTGGGGGGTCCGCGGGGATGGCCGTGGTGGAAGCTAGGCCGGTGGCCGGAGGACACCAACGGGTTGCCCTTGAGACCGTCGTACTGCTCGATGGGCATGTAGTAGGTCTGCACGTCCACAGACTCCTTGGGCGGCCACTGCAGCGCGGGGTTGGGTTCTTCGGCGGCCGCCGCGACCGGGCTGCTGCCCTGGTGCTGCGGCTGGTGCGGGTGCTTGGACAACGTCTGGTGCTCCTCGAAGACGGGCACGCTCTTGGTGATCTTGACGCTGCTGCCGGTGGGGCTGGGACCGCTGGGGCTCGGGCCGAAGCGCAGGCCGTGAGGCTTGGAGAAGCCGCTGAGGTGGTGGGGCTGGGGCCGCGGGAAGCCTCCGCTCTGCTTGAAGAAGGGGTCCTTGCCCTTGAAGGGCGACGACGGACGGTACTTGGAGGGCGGGGGGCCACGGTGGTCACCGCCGAACGAGGACGGCGGACCCTTGAAAGGGGAGTCAGGCAGCGACGGGAACGAGGATTGTGACTGGGACGTCTTGAACGGCGCTTCGGACTTGAAGGGACTTTCCGAAAAGACGGAGGACTTAAACGGGGCGTCCCCGAAGGACTTGAACGGGAAGTCGGCAAAGGACGGCGATTTGAACGGGGCGTCGGGGGCGGGGCTGGCGTCGGGCGGCAGGTTGTAGACGGGCTTCTTGCCGCTCGGCAGGGCCGCGTGCAGCTCCCTCAGCCTGGACAGGGGCATGATGACGGCGGGGATGGGATGGCCGCCGGGCGTGTCGCTGGGCAGGTAGTACACCTGGCCCTGCACCAGCTTGCTGCCCAGAACGGTGTCGGGCGGGCTGTCGAACGACGAGGACGCGAAGGGCGGCCCTCCGCTGGCGGAGTGCGGCTGCCTGCCGGTGGATGAGTACGCGCGCATGAAGTCTGCGAAGGAGCTGGACGTGAATCCGCGGAAGGGGTCCGGTTTGGAGGACGGCCTTGCCGACAGGCCGGGTGGGTCGTCGGGGAGGTGGTTGGACGGCACCTCGACACGGCCGCTCTCCGCGCCGCCGTACAGAGCGTTGTTCTGATCGAACTGCGAGGTGTGGCTCAGCACGTAGTCGTGGTTGAAGGGGGACAGGGTGGAGCCCGTCGGCGCGGCGGCGTGGAGCCCAGCCGCGGTGCTGGCCTCGAACGGCACGGCGGGCGAGTCATCGTCCGTGTCCTCCATGATGGGGATGCTGTCCCGGTAGCCGCCGCGGAGGCCGTTGGGCGTGATGGGCGCCGACACCTCCACGCCGTTGCCGACGTCCTGCCACGCGAAGTCCGTGCCGTCGTTGATGTGCAGCACGGCGGACGCGGCCTTGGGCGGCTTGCGCTGCAGTGCGGACGGGCCCAGCGCGAACTCGCTGAAGGGGCAGAGGAAACAGGGTCGTTACACGAGATGCAAAGGGCCGAATTTCACTTGGCTGGAACCATATCAACGAATCCTTGTCTATATTGAAAAACTTACCTCTTTGTGGTGCTGCCGCTGCCGAAGATGGAGTGGGGCGTTCGGACTACGTACGACGGCGTGGTGCTCACCACGACGGGGCCGGCAGAGGGCGCAGCGGTCACCACGCTCAAGGTGTAGCTGGGCGACGGCGATCCGACCAGGGCCTGGGGCGTTGGCAGGGGCTGGTAGCCCGCGGGCGGGCCAGAGGGCCCGGACGGCGCGCTCAGCGAGGACTGTTGCAGCGGCGGCACGTAGATGGGTCTGCCGTTGATGGCCGAGCTGCTCACCACGTTGACCACGTTGACGCCCTGGGTCGGCTGGTGCGGCACCGCCTTGTTACCGAGCAGCGTGTTGCTGTAGCTGACGGCGCCCTCGCCGTGCACCACCTCGCCCTGGACGACGTCGTTCTGAACCGTGCCGCGGTGCGGTTGGTACTCCTGGCCGCCGGGGGCTTGGAGCTGAGGGGGCGCGGCCACGCCGCCGCCCACCACGGCACCGCCGTCGGGGGCCGCGAAGCCGATGCTGTAGCCCACGCTGACGGTTGGGTCGGGGCCCTGGGGGCCCTGTGGCCCGGGGGCGCCGTTCGAGATGATGATTGGTTGCGGCTGTGGGGCGTACGTGTGCGACGGTCTCCTCTTGTTGACGCGCTTTACGGTCTTCTTCGTCTTCTTCACCTCGAGCGGGGGCGCTTCGTGCTGCAGTTGTGGGTCGTCCTGCTGGACCTGCGGCTGTTGCTGCTGCAGGAATTGTTGTTGCTGCTGCTGCTGCTCTTGTTGCTGGTGATGCATCATCTGTTCCTGCTCAACCTGCTGCTGGATCTGCTTGTTCTGCTTCCGCTTGCGTTTGTACCGCGAGTTGGAGGGCTGCCACGGCTGCCCCGCGGGCGCGTCGCTACCCGCCGCCGCCTCCGCGTCCTGCGGCGTCGCGAAGAAGGCGACGGCGTGCTCGGGTGCCGCGGGCGCGGGCTGTTGGGGCGGCATGTTCATGTTGGTGTCGGGGTTGGCGGCGAGCACGCGGCCCTGGCGCGGGGGCAGGCCTTGCTGGAAGGGCACGTCCGCGTACCACTGGCCGGGCTCCGCCGGCATGGACTGCTGGTCGTCGACGGCGGCGGCGGCCACGACGGGTGCGGGCGTGGCGCTGAACCACCGCACCGAGCCCCGGGACTCGCTGGCCGCCGCCTCGGGCTCCGTCTCCTCGACAGCGGTCCACGGCGACGTGTCGGCGGACGCCTCCCAGCGGCCCGTCCTCGCATGATGGTGGTCTCCGTGGTGCTCGTAGGCCCGGAGCTCGCTGAGTGGCCAGCCCGCCGGGGGCTCCTGCACCGTCAGCCCGCCACTGCCTCCCATGTCCTCGGCGAGGCTACGCTCGTCACCGTGGTAGCCGCCGTCCTGCATGGTCTCGCGCTGCGCCAGCGCCCCGCGGAGCAGCAGCACAGCGACCGCCGCCACGCATACCTGGAACAGAGAGCACGGTTCAGTCCCCGTTTTCAGTCCCCGGCCTCGGACCGCCACCGGCCGGCGGTCGCTAACTAGGCGCGGTCCTGCTTGTCCACGGCCAGGCACGCGCGATAATGTCTGGCCGCCCCTCCCCGCGGGGGGCACCGCGGGCACCGCGGGCACCGCCTCGGCAGTGCGCTGCCTTTTGATTTATGCAATTTCACGTATCAGCAGGCCGCAGTGCGACCGTGTGCGGTTCACGCCCTGTTCGCAGCCTAAATCCGTCGCACGCACACACACGCCGAGCCACACCGAGCGCGCCGCGGTGCGTGTACGAGTGAGCGCGCGTTCACGGCATGGCGGACTTTCTAACTGCGAAAGCAATATCAAAACAAACGCGGCGCAAAATGGGAGGAGCCGCGAGCCGGTCATGCAGGGGCCTGCGCTTGCTTTGCGCTCGCTCTGCGCGGCGCGCGAGGCAGAGAGACACGACTGGGCTAGGCCCGGCTGGGCGCGCTGCTCTAGGCGCGCGGATGGAACAAGCCGACCAGACAGAGATAGCATCACTGCGCCACGCACGCTGCGCACGCTGCACAGCTTCCATTCTTGTCTCTCTTATTGGTCCGTAATTGCCGGCGCGAGTCAAGCAGACACGAAAGGGAACAAATCATTTTTAACAAAATAAATGTTGGCGGTGGTTTATTATTCTCCGCGCTCCGCGCACTCACACAACGCGCGTTCGGCCGGCGTCATTAAGACGTCTTCAAACTCCACGCCGGCTGGTTTCATTTGCAAGGCAGTCACCACACCATGGCGCGCTGTGCCGCCGCAGAGACGCGCGCCAGGTTTCGCCGCCTTTTATGTATCGCCCACACTCACGCACGCACGCGCGGCGCGCAGCACGACAACCTGGCCGCATCGCTGCGCGCATTTCGGCGGGAAAATGCAAGCGGGCGAACAAGCCGAGCCACCCGGGCCAGGCGATACCGGGCTGTAACCGCGAGGCCGCCACAGGCAGGACGCGCGGACCGTGAAGGCGCCACCATTATCTTTTTCGCTTTCGTTTGTTGTTAGCGCTGCTTACTCCGTGTGGGCTAACACTCCATAGTCGCTGCCAAGTAATTTTCGAGATTATATCCGCCGGACTACCGCACGCAGTCCCGCTTTTAAACAATTACACGTCGCTATCCAGATAAATGCACATCCGCGGGGAGGGCTCCTGCGATGACGTCAAGGGCCTAGCAGACGACGCTGGAGTACGCAGTATCGTGCAGGAGGACCTTGCTCCGCGGCGGCCGGCGGCGTGGTGCAGTGGCTCAGAACACACCGAGCTACATTTCACTTTCTTTTGTCGGGGCGGCAACCCTTCAGGAGGGACACAGGGCGTGCAGTTGTTGCTGTCATGTCTGGCGCTCGCGGCGCTCGCTCTGACTCGCTCGCGGCGCGGCTCACAATGAGGAAACAAAACGCGCGCGCATTTAGGGACAATGCGGGGAGTGGCGCGGCGCGCGTCGCAAGCGGCTGGGAGGTGGCCGAGCCCTGGCCGAGCCCCCGGCAGGCCGATCAGGAGCTAACCGGCGCCGCGGCGCACCGGCCACGCCGCGCAAAAGCGACTATCGACAGGCCATCGCTGCTATCGGCAGTGCAGCGGCTAATGCAGGCCTGCCAACGCGTTGCGCGCAGCCGGCTACCGGATACCGCTCACTCTCCGCCGGGCTGACCGACGGGCGGGCGAACGGCCAGGCCCAAGCCAGGCCAGGCCGCGCGGAAACGCGGAAGTTTGGCGGCGTTTCTTCCAAATCAAGATGGAATGGACGCGCGCCGCGTCTCCCCTCGAGATGCGCTCGGCGACAGAGGCAGCCAGGGAGAAGGGCAGCTCGTTTGTGCGGTACGTACCACCACGAGAAACTCGTTGTCGCAACAAAAACGCACGCTCAAAACATTACGAAGTATATTGAGCATACATAGTACAGACTAATTTACTTTGTTATACGAAGAAGAAGTTCGTAAATTACAAAGTATTTTCTTTGTAAGCTTTGGTGCGTTCAAAATACTTTGCTATAACAAGCTGCTTTTCTTTGTAAGGCCCAAAATAGTTTGAAAGGTTGTCAGAGTGCGGGGAAAACGGCGACTTTCCGGAAATAGTGCACTGCATAGGCCTGTGACACCCAGGGCTGCTTAGGGAGTCCGAGCCAACCTCGGCCGCCGCGCCCCGCACCCCAGGCGCCCTTTCAGTGCTGCCTCATTTCACCAGCACACAAGGACGTATCCCCAGTCACCTTCTCATGCGACTACGCGCTTCTGACCGTCGCCACACACTTGGCCGGAGGGTTGGCATGCATGCGAAGCGGCACGCGCCAACACACCGAGTGAACAGGTCGCCGGAACCAAACGGTCAGCCGGAAGTGGAAGGGAGGCCTGGAATAAACACTGTCGCCGGCAGTGCCGAGGCAATGGCCAGGCAATGGCCAGGCAACGGCCAGGCAACGGCCAGGCAATGCCGACTATGCCCTATCGCGCGCCGCGAATCGCCCCGCTTCGATTCCAGTTTCTTTGCCACCGCAGGCCGCATACACACACACGGGCGCACACACCGGTGACACAACAACACAGCCGCCGTGGCGCCTCTAGGGCCGGCCAGCGAATAATCTCTCCGGCCGTCAGCCAAGCCCAGACGCTGTTTCCGAAAAAAAAAGAGCTCTGTCTTACTCGCACCCGTGCGAAACGCACCACGAGTGCGAGAGAGGGGCCGAGGGCAGCCGCTTGGCCCTTGGCTCGGCCCGCCCCCGTTATTTCACGTCCGGTGGGGAGTTCCACCCCGGCGCGCCGCGCACCGCGCCCGCCGAGGAACCCCGAGGCGGCCGCCCTAAAAGTCATAGCCTTGCGACTCGCGTTGCTCGCGTTACGGTTTTGGATAACCACGCAATGGCGGAGACCGCGCAGATAAGCAGCGTGCAATTACTTTGGAGCCGGAAGGGAAGGGCAGCATGCCAATGGGAGTGTGACCGCGGCACACAGTGGGCCAGAAGACCGGTGGAGGTGGCCAAAGCTCTAGACGCGTTTTGAGCTCCAGAGTCGCTAAATGGGACTCGAACCGAACGTGTGACCCCACCGATGGATTCCTCGTTCGGAGAGCAATCCATTGGTGGACACGCTTGATTCGAGTCCCATTCAGCGACCCTGGAGTTCAAAACGCGTCCAGAGTTTCATCTGTCTTCTGGCCCACTGCACGGCGTCCAGGAAAGCAATGTCAGTTTCGTATCATTTTTCGGCAGGTTCTCTCTCGTGTTGTCATTTTGTCATTGAATTGGCCGCTCTGCCCCGAGACACGCACGGCCTGGCGATCTCACACACACACACACACACACACACACACACACACACACACACACGCCTCTTTCATTCACGGAGTCCGACTCGGCGACGACACGGTGGCTGACTCCGAAGACAACATGCTGTCCCCCGCGGGGCTTGCATCATGCACGACTCGCGAATCGCATACCGCTCCGCAAGAAAAGGAGAATATTGCCCGGCAAAAAATACAAACAGACAACAGGGGCCGTATTTTTTTTTTGTTACGGGTACTTGGTTGCTTTTTTCCGGGTAGGCGTCGGCATGGACGCGTTTCTGGTGTCGCGCGTGTGAAACGCTTTCATATGCAGAGTGCGCGAGGTGTGTGTGGACCTGGGCGTCAAGTGTTGTCGCCCAGTGTTGTAAAATAGGAGCGCGCGCTCACACACACAACTTGATGAAGTTGACGCGCTGCATGTGTGTGCGTACAACGACTCGGCCGAGCGAGCGGTCGCGCCGGCCGGACGTTTCCTGGACCGCGGAACACTTTGAGTCGAGTTGGCACAGCGCGTTTCCAGTGGCGCGTGCCTCCAGCAGCGATGCGACCGACACCGGATAAGAAATTGGTCCAAGGGTGCGCGTCCTCCTCGGCGCTCTTACTTTCCTCGTGCAAGGACTCCGCAATTAATTATTCATCAGGCAGCAGCGGCGGAGCAGTGCGCCCGGAGTGTTAATCCTGGAAGCGGAGCCCTTGCATGCAGACTGCACTGCAGCCGAGACGAGCTGACCCGAGCGTAAGCGCGGCCGAGGATTGGTCGTGACCTTCGTCTGGTGCAGCCGGAACCGGGCGGAACCGGGCGCCAGTGGAGCGCGCGGGAAAAGGCGCACAGTGGCGCCCCGCGAGGGGACACGATATGAGAGTTCTGGGCGCGGCTGCGGCGGGGCTCGGCGGCCGGAATCCGCGATCTGGCCGGCGAAGGGCGGCCGAGCGGCGAACCAGCCAACCGACCGTCGAGCTAATGAGCTAGCCGATATTATTTTGCAGAGGGGATGCAGCGCGAAGCACTCGGCGAGGTACTCGGGGCGTGGCTGGCTGCTCGGGGCGTTGTGCTCTCCGGTGCTTGGGCACGGCCGGCACGGCCAGCACGCCACCAGCACACTGCACGCAGGGAAAGTGGCGCGGCGTGGCGTCCGGGCCGTGAACCTCATGAGCTGGACGAGGCGCGTTACCGCCGCCACTTTATCTCACGCGAGGCGAGGCGACCGCCATGGCGACCGCCTACGACAGGGAAACGAGTCCGGATGGACGATTTGGCGGATTTACATTTGCAACATTTTACCGGCATTCTCATGCAAAGCGTCGCCTCACTGGCACTGGCAGCACGCGGCCGGCTAGGCTCCGCACAGTGGGCCAGAAGACCGGTGGAGGCGGCCGAAACTCGCTAGATGCGTTTTGAGCTCCAGAGTCGCTAAACAGGACTCAAACCGAACCTGTGACCCTACCAATGGATTCCTCGTTCGGAGAGCAATCCATTGGTGGGGTCACACGCTCGGTTTGAGCCCCATTTAGCGACTCGGGAGCTCAAAACGCGTCTGAAGTTTTGGCCGCCTCCACCGGTTCTTCTGGCCCACTGTGCTCCGCCATGAAAGCGGAATCGGCGCGCTCTTTATCACGTTGCCGCGTTTTATCGTTACACTTGCACTGTCAGCGAAATCAGACACCATTTTTCACGCCAGTCCCTCCCGGATCCGTGTGTGTGTGTGTGTGTGTGTAAGTGTGTGAGTGAGAGAGAGAGAGATGCATGCGTTGTGTGTGATCGGTACTGAAGCGTTTGGCTGCGGCGGCGGCTGCTTCGCGCCCCGACTGATATCCATCCATTCATACTATCCGTAGCCGTGAAATCGATACAGATTATAGGTCTACTTTCTCCAAAAAGCTGTGCAGTGTAGAGCACAGTGCGTGCGTTCGTTCTCCTCCGCGCATTCGACTCTACATCTGCCCAATGTTGCAGTCTTTTTTATCGCTTTGTTTTTGTTTGGAGGAAAGTTTTAGCGGGACACTGCGACAAAGTCAAGACTGATGTGCAGGCCCTAGCAGTGGCGTGGCCAAGTCCACTATCAATCTCTTTCTAAAGCAGAAGCGGACGGAGAGGGGCGGGGGAAGAGGGAAAAGGAAGGGGGATGCGGGAGATTGCTGCTGATTGCCGTGGTTAGGTGTGAGCTCTACGCGAGCAGCCGGGACATGCCGACGCATGCCGACTTTGCTAGACTGTAGGCGCGCACACACACAATCACACACGTACAAACACAGGCGGACACAAACACAGCCACACACATAAGGAGCGGAAGAGAGGAGAAAAATAAAGAGGAGGAAAAAAAGTAGCTCGACGGAATGAAGGCGGTACAAAATTGACTTTGCTATTTCAATGAGTAGGTACAGGACCGTGCGTACCGACCGGGGCCAACACTTTCGCCTACTGGCCATCAGTGCGCAGACCATACACTGGAAAAAAAAACGGGTCCATCTGTGGGCTATTTTTTCAGCGTGCCGATCTAGACGTAAATGCAGTAATAATGGCGACCGTGCTGAAAAGTTTGCGTCGGTTTGACTGAGTCGGCTTACGTCCTGTCCTTTAAGTGTCGTGAAAGTGAGTCGGCACTGTGTGGTTAGTCCTGCACGCGTTGCACCCAAAGCAGTCGACATGTTTCCCCTCCACGACTGTTTGCCCGCGAACAAAACGTAGCGGACCACAACAAAAAAGACGCGGAAAAGCGACGCGGTTCCGTTCCGGGCGCGGTGCGGCGCGGTGCACCGCGGGGCGGCACTACTCGGGTCCTGCAGCTTTACGGCCTTCGGAAAGCGTTCCGGGTGCGCCAAATAAGCGAGTGGCGCAGACGCACAGTGGGCCAGAAGACCGGTGGAGGCGGTCAAAGTCCCGGACGGGTTTTGAGCTCCAGAGTCGCTAAATGGGCCTAAACACAACGTGTGACCCCACCAATGGATTCCTCGTTCGGAGAGCAATCCATTGGTGGGGGGTCACAGGTTCGGTCCGAGTTCCATTCAGCGACTCTGGAGCGTCCGGGACTTTGACCGCCTCCACCTGTCTTCTGGCCCACTGTACGCCGCTGACGCCCGGCGACACCTGCTACCGCGCTTGGCGCGGCTTGCGCGGCTCGCCGGGCTGAGGTTAGTTTCTCCAGCGACTCATTACATGACGACGGCCTCAGTGTTCACCGCGGTGCTGCGCGTTCGCTAGCGTTCACCGGCCATCGGGGAGACAAATTACAATCGGGCCGCTCGAAAAGGAATCCGAGCCCCGCCCCCCTCGGCCGGCGCGGCCACGGCACAGCCGGCACGAGCCGGGCCCGATGTCAGGGCGCGATCGCTCCCCGTCCCGAATCGGTCACGTGGTTTAGAGGCAGACCCTTATCCCGGAGAATCGGCCCTCGGCCCGGCAGCGGCGTGGACCGTGGCGTAGCTAAACGGGGGCTGGCTAGCTAGCTTTCCTTCGCGCTGCTCATGTGCAAAGCGGACCGAGGCGGACGCAGCGCGCCCAAAATGGCAGCGCAATGCACGGCAATGCATGCCGACGTTAATTGAGTCGTTAGCATTGCGGCAGTTTGTTGTGCAGCGAGTCCAATTACAGGACAATGCAGGCAAATCGGTGCGTGCATTGGGCATTCCGGGAGGCCGGGTGCAGTACCGAACCAGAGCGCGCCATGATGGCGACGTCCACCACCGCCTCACGGTAAAGAGAGGGAATTAGTTCGAAAATTGCATACACAAATTTGTTACAAATTTGCCAAAAGCAATAATTTTCACTACACATTAATCGTACGTGTTACAGCTACTGTTAAAATTGCTACATAATTATAATCGTCCATTTTCCACCCCCGTAAAAAATGCGAGGTTTGACATAATTTTAAAGAAAAGTCTAGAATTGTTAGCAATTTTGATCCAGGTAAACTTCTTAAATACCCTATTGTACTGACGTGAAATTTGGAGGCGCGGCTCGTTCCGACACCAGTAAAGATCCGTCCTTAGCTCATTATTTTCTCCACTGAAAAATTTAACAGAAGCGAGAAAGGCAGACATGCGTTCCCCTTTGGGACCGCACACGATGACGTCCTCGTGCGGTACTCACTTGCAGTCTTGTCATAATCCAGAGGAAGGGGGTGAAAAGTCCACTGTGCACTACACACACATGCGCAAAACGACTTGAGTGACACACACACAGACACAAAACTTGCACACACACACACCAACACACACGTGAACGGTCTGCGGCACCTCGGCGCGGTGTGCCGCTGCAATCCCGCCGTCGTCTCGACGCTAGCTGGCGGCCGCGCCCCGAAGCCGGGGCTTTATACCGGGCCACGCTTGGCGTAGCTTGGCGGCGCCGAGCGTGGAGTGCGGGGCTCGGAGCGCGGCAGCGCGGCCCCCTCCACGGCCCCCGGCACGCCGCGGCACGCAACGGCTGCCTACCTCGCGCGGCGCTGATAAGCAGAGGTCATCCACCCCCGCCGGAGCCAGACCCGTTTTTTGAGCTCCAGAGTCGCCAAATGGGACTCAAACCGAACGAATGACCCCACCAATGGATTACTCTTCGAACGAGGAATCCATTGGTGGGGTCACACGTTCGGTTCGAGTCCTGTTCAGTGCTCAAAACGCGTCTAGAGTTTTGGCCGCCTCCACCGGAACGCCTGCGAACGGCGGGGTAGGCCACCACGCGGCACTCCGGCGAGTTGCGGGCGGGCCCACCCGCTGTCTGCAGGGGCTCCGCACGGCCAGGCGAGGGAAGCGAGAGCAATGAATTCTGTTTGGATTGCTCTTCGAACAGTGGACATGTGACGCTTTGTCGAGTCAAGACACGATGCAGGGGATGATGGGAGGTCAGCCAGGCCAGTTGGGACCTCTTGCTTTTGGGTCGTTTCCCTACAAATGCGCGTAGGCTATGAGACGAAGAGACGCCATCTTATAAGAAGCAGTGCCCGTTTAGCCTGACAAATAGTTACCCATTTGAATTATCTGAGAAAACATTTCTTTGGTAACTACTTTTAAATAAATTATCTTTGAAAGAATTACGCTTTTCTGGGAGTACATCGCCTGAGACTTTGGACACCGTTTTAAGGTAGTCTCGTCTTAATAAGACGACGTCGGCCTCCCGACCGACACATTATGTGACAGACCGTACGTCACGATAAAAACGACAAGTTATTTTCTTTGCAAATTTCGTCGTTTTATTTTTTTGAGGTTCCACATTTTCCCCCCGGCGCGCGGCTGTCAGTTTAAGCCCCACTTTTGTTTTTCAATTACGGTCGCAACGAGACGTGCTCCGCGTGGGGTGGCGGGACCAGGCGGGACTGGCGGCGGATGTGGCGGCGCCTCGCAGTGCCGTGCCTGCATCGCAGCATTCCCCCTGCCCGGCTTTGCTCGACTTTGGCAGCGAGTTCGGATTCCGCGCCAACTGAAAGCCGTTGCAACGGCGTGGGGAAAAGTGGACCAGAAGATGTTAATTTCACACCGCCGCCCTTGCAGGCCTTCTGCACGCCCGTCCTGCCCGGCGCAGTCGGGGTCGCCCAGGGTGTGCCAGTCGGCGGCAGCGTTGTCAATCAGGCTCTCCCTCTCTCTGTCTCTCTCACGCTCGCGGGACGTCGCGGACGGGTGCGAGAGAGACGGCCGGTGGCAAACAACGCTTTAATTACCCCAGACCGCACTCAAACAACGCGTCCGGACCGCACACCTCGGCGACGGACTACAGTGGGCCAGAACATCAGTGGAGGCGGCAAGACGCGTTTTGAGTTCCAAAGTCGCTAAGCAGTCCTCGAACCGAACGTGTGACCCCACCAATGGATTCGTCGTTCGGTTCGAGTCCAATCGCTCAAAACGCGTCCGGGATTTTGACCACCTCCGCCGGTCTTCTGGCCCTCTGTGCGGCCTGACCTAACCTAAACGGTCCGCCAGTGTGGGCGCGCGGCGCCTTGCACGCCAACAAAGCGACGACCCAATTGCGTTGCGCCGAGTTCACTCTCGGGCGCGATAAGGCGATCGCCGGTTTCTCTTATTAGGTCCAGAACGCTTCACTGCCGCTAAAGCGCGGCCCAACAACAACAACAACAACAGCCACTGCGACTCGCCGCGAACGCGCTTGCCAATTGGCACGGCAGAGCGATCGCGCCGGGCAGGAAACCCACCCCGCCGCGACGGGGAATCGAACCCGCGTCACCGGCGCCGCGCGCCAGCCGCCAGACCACGCGGCCAACGCGGCGCGGCCCACACTACGGCGCGTTATGACCGGTGTCGTTGGCAACTCGCGGAAGAAGGAAAAGCACCCTAAAGCGGGCTTCCTGAGGATGGCGGCGCGAAGGTGCAAGGGAGGGCGTGGCCCTGTGTGGGCAAGCCAGGCAGCCAGACAGCCGGCAGACAGGCAGCCAGCCCCAGGCAGGGCATCAGTATGTGCTCATGGCGAATTAAGCCGAGGCGGCATGACGGCCAACGCAACAAAGTGAAAATGGAGTGTGTATTTCGCTTTCGTGAGTACTTACCTTGATTAGCCTTACCTCGGCAGCCAGGACGACGACGTAAGTTTCGCCCAGCACACGGCATCTTCAATACAGACCGTTCATCTTCGCGGAATCTTCGTAACAGATAGTTCATCTTCCATGGCTTCCAATCAAAACAATTTTTTTAAAAAAATCAAAAATTTCTCAAATTTTTAACGATTTTTTTTTACGAGTTTTGGAAGTCACTTTTAGCGTTCATCGTATTTTTTTTCCTCGTGAAATGCTGTGAACTTGGTTGCTTCTGCTGGGCGAGGCCTGGGCGAGGCCTGGGCGCGGCGCGTGCGTCCACGTCTCCGGGCAGGGCTGCGGCGGCCGCGGCACTAACAGTCAGTGCACCGCGGCGACACGGTCCGCGCGCTCCGTCTCTCTCGCACCCCTCCGCCGCGAAGCCGCGCTCGCCGAGTGCGACGGAGACAGCGCGCCGAAAGCGCTGCCTGCGTGCGCAGTGTGCGCGCAGTGAGCGCGATGCAGGCCCCACTGCGTTCTCGGCAATTACCTCAGCAGGGATCCGCCAACAGCTCACTACGCCTCTCTCTCTCTCTCTCTCTCTCTCTCTCTCTCTCTCTCTCTCTCTCTCTCTCTCTCTCTCTCTCTCATCCGCGTTTTCCTCGCACTCATTTGGCGGCCATTCCATCCCATTCGGCGTCGGTTCGGTGTCGAATCGGACGTAAACGAGTTGGCACGGCGTCGTGTGTGGGGCGTGGGGCCTCGCGCGATGGCCACCCTTTCAATAGCCGTCTCACTTTCCCGAAATCAACGAATCGTGGCGCAGCACAGTGGGCCGGACGGCCGGTGGAGGTGGTCAAAGCTCTAGACGCGTTTTGAGCTCCAGAGTCACTAAACAGGACTCCAACCGAGCGTGTGACCCCACCAATGGAATTCCTCGATCGGAGAGCAATCCATTGGTGGGGTCACACGTCCAGTTCGAGTCCCATTTTTTAGCGACTCTAGGGCTCAAAACGCGTCCACGATTTTGACCGCCTCCGCCGGTCTTCTGGCCCACTGTGCGCAGGCGACTTTTACGCCTCTAAAAGGCCCCTTTTCCCGCTTGCGCCAGACTCCTTCTGCTCTGCACCCGCGCACGCAACACGCGCGAAGGGTCTTACACAAAAAGGAAGGAAAAACGAGACAGTGCCGCGCCTCGTTATATTTTCGTCTCATCCACAGTAGTGCCGCCGGCAGTGTAGGCGAATTCCCGGAATCCCTTTTACGGGCGCGTCGTTCATTTGTCTCCCGCCAAAACAGCGCCAGCGCCGGCAGCGCCGCGGATGGCCGGCAGGCGGTCATCAGAAGTGCGCCAAGTCACTGCGCGGGTCGGGGCGGGGAGACGATGCACAGTGGGCCAGAAGACCGGTTGATCGAAATCCCGGACGCGTTTTGAGATCCAGTGTCGCTAAATTGGCCTCATACCGGACGTGTGATCCCACCAATGGCAGCCAATGGATTGCTCTCCGAACGAGGAATCCATCGGTGGGGTCACAAGTTCGGTTCGAGAAAAACGTTCGTTGGGTCAAATTGTTCCATGGTAAAGAAAAACCTCCACTAAAGTTTCATTGCGCTCTGATTTCTCATGACCGAGCCTGAAGGGCTTGAGTGCCAATTTCCTTTCTGTCTCCGGTTCAATTTAAAACGGAAAGGGACGGTCAAGCGATGCGCGCGGCATGACGTAAAGCCTTACAGTGCCGTCCGAAGTGCGAGTCGCCCACGCACACAGCAGGGCGTGGCTCTGCCTTGGGCTCCGCGGGGCCCTTCGGCCGTCCCTTCGGCCCTCCCCGTCACTCCGGGCAGCCCTTCGTCTTGCGCCATGCGCGGCAGCGCGCCGCGAAAGGCGGCTGCGGTATGCGAAATATGGCTTCGAGGCATTTCTCATCCCGCTCGGCGCAGCGCGGCGCAACTCAGCGGCGCGCCCATTTTTCTGGCGGTTCGAACGACGCGGCCGGGGGGCCGGAGGCGTCGCGGCGTGGAAGTAGCGGCGGACGTGCGCGCCGCCCACGTGATGGACGGTAAGCTGCAGCACGTCAGCTCGCGTCAGCTCGCGTCAGCTCGCGTCAGCTCGTTTGACGGCGCCCCGGAGCACGCGCGCATGGTGCCGCCAACGCCTCGGCAACGCCGCCAAGTGCTGAGGCGCGGCCCCGCCGCCCGCTTTGGCGCCAGGATGCACCGCGATAGCGCCCCGGGCGGCACTGCCTGGCACTGCCTGCCGTGTCGGCGGTGTCAGCACATCCGGCGGGGTCACCGAGAAAAGAAGGAAGCTGCGCGGCCGCCAGTTTATCTGCAGACATTGCGTCCGGCCGCGTAAGAGTGCGGAGCGGGCGGAGCGGGGCTCAGCCGCAGCGCCCTGCCGTGCCGTCGCACAGCCGTGTCGTCGGGTTGCCTACCCACCATTACCATTCCCACTACGGGCTACACCACACGTGATCGCGGCAGGGGCGCTGGCAGAACGGCCCGGGTGCCTTACTCTCAGGCAAGCCAAGACGAACCGCTCTCGAAAAGCCGGCAGTGAGGCACGCGGGCTCATCGGGCGAGTCAGTGTGACCCTGTCGTGCGCGCCGAGCGGGCCGCGGTTACGTCCCGCCGTGCTGCATGGCGGCGGTCTTTAAGGGGCCGGCGCGCAGCAGAGCGAGACACACTGCTCATTCTGCGCCGGGGGACAATGTCACTGTCATCTCTCATCACTTTCCACGTCGGCTGCCTGCTGGCTGCAGACTGGTTCCGAGAGTCGTTTTCGTCGCTCCGTCTCCCCCGCACTCAAGG